GAGAAGTCTTTAAAAGATTCGTGCAAAATGCATCTTACAAAGACAGCTCTGTATGATTTTCAAAATTTTTTGTAAATTCTTTGTAAAACAGAAAAGCATATCCTTCCCTTTGAATTCTTGCTAGAAAACTAAACCATGGGGTCTGTGGATGGTGAGTTAGGCCAACTGTTTGGTCCACTGTGGACTTCATTTAGAAAGTAAGGAAAGGACCGGGTGTGGTAGCCTAATGGCTAAAGTAATCTCCTTGAACACACCAGGATCCCATATGAACACTGGTTCTAATCCCAGTGGCTCCCACTTCCAATGCAAGCTCCCTGCTTGTGGCCTGGGAAACTAGTTGAGGATGACCCAAAGCCTTGGGACCCTGCATTCTTGTGGGAGAACTAGAAAAGTCTTCCAGCTCCTAGCCTTGGATTGACACAGCTCTGGCCCTTGCAGTCATTTGGGTAGTGAATCAAAAGATGGAAGATCTTCCTCTCCGTCCCTCATCTTCTCTGTTTATCTGCCTTTCCAAGAAAAATAAATAAGTCTTTAAAAAATAAAACAAAATTTAAAAAAAGAAAGCAAGGAAAGAGTGCAGAACTTTTCACTCTGCACGGCAAGTCAGGAGCGCCACCGTGAGGTTGACTTCGGTACTAGTGACATCTTCTAGACTTCTGATTGCAATATTTGAGTGTTATACTGAAAGGAAAGCCTAAAAAAAACTAATTTTTTAAATGTTTATCTTCATCTGAATGAAAGGCGAATAGAAAGACAGATAGTTAAATCCACAGGTTGACTGATCCTTCTCCCATCTGCTGGTTCATTCCTGAAGGCCCACCGGTCAGGGCTAGCCAGGAGCCTGGAACTCCACCCCGACCCCCATTTGTGTGGCAGGGACCCACTGACTTAAACCATCATCTTCAGCCTCCCAGAACATTACAGGAAGCTGGATTCGAGGTGGAGGGGCCGGGACGTGGTTCAACATGCTGATACAGGAGGTAGGTGACCAAGGTAACGACTTAAACCAACTGCACCACAATACCCACACCAGTCTGCTTACTTGATGGATTGGAAAAAAAAAAAGCAAGGTTTAAGAAGTGTTGAGAACTTGGATTTCTTAGGTACTTGATTTGGACTTGTAAAGTGTTAGAAAATGGGTAAATGTTTAGACATAAAAACAGCCTCAGGGTAAGACATGGTTGTCCCACTGTGTGAATGACTGTTGGGGTTGTGAGTGCCTCAATTTATGTTTTAGTTCAGATCCTGAAATTATGGTGTGGACTTTTCTAGTTCCCTTTGTAAATAAATCACTCCTTCACCCAAAATAATCACTTTAGAAACTCTAGTCTGGTGGCCCAAGAAAATTTCAAACCCAGTCTACCTGGAATTAAGCTTATTATTCCGTCCTTACATAGAGCTAGCCCCCTCTGAGTCCCCATCTCTGAGAAGATCACAGCACCCAGACAGCTCAGGTTGAGACCGGGGAAGTATCTTCTTGCTCTGTTTGAAGAGAGCTCTCTAACCTCAGTACACTAAGCTGGTTGAGAGCAAGCACCGTATAATTCACCCTGAGTCTCTAGACCCTGGTCCATGCTGGGCATGCTTGGAACAATGGCAACAGTAACAGCGAAGGTGATTGAATGGTCAGCAGGGAGTAAGGAAAGTTTTCCAAAACATGTTTTTTAAGGACACGGAGTGATCACTCTGTTCATGACAAATGATGCTAACTAGCTCCCACTGCAGTGTTACACAGGCTGTGTGTTCTGCCTTGCTACACTTGGGAAGCCATGTGAGTCTACCAGGCTGACCATCTGAGTTTTTGCAGAAATTCCAGTTAGACGAAACCATGCTTCAATTTCCTCACCTCCTTTATTGACGATACTTTTTAAATAGCTTTGTTTTGTTTCTTTTCCCCAGAGGAAATAGCCTCTTCATGAGTCACCTGGACATTGTCAAGCCAGAAGATGGTTTAAGTACAACAGCCCCCATTGGACTTCATTCATTCAGCCAATTCCAAGTGCATCACGAACCACCAAGTGACCAGAGGTGGGTGTGTGCAAGGGGCAGCAGGGAGGGGTAAAGGTTAGCTCATGGACAGTTCCACAGAGGAGCGAGGCATTCTAGATTTCCATGGCAAAGACAGACTGAGTGCTGGTAATGATAATGTGCTGTGTATTTCTCTTTAAAACTTTAGAAGAATGGTGGGTGTTTTCACCACAAAGAAATGTCCTATGTTGAAGGATACAGATGTGTTTACTCTAAGGGAACATTACACAGTGTATATACATATATACATATAAACGCCACATGGCACTCCACACATGTGTGAAAGTTTTGCCCGTCTGTTAAATTTTTTAAATAAAGATTTATGTACTTATTTTTATTGGAAAGGCAGATTTACAGAGAGAGAAGGAGAAACAGAGAGAAAGATCTTCAGTCTGCTGGCTCACTCCCCAAGTAGCTGCAACAGTCAGAGCTTAGCTGACCTGAAGCCAGGAGCCATCTGACCCAGATTCCTCCGGGTTTCCAGTGTGGGTGCAGGGACCCAAGGCTTTGAGCCATCTTCCCTGCTTTCCAAAGGCACCACCAGGGATCTGGAAGGGAAGTAGAGCAACCAGGATATGAACGAGCACCCATCTGGGATCCAAGGGCATGTAAGGCAAGGACTTAGCCACTAGGCTACAGCTTCAGGTTCATGTAAGTTAAAAAAAATTTTTTTTTTAATTTAAAGCACCAAGGAAAAGACACAGATCCATTCCTAAATTCATAAGGTAGAACATCTCAGGGATATCTGTCTGTTTCATTTCCTTTATTAATTCAACAAGATTTACTGGGCACTTAATATTTAGGCTGCTCCAAGCTTAACAAGCATATTATGAAAATAAATAACACACAGGCCCAGCCCTCAAAAAACTCAAAGTTTGTGATCAAATTTGGAAGATTAATAGGAAGAAAAGGCAAATGTTTGAGAAAAGGAGCCAAAATAGCAGGGCTTCAAAAGAGATATGAGAAGTCAGAGATGGATGCTGCCGAGGAGGGGACACTTGGAGCACACTTCACCGAGGAGAGGACAAGCCGCCGAGCTGTCTGAGGAGGAAAGGGATTTCCCAGAAGAAGAAAAAGGAAACTGTGCGAAGGCTGTGAGTTGGAAGGAGCAAAGCTAAAATGTGGTGAAAACATGGAGGCTCACTGAGAAGCAACTTGCCAGGAACTAACCAGCAGTAGGAGATAGGACTGAGGTTGAACTCATGCTGGGGCTATTCATGGGCGTGTGTCATATTTCCTGAGAGTGCTGGAGCAGGGGAAAAAAAAGTGGGCAATCACTGCTAAGGGTCTGTCCAACAAGTTCTAAGAGCTCAGACCAAATGGAAGATGAGGAAGCATTTCTTAAGCAGAGGAGCAACACACTTCCAGCTGTGACTCTCAACTGGGACTGCAATTAAAATCACTTGATAAGCTTTCAAAATCTGTGTTCAGGGAGCCACTCTAGAGCTGAATGTCTTGGGGATGGTACCCAGTTGTCTTTTGTTTTGTTTTTGAAGTTCTTCAGGGGACTTCAGTTTAGAATCAAGAATTACAGGGCTCAGTGCAGTGGACTAGCAGCTAAAGTCTTTGCCTTGAACACGCCGGGATCCCATAGGGGCGCTGGTTCTAATCCTGGCAGCTCCACTTTCCATCCAGCTCCCTGCCTGTGGCCTGGGAAAGCAGTCGAGGACGGCCCAAGGCCTTGGGACCCTGCACCCGTGTGGGAGACCTGGAGGAAGTTCCTGGCTCCTGGCTTTGGATTGGCACAGCACCGGCCGTTGCAGTTACTTGGGGAGTCATCGGATGGAAGATCTTCCTCTCTCTCTCTCCTCTTCTCTGTATTTCTGGCTTTGCAATAAAAATAAATACATCTTCAAAAAATATATATATCAAGAATTACATCTCTAAGGGATGACCCTTTAAAGGAAGTAATTTTTATTAGCCACCTACTGGGTTTAAATTTTCCCCAAATGTTTTAAAGTTTCTACAATCTATATCCTGTATTTTTATTGGAATTGTGTAAGTACCTAGAATCGTGATCCATTTTAAACAAACTTGCATGCTGTGTGGTAAATAATTGCATTACCGCCAGTATTCAGTATGTTACCACGCTATCATCTTTGTTTTACCAGAAAACTGCAGTACAGACTAGTGAAATAATCATCCAAGTTCAAACTATTCAGTGTCACAACTGAATTCAAATGTCTTTCTGCTCCCCTACAGCCATGCTCCCTCCATTGCACATCACTGACCAGCTCCTTCATCAGAAGTTATCACGATCCTTATTTTTAAAGATTTATTTATTTTTATTGGAAAGGTAGATATACAGAGAGGAGGAAAGACAGAGAGGAAGATCTTCTATCCACTGATTCACTCCCCAAGTGAGTGCAACGGCCAAAGCCAGGAGCCAGGAACTTCCTCCAGGTCTCCCACACGGTGCAGGATCCCAAGGCCTTGGGCCATCCTCGATTGCTTTCCCAGGCCACAGGCAGGGAGCTGGATGGAAAGTGGAGCTGCCAGGATTAGAACCAGTACCCATATGGGATCCTGGCACATGCAAGGTGAGGACTTTAGCTGCTATGCCACGCCGCCGGGCTGTTTTACTAATTTCTTAGCGTGTTCAGATTAAAAGTCCAGTTTCTAGTTAGAAGATCTGAGAGACTTGGGCTGCTTGTCCTCACTTTATCCATACAGTCACCAACGCTATTTTGGGGGCTTATCTGCTCATTGTTTTCTGTTTCCACCAAGAGGTACGTTTCCTCAGAAAAGGAACCTAGGGGGTGTTGTTCACTGCGTAGTACGCTTAAAGGTGCAAAACAGTGCCCGGCACAACAAAGTATTAATACACAGAGTTTAAAAGGTTACAAATAACCAGAAACTACGCCATGGCACACCACCTCAAGCGCCTCCCGGAGCCACTTCCGCTGCCAACTTCGCCGGAAGCCGCTGGGGGGGCGGGGCGGGCGACAGCAAGTCCCCTGCGCAGGCGCAGAGGCAGCGCGGCGCGTTCTGGGTAAACATGGATGCCCACGACCTCTTTCGCCGCCTCGGTGCGGGCGCCAAATTCGATGTGAGGCGCTTCTCGGCCGACGCGGCGCGGTTCCAGGTACTGTGTGCGGCGGGGCCGGGGATCGGGGGACACCGGGGATCAGGGGACACCCGGGGAGCGGCAGACACCCGGGGAGCGGCGGACACCGGGGAGCGGGGGACACCGGGGATCAGGGAACACCCGGGGAGCGGCAGACACCCGGGGAGCGGCGGACACCCGGGGAGCGGCTGGGAGCGGGGGACACCGGGGATCAGGGGACACCGGGGAGTGGGGGACACCCGGCGAGCGGCGGACACCCGGGGAGCGGGGGACACCGGGGATCAGGGGACACCGGGGAGCGGCGGACACCCGGGGATCGGGGGACACCGGGGAGCGGCGGACACCCGGGGAGCGGCGGGGCCCGGGGAACGGGGGACACCCGGCGAGCGGCAGACACCCGGGCTGGCACCCTCCGCGCCTCCCTCGGCTTTTCCCGCAGCGCCACCCGGCTCGGGGCCGCTGCAGGCACTGCTTTCCGAGCAGAAAACGCCGCGGAAACGCCCTGTTCTCGCTTCCTGGCTCAGCCACGGCCAAGCTGGAGTCTTTTTCTAAAGGAACTCTTGGCACCGAATGGAAAGGACTTAAAAACAGGAACACCTCAGGGTGGAGAAAAGCCATCCTTTCCCTTGGCCCGCGTGCGGCTGGGCTCAGCGTGGCGTGCACGTGGTTGCCCGCCCCGAGCGTGGGAGGAGCCGGTTAGAAGGAAGGGTCTTCTTACTGGAACTGTAGTGTGTTTTTCTCCTTTTCGAGCCAGATTATGTGGCTCTTGGTGACCAGTTTTGAGACCCTGGTCAGGTTACCGAACTGCCTGCTGCCCCGACGTTCCCGTTGCGCCATAGCCCTGTTGGCAGCATGAAGTGCGTGCACGTGTTTGCGCGTCGCTGTGACTGACAGCAGGCATCTACCTTGAAGAGCACTGTTGGTCTTTGAATTACGTTTGCTCAGACAGGCTTGTCATCCTGAAATGGGTTTGGTGAGAGGGCTTAAAGCAGGGGGAGTGCTGTCCCCAGCCCCGCCCTCCTTACCTGCCTGGGGTCAAACAGTGCTGTTGTGTCTGTAGGGTTAATTTTCAACTTTTCGGGTTTCCAGATAGGCAAAAGAAAGAACGGCTTGGATCCTTCAGAGGCGCTGCAGGGGCTGGACTTCTTTGGAAACAAAAAGTCGGCACCAGATGAGCGGGCAGCGTCACAGACCCCTGGGCAGCCGGGAAAGGATGAGGCAACGGAAGAAGCCCAAGCTGAAAGGCAGAGGAAGAAGAAGAGGCGGAAGATGGCTTCAGGTTAGCCTCTGACTTGTAGTTCTGTTTGCAAGTCAGGCCGTCTAGTGCGAGTCACATTTTAATGTCATTCAGATCGCTGCCAAACACTTGGTTGCACGTGTCACTGCAGGGAGGATCCCTGTGCGGGTGGCCCTTCCTCAGGAAAGCGTCCCCCAAACGACACTCCCTTGGCGAAAGGGCATGTGCACTTCCCTGTTTAAGGGGTTAACAACAAAATGACCTCCAAACTTTGTTGCTGCTGATATGATTAGTGTTAAACTTTTTGCCAGTCCAGTGAATAAAACTCTATTGATTGATGGTTGCTGGGGTTGAACAGCTGTTCGAACACTCTACTGAATATTTATGTAACCCCTTCTGTGTGTTATCTGTTCTTCCTCCTGACCGACTTGTGTCATGACTTGTGTATATAAGAATCTTTTTCTCTACTGTCATATATGGATAATTGCCTTTTTTTTTAATGATTAGTTATTTAGAAGGCAGCGTTAGAGAGACAGGGAGAGAGGAAGGGAGAGACAGATGTTCCGTCTCTGGCTCACCCCGTGGCTGTTCCCAGTAGACAGGGCTAGGGCCAGGCCAGAGCAAGGATCCAGAAACTATTCTCATCTTCCGTGTGGCTGGCAGGAGTTTCAGAACTTGGGCCATCTTCTGCTGTCTTCCCAAGCTGGAAACTCAGACTGGCAGTTTGACATGAGCAATGGCATTTGCAAGCAGTGGGTTGACTCACTGTCCCACAGTGCCAGACAGGATGTCTTAGAGATTGGAGCCAGTAGGAGGTAGAGTGCGTTACTCATTGTGACACTGCGAACTATCCCATCACACATTGTAGGAAGGCCCGTAATTAATTCAGCAGCTTCGGGTATGGTGGGCATCAACTTTGCTTCCATGCTTTTACTGTTCTGCAACAGTAACACTTTAATTCTCCTTCCCTGACTGCAAGAAAGTTTGGCAAACCCTTCTACAAAGATGGGTAAAAAGACATGCCACAAACTTTGGAAGAACATTCAACTGTTGGCCAACCAGGAATGCACAAATATATGCCGTAACTGTATGGCTGCTGGTGTGTGTAGACCAGAGCTGTGACACACAGGGGAGAGTCAGAAAGCTCAAGGATACGTTATTCTGAATCCCATCTTTCCATCTACTTTTGGAAACCATCTCATGCATAGATCAATATCTTTTCAATCGGAAAATTCATGATATTGTGAATTAATAATGACTTGAATTTGTTAGCAGAAACTCATAAAGGGAGCATATTTTTTAAGGTTTATTTTTTGTTGGAAAGGCAGATCAGATTTACTGAGAGGACAGACAGAAAAATCTTCCATCCAATGGTTCACTCCCCAAGTGGCCACGATGAATGGAGCTGAACTGATCTGAAACCAGGAGCCAGGAGCTTCCTCAGGGTCTCCCACATGGGTGCAGAGTCCCAAGGCTTTGGGTCATCCTCAACTGCTTTCCCAGGCCATAAGCAGAGAGTGGGATAGGAAGTCGGGTCGCCAGGACACAAACCGGCACCCACATGGGATGCCAGTGCTTGCAAGGTGAGGCTTTAGCCACTAAGGCTTTGCACTGTTTTTTCAAAGGTCACTGTGATGCCCATTGGCACCACAATGTGTTAAGACTAACTCAGAAAGTTTGTGAAAAAAAAAAATGGAATTGAAGGATAAGACTACATCAGTGAAATAAAACTTGGAATCCATTCCTATTTTTCCGTGACTTCCTTTTTTTTTCCATTTGAAGTCCAAAATTAATGGAGCCAGGGTGTTGGTGAGGCCGTCTGCTGTGTGCTGCTTCACTCCCCACATGGCCGCAAGTACCTGGGCTGGGAGGTCTGCCATATCGGTGCAGCAGCCCGAGTAGTTGGGCCATCTGCTGCTGCTTTTCCAGGCCATCAGTAGGAAGCTAGATCTCAAGTGGAGCAGCTAGGACTCAAGCCCGTGCCCGTAAGGAAAGCCTGCATTGCAGGTGCTAGCTTCACGCACTGTACCGTAAAACCGGCCCCTCCATGACCTTTCTGAAGACTCCTGGTATGAAAATTTTTTTCTTTCTATAAATTTGTTTACTTGTGTATTTTACATACTTTCTGTATCAGATTGTTCATCTGGTTTTTCACTTGGTAAACATCTCACATTATGAGGGAAATTGGCTCTGTTTCCAAATATTATGTTTTACAAGTGTTTCTAGTTTATCATGTTACTTACCTTTCTGTGGGAGTTGCTTTTTTGTTTTATTAAGATTCCTTGGAAAGACAATTTCCTTTGTGTCTTTATTTCCCGTGTGTATTCAGGCTTCTCTCTCAGCTCTTTCCCATTTCAAGATTGTATTCATATGCTAATATTAGCATGTTTTCATTACAGTGCATTATAATATGTAAAAAATAATCCAACAGCATGGAGAAGCATAGCATGTTTATTGACTAGACAGCTTTTTCTTCCCCTGTGTGATTTCAGAATCCATCAAAGCCAGTTGCAGTTCCAGCTGGGCTCTGTTTGATCAAGTCGCACCTGTGGTCGCCCTTTAGGGAGTGCACCCATGGGTGGGATGTCTCTCTGCCATTTAAGTAAACTTTAAACAGGAAAATACAAGCACTATCTTTAAAAAGTAAAGTTGTGCTAGTTCCAGATGGGAAAAGAGTGAACGTCGTTTTTCTTCCTTCATACCACAGCGTAAGCAGAAGTTATCTTGGATTGACTCAGACTGAAACATAAAATCTAAAATGACAAAGCTTTTAGAAGAAAACATAGTTTTTAAAAAGCCTCTGACTTTTGAAATATATGAATGCTGCTTTAAAAAGCTAAAAGCACAGATCATCAAAGATAAATTTGGTGTATTGGACTACATCAAATTAAAACTTTTTGTTCTTTTTGTTGTTTCTAAAGATGTATTTACTTTTTTTTCTTTAAAAGATTTTTTTTTTTATTGGAAAGGCACATGTACAGAGAGGAAGATCGTTTGTCCGATGGTTCACTCCCCAAGCAGCCGCAACAGCTGGAGCTGAGCCAGTCTGAAGCCAGAAGCCAGGAGCTCTTCTGGGTCTTCCACACGGGTGCAGGGTCCCAAGGCTTTGGGCCGTCCTTGACTGCTTTCCCAGGCCACAAGCAGGGAGCTGGATGGAAAGCGGGGCTGCCAGGGTTAGAACCAGCGCCCATATGGGATCCCAGTGTGTGCTAGGAGATGACTTTAACCACTACGCTATCGTGCTGGGCCCAACTTTTTTTTCTTAAATAGTATTAATGAAAAGGAATTACACAGGTAGGGAAAAAATCATAACAAAAAGTTCTGACTTTGTTAATAATCAAGTGGTACAACCACTTTGGAAACAATTTAGAAATTCTTTTTAAAGATTTATTTTGTTTTTATTGTAAAGTCAGATATACTGAGAGAAAGAGAGACAGAGAGGATCGTCAGTCCAATGATTCACTCCCCAAGCGGCTGCCATGGCCAGAGATGAGCCAGTCCGAAGCCAGGAACCTCGAGCCTGTTCAAGTTCTCCCATGCAGGTGCAGGATCCCAAGGCTGTGGACTGTCGTTGACTGCTTTCCTAGGTCACAAGCAGGAAGCTGGATGGGAAGCAGGGCCATCAGGATTAGAACTGGTGCCCATATGAGATCCCACTGCATGCAAGGCGAGGACTTTGACCACTAGGCTACCACACTGGGTCCTGAAATGCGTATTTTTTAAGATTTATTTATTTTCATTGCAAAGTCATACATACAGAGAGGAGGAGAGACAAATAGGAAGATTTTCCATTCAATGATTCACTTCCTAAGTGGCCTCAATGGCCAGAGCTGAGCCAGCCCAAAGCTAGGAGCTTCTTCCAGGTCTCCCACACAGGTACAGGGTCCCAACGCTTTAGGCCATCTTCAGTTACTGTCCAAGACCACAAGCAGGGAGCTGGATGGGAAGCAGAGCCACTGGGACATGAACTGGCACCCATATTGGATCCTGGGTGTGCAGATGAGGACTTTAGCCACCAGGCTACTGCACCAGGATCCCCTCCCCCCGCCCACCCCCCCACCCCCGCCTTTTAAGTTAACTATGCCTTATTATCCACCCATTTCCACCAAAAGGGGAAAAAAATTATCTTCAGGAAAATTTGTCAGAAACTCATAGCAAGTTTATTTGAGCTAAGTGTCCTTAAGTAGGTGATATTATATAGTAATGAAATGTAAACTTTTCAGGGCTGGGGGCTGTGGCCAGCTGTCACTGCCTGCAATGCTGGCATCCCATGTCAGTGCTGATGAGTCCCAGCTGCTCTGTTTCCCACCCGGCTTCTTGCTGCTGCACATGGGAAGGCAGTGAGAGATGAGCCAGCACCTCGGGCCTCTGCCGCTCGTCGGAGGGCCAGAATGGAATTGCAGGCGCCTGACTTTGGCCTGGCCAGAGCAGACTGTGGTAGCAGTTTGGGGAGCAAACCAGTGAATAAAAGATCTCTCTCTCTTCTTCTTTCTGTTCCTCTGCCTTTTGAGTAAATAAATTGTTTTTAATACTAATACATGCAGCAGCATGGATAAACCTCAAAATAACTATCGAGGCTGAAAGAAGCTAGGCTGAAATGAATCTGTACCCCCTGTTTCCATTGACATGAAATTCCAGAAAAGGCAAGCTAATCTATAGTAGAAAATTTGATTGGTTGTTACCTTGGGCTTTTATTTTCTTGTTTTATTTATTTTGGAAGCATGTGTCCCCGAACAGTACGTTGTTTCGTTTTGCACATTTTGACATTTTATAAATAGCTGCAGACTAGATGTCTTTCTCTCATTTGGTCTTCATGTTGACATTTGGTGATTTTTGCTGTTTTGTTTATATTAAGATATACATGTTACAAACTTACCATTTCGATGGCAGTAGTTCATTGGTCATAGGTGTATCCGGTCATGCTGTTGGTTAGCTGGAGACCCTCCGTCTCCAGAGCTGTTGTAAAGCTGTGGTTATGAACCCATGAACCCAGCGGGGGGACCCTTACCCTGCTGCTGACCCCCGTTAACGGCCGGGCGGACCTGCCGGGTCAACAGCCTGCTACATGGGTTCAGTTCTGAGCCCCACCTGTGGTTGCCTTGGCAGGTCTTAGACCACGTGATTTTGCAGGCCTTAACAATGCTTCTGCGTTCCTCAACAAATCCAGCCCCTGGCCACTGCCATTCTATTTCATGTCTATGGTTTTTGATTACTCTAAGAGGCCACAAAGAAATTTGAGGAGATAAACAGAAATAATCTTGAATGTGGATATAGAGATGTGTTATAACTTGTCAAACTATGTACCTTAAAATGTATGTGGTTTGTGGTATGCCACTTTTGCCTCACTGAAGTTGAAAAACTAGTCTTTTATCATTCAGAAGCTAGTTGTATATGTTTACTCTCTCTCACACAGACCTGAAAATCAGCTCTTCTAGTCACCAAAATAATATTGAATTCGTGGTCACAGAGCTAGGGTGAGTTGCTCTCTGTAACACTGAGTAGCCCCAGGACGGTCATGCACTCACTGCTGTTGCTAAGTGACATCATCCTTTCATTGTAATTATTTTCTAGTTGCTTATTCTTTGGTTATGGAGAAGCTGGCTACCTTGTTGAAATTTCCTTACCATTTAAGTAATTTTTCAGCTAAATGCCTGTTGTTTTCAAGCGTAGCCATGCGTGCGTGTGCTCTGGGGCCAGACAGCGGGAAGCCAGACGATGAGCTTCTATGACTGTTTGCTACACCTGAAACTGTTGCATTTCAAATCTTTTCCTAACTATTTTTAGAAATTACTTTGCAAGAAGACAGCACTATCCAGTGGACATCATCTGTGGAAGCAAAGATCGAAGATGAAAGAGCTAAAGGAGAACCTAAACTAACATCAGGAAAACTGGAGAATCTCAGAAAGGAGAAGGTGAGTAAAATCCTTAACTCTACAAGTACATTGCTCTGACTGGGTGACATTTTCATTGGACTCAGGCTTTGCTTTTGGTAAAGCAAACTTTTTATTTTTCAGGTAGAAGAGTAATTATTTGTTTAGATTTAACTTTAATGAAAGTAATGTGCTATGACCTGTAAATTTTTTTCCCTTGTATAAATTTTACTTTTGGTAATTTTTACATAGTTGATTAGGTGGAAGGGTCGAGGACTAGAGGAAAGTGGGTGAGACCAATGTTTCCACATTCTCTTCTTTGCTTCCTGCATAAGGGGGAAGGGGAGAGATGAGGAGAGAAGCCACACCATCTCAGTGTCCTCAATGTGGGGTTTGCTCTGAAGGTCCTGTTCAAGTGATTTTGATAGTTCAGCAGTTCTGTATTGTTGTATGGCTTGTAAATTTAAAATTAAAGTTACATGCACAGGTATGAGATTTATGACCTACTCAAGTTTCAAAATTAATGTATTTAGAATTTACAATTTCAGGTGCTAGTTCCATGGCATAGTAGGCTAAGCCTCTCAGGTGCTGGCATCCCATAGCGATGCAAGTTTGTTCCCCAGCTACTCCACTTTCTACCTGGTGCTCTGCTTGTGGCCTGTGAAGGCAACAGAAGATAGCTCAAGTGCTGGGGGTGGGGGGTCTGCATCCATGTGGGAGACCTGAATTTCTTAGAGGAAATTCTCCTAAACTCATGAGTTCAACATACAAGAGAAAGGAAGCCAAATTATGTTTACCAAATAAAACTTAAAAGTTTTAATTATTGTTATTATTTTATTTGGGAAGGCATACGTACAGAAAAAGGAGAAACACAGAGCTTTTCCGTTTGCTGGTTCATTCTCTCAGTGGCTGCAATGGCTGCAGCTAGGCTGGTCAGAAGTCAAGAGCCTAGAGCATTTTCCAGGTCTCCCACATGGGTACACAGTCCAAGAACTTTGGCCGTCTTTTGTTGCTTTCCCAGGTGTTAGCAGGGAGCTGGATCAGAAGTGGAGCAGCTGGGACTCGAATCAGCGACTATATGGGATGCTAACATTGCCAACAGAGACTGTCATGGTGCTGACCCCACGTTGAAGCCTGTTTTTATAACCTGAGAAAGAAAAGAATATCAGTTGTAGAAGAAACAGCAAGATGTATCTTTGTCATTTCTGTATGTGCCATATTGCTGGCCAGCATTTGGCTGTGTCTGGACCAAAGAATGGGGAAACAAACCAAGTATAGATAAACTCTGTACTTCATGTCTGGCACTTGTTCCTTGTTTTGCTTTTGTTTCTTAAAGGTTTATTTTATTGGAAAGGCGGATATATAGAGGGAAGGAGATAGAGAAAAGTCATCCATCCACTGGTTCGCTCCCCAGGTGGCCACAGTGGCCGGAGCTGAGATGATCCAGAGCCAGGAGCTTCAAGGCAAGGATTTAGCAAGGATTTAGCCCCTAGGCTACTGTGCCGGTCCCAGCACTTAGTTTTAATATGTAGAGTTTTAGGGTAAATTATGAAAAAGTATTGGTGCTTGTTGAAGAACCATGCAAAGGAAAGAGTGCAAGTGTTGCTTTCTTGAAGTCTCTGTACTGGTGTTACTTAGCACCATGCTAGTGATACATTTAAATAAAGAAAGCCAAAATAAAATTTGTTGTTAGAAAGCAATCAATTCAGCTGGGGCTGTAGCAGTGTGGGTTAAGACACTGCCTACAACTTTGGCATTCCATATGGATGCTGGTTCAAGCTCCAGCTGCTCCACTTCTGGTCAAGCTCTCTGCTAATGTGCCTGTGGAAGCAGCAGAGAACGTGGCCCAAGTTCTTGGACTCCCGTACCAATGTGGGAGTCCTGGATGAATCTCGTGCCTGGTGAATTGGCCTGGTCCGAGCTTTGCTATTGTGGTCAGCTGGGGAGTGAACCAACAGAAGATTTCTCTCTTCCCCCTTTCTCTGTAACTCTGCCATTCAGATACATAAAATTAATCATTTGGGGGTAGGGAGTGCTGGGAAGGAAGGTATGACTTGGCATGAAATGTACCTAATAGCTATGTAGCTGTGTTAGATCTAAGCACAAAGTTTCAAGTGTCACTAAAGCTTAGCCTGGAAATTGCTACAACTCTTCAGCATCTCAAAGTGTTTTTATTTGACCTTATTTATGGTGGCCCTTTTCTCTCACTTTTCAGGTAAACTTCTTCCGAAATAAACACAAAATTCATGTGCAAGGAACTGATCTTCCTGATCCAATTGCTACATTTCAGCAACTGGATCAGGAATATAAAATCAATTCTCGACTGCTTCAGAACATTCTAGATGCAGGCTTCCAAGTGCCTACACCAATCCAAATGCAAGCCATTCCAGTTATGCTACATGTGAGTACAAAGGACTACAATGCTTTATTTTTACTCTTTGCTGTGTGTGTGTTTGCCTTCTCTTGCATTTCTTCTAGAAATCCTCTTTTCAAACTTGCCTCTCCTGCTAAAATCTTTCACTTGCTTTTAGAGTCCGTTTCAAACACCTGTGCCCCCATAAAAGCCTGTCTTGATAAATACCCTTATGTGATTTTTTAAGTTTATCAACACCTTTTTCCTTGGATTTTTGTTTGTTTGGGGCAACACTTATTTTATTTTTACATAGCTGTATGTGTCTGTACCAACTATTGCTTCCTTTTTACTAGGATGTGAACCCTCTGAGGGTGAAAGACTTTTATTTTTACATTGTAGATTAGGCTTCTGTTTCAGAAATGCAGATGCCTTCTTGAGTTGTTGTACATAAATGGACTTATTTTGCACCTCTCTCCCCAACTTTTTATTCTTAAAGTATACTTTCCATATAATAAAATACATAGATTTTGTTTTGTTTTCAGATCTTTCTCTCTTTATTGGAAAGGCAGGTTTATGGGAGAGACAGAGCTACACAGAGAAAAATCTGTGATCATCTGATTCACTCCCCAAGTGTCTGCAATGACCAGTGCTGAGCTAATCCAAAGCCAGGAGCTTCTTCTAAGTCTCTCACATGGGTGCAGGGTCCCAAAGCTTTGGGCCGTCCTTTACTGCTTTCCCAGGCCACAAGCAGGGAGCTGATGGAAAGTGGAGCTGCTGGGACATGAACTGGCACCCATATAGGATGCTGGCGTATGCAAAGCAAAGATGCAGCTACTGAGCTGTGATGCTTGGCCCAAATGCATGGATTTTTACAATTTTTTGAACTTTACAATTCAGTGAGTTTCCACATTGTATTCCCTCTGTCACCAATACTCCTGAAGATGTAGAGTGTTTTTCTTGTCCTAGAAAACTCTCTCATGCCTTTAATGTGCAGTCTCCACCCTGTACCTTCCCATTGCAGTCACTGTTAGGATTTCTGTTTCCATTTATTTGTCTTGCCTCTTCTAGAATTTCCTCTCTTTGAATCGTGCATATTAATACTTTCACTTCTGGCCTCTTTCATTCGACATAGTGTTGTTGGGATTCATCCATATTGTATACATCAATGATTTGTTATGAAGTAGTATTTTTATTAAATGAATGTAAGTATATTGCAGTTTGTTCACCTGGTGGTAGAGGTACAGATTAATTTAGATTTTTGAAAATTAAGTTTTTAAAACGATTTGCTTATATACTTGGAAGAGTTACAGTGAGAAGGAAAGACACAGAATCTTCTGTCTGCTGGTTCACTGCCCAGATGGCCATATGGCCAGGACTAGGCTAGGCCTAAGCTGGGAGCCAGGAGGTTCCTAGCATAGCAGGAACCCAAATGCTTGGCTGTCTTCTGATGTTTTGCCTAGGCAATTAGCAGGAAGCTGGATTGGAAATAAAACAACCAGGACACAAACTTGTATCCTTATGAGATGTCTTTTATAGCCACAGGCTTCCCTCCAGCTGCATTGTCAAGGTGTCTTTGGTTCAGGTAGCCCAAGAGCTTGAGTTAGCTTTTCCCTCATGTCAGTCTTTTTCATTGTCTTTGATAACTAAGATGAGAACACATTCATGCATTTGATAACATGGTTGAGTCCAATCACAGCAAATTCGCTGTTAGTTTCCATGTAAGATTGTTTCTGTTCTGGATTTCAACTTAAAACTTTAAAAATCAGAATGCCCTTTGAAAGATTGTCACTCATAAATCACTCTCAAGTCTTATTTTCTTAACCTCAGCCATTCTGTTACTTAAGAAAAGCACCCCTGAAGATGAAGCATTATAAATACAAGGACAGAAAGTTGGCTTTATAATTTGCTTTGACCGAACAGCTTTGTGGCAGAGAAATGGATACACTGGCTGTAGTTGAGGGTTGTGAGTTATCTCTGGGTTTTAGTTGTCTGCATTCTCTGCCTGGTGAGGTGGACTTCAGGGGCAGTACTCAGAAACCCTGTTGGACTTGTGGTGGCCAAGATTGATGGTGTTATGAAAGCAAATGTGGAAAAAGTACTTACACTATGTGTTTGTAGGGTCGAGAACTTCTGGCATCTGCTCCTACAGGATCTGGGAAAACGTTGGCTTTCAGCATTCCTATTTTAATGCAGCTGAAACAACCCACAAATAAAGGCTTCCGGGCACTGATCATATCCCCAACACGAGAACTTGCCAGCCAGGTATGGCTTCCAGCTTTTGAACAAATGGATCGATTGTCCACCTCATTGATCTTTCTCATTGGAGGGCAGTGAAGTTTCAGAAAGATACGACTGCCTTCCGCCAGTGTCAGGTGTGCAGCACAGAGCTCACTTCTCTGTGGATTGCTGCATACATGCCAGCCTGAGGTTTTTTATGCTTTTGTAAAATATGGTTTTCATATTCATATATTAATAACTGCTCTAAGATCACTGAAGTTGAAAGGCTTCTGGGATAAAGTAGTTCCTCTAAAATTTATTTCTCTCTCGGAAAAATTAAGTATTATGTTTATTTATTTATTTTTTTTTTAAGATTTATTTTTATTATTTTTTTATTGGAAAGGCGGATATACAGAGAGGAGAGACAGAGAGGAAGATCTTCCGTCCGATGATTCACTCCCCAAGTGAGCGCAACGGGCCGATACTATGCCGATCCGAAGCCAGGAGCCTCCTCTGGGTCTCCCACGCGGGTGCAGGTTCCCAAAGCCTTGGGCCGTCCTCGACTGCCTTCCCAGGCCACAGGCAGGGAGCTGGAAGGGAAGCGGGGCTGCCGGGATTAGAACCGGCGCCCATATGGGATCCCGGGCGTGCAAGGCGAGGACCTTTAACCACTTGCGCCACCGCGCCGGGCCCATTATGTTTATTTTTAAGAAAGTCAAAATATACAGAGATTTCCACTCTCCCGTGGTACTTAACATGAAAAACCTGCCACGTGCAAAATAGTCTGATCGTAGTATTTTGTTCTAAAGTATATTAGTTTTATTTCTTGAAACTAATTTACTAGACATGAAGGTGCTACTAGGTTTTGATACGCTAAGGTCTCAGATACTGAGGTAACAAGTTAGTCTACAGTTTACTATAGGCTTAATTTCTGATACTCATGGGTTGATAATTATTTTATTCATGTAAGAAAAGACTGTACATTTACCCAAATATCTTAGGTTCTCATGTCTTTATCATTTTGTGTTTCAGATTCACCGAGAATTAACTAAAATCTCTGAGGGAACAGGATTCAGAATACACATGATTCACAAAGCAGCAGTGGCAGCCAAGAAATTTGGACCTAAGTCATCTAAGAAGTTTGGTAAGGAATGTATGCTTGGGATATAGCCCAAATCAGGGAGTTAGCAGTAATAAATATTTTGGCCATATAAGAGCCATGTATGAGAAATATTTATGGTATGTTTTGGTTTTTAGAGAAGTGAAGGGAAATTCCCTCCCCCGCCTTGCCCAGTAGCTTTAGAAATATATGCCAGAGGTTTTCAACTGGTGACAATTTTTCCTGCCTCTTTGCCTTAGGGAGATTAGCTAATATTTGGGGACAATTTTTAAGTGTTCACAACTGGACAGAAATAATCCAGGCTGTTAAGCATCTGACAGTACCCAAGACAGCCCCCTTTGAACAAAAGTTACCTGGCCCGAGTGATGGACAGTACCAAGGCTGGGAAAACATGCTCTCCGCCATTGACTTCAAATCTGCTGTGCAAATGTCCTTGAAGATAAGAATGGCTGACTTCCTTGCTTTCGTATCAGCCAGCAAACCTACTTTAAAGCTGGGTACTGGCGAGTGGTCTAGCCCATCAGCCATGTGAGGTCTGTGAAGACCTTTGCTCTGATCCTGCCAAAGCAATCATAGGCAAGACTCAAAGTACGTTAAAACTATAGTAAACTAACGTTTAAGTTGATAGCTCTGTATGGGTCATTAACATTGTTATAAGTAAAATGGCCCTTGGGTGAAAAATAGGTTCTGCACCCCTGATTTAAAGAGTTTTGTTGTGGAAAATAAGTGTGAAAATAGAATTGTGAGGTTATGTAGTAGTCTAGTGCTGAAGTTGAGAAAGGCTGCTGCAGTATAATAAAAACATGGTAGTGATATGGTTTGTGCTGTGACGGGTTAAGAAAACCTGTGTATTAGCTGAGTAAAAGGAAGCCGGCAACTTTTGTCTTATTTTCTGGTGAATATAATTCCTCCTTCCCTTCCTACTTGAAGTGATTAGCCAGAATTCAAGCTCAGGAGAGATGAATTGTGTTTCTAATCTCTACCATTTGTTCTTCCTATAGATATTCTTGTGACTACTCCAAATCGATTAATCTATTTGTTAAAGCAAGATCCACCAGGAATAGACTTAACAAGGTACAGATAATGATAATGTCTTGTGTGTGTGGGCTTTTCATTTGACCAATTATGATTGTCCTAGATTGCTTATTTTAACAACTTTTGAAGCTTGCCATTTCCCTAATTCTGTGAGTGTTGATGCTAAGAATGTTGTTTGCTCATTAAACTATCAGAAAAAAATAACTGATCTGGAAGAAAGTTGCACATTCTGAGAAGCAATGAGTACAGGATTCCCCCAGAGCTTTTTGCATCTTTTGAATTCCAAAGCTCTGTTGCTGCAGCAGCACCCCCATCTTTGAGTCTAGTAGAATTAGGTATATATTGAGCTCTCTTTCTTCCTTCCTTCCTTTGTTTTCTTCCACCTTTTTCCTGCTTATTTTTGGACGTTTTTGTGGCTTGATAACAGTGGATCTGAGAAGTGCCATCATGGTTTAACTGTATCCTGAGTCCCCACTGTTGAGTACAAAGTCTTAGATCTTTCAGTTCACTGTCTACGTGTGTTTTGTTAATTCTTAGTGTTGAGTGGCTGGTAGTAGATGAGTCAGACAAACTGTTTGAAGATGGCAAAACCGGATTTAGAGACCAGCTGGCTTCGATTTTCCTGGCCTGCACATCCCACAAGGTCAAAAGAGCTATGTTCAGTGCAACTTTTGCGTATGATGTTGAACAGTGGTGCAAACTCAACTTGGACAACGTCATCACTGTGTCCATTGGAGCAAGGTAAGTGATTGTCATCCTACATTGTCCCACTGGTTGTTTTTTAGAGCAAGTGATTTTTTTTTAAAGATTTCTTTATTTTTATTATAAAGTCAGATATACAGGGAGGAGAAATGGAAGCAGAAGTTGAGCTTTGCAAACTGAGATATATTTTCTTCTCAGGAACTCTGCAGTGGAGACTGTAGAACAAGAACTTCTCTTTGTGGGATCTGAGACTGGAAAACTTCTGGCCATGAGAGAACTCGTTAAGAAGGTATATTTGCACTACATTCTTACATTTTGGTAAACTTCAAGCCTCAGATTATTACCCACAAGAGGCTCAGAACTATATTGTCATTCTTCTGTATGAAGTTTAGTAATGTGGATGTGAACTGGTAAGAAGGTATTGTGCCAACCCTTGTTCCAAGGGAAGGAGGCTCACTTTTTAAATATGGTGCATCATCTAGCCCCAGCTGGTCCAAGAAAATCTTCCTGACACCCTGAAAATGTTATTCTTCCCTCCCTGTGTATATGTCTCCCTTCCCCTCCCCCCATACTTCTGCTGGTTTCTCATGGAAGAACGGGGCACTGTGGAATGAGTGGGACACAGAGTGAAGTTTTCTGTTTATCACTCTATTAAATAGTGAGTAGAAATAGTAGGTTATAAGCAGGGTCAGAAATGTTGGCAAGTACCTGGAGTTCTTGCCTCCTGGCTCCTACTTGACACAGCTCCAGTACTTGCTATCGTTTGTAAACCAGAGTGTGGTAGATCTCTTTTTGTCTTTTCCTCTAACTCTGCCTTTCAAATAAAAAATCTTCTAAAAAAGAAATTAAATTCTATGTCTACCCTTCTAACTTTGGGCAGCTTAGTGGAAATGGCTGCACAGTTTTCTCATCTGAAAAGCAGGATAATATCTACCTCATAAAGCTGTTTTAGTTATTAAGTTAATAAAAAATACTCTTAGCAGGTAGTAAATATGGCAATTGTTCATTTTGTTAATATGTTTATGGGTATTATTTAACACTAGGAAAGTTGAGGTCTTCACTGATGTTCATTTAGAAACTATATACCAATATTTGTTTTAGCCAAGTTTGAGGGCTATGAACCATCTCAAACTATTGACTTTGTGTGAATGAGTAGTTACCTGTTAGAAAGCACTATAACTTTCATTGGATTACAAAAGTAGTGTGTAAATTAAAATAAAAAGCCTAAAATGAACAGTTGAAAATACAGAAAGCTGGTATGAGAAAAGCAGGATTGGTTGGTGCAAATGTGAATATAATTTGCTCAAACCTAGAGTTGATTCTGAGGTTTGATTTAACTTAGGAAGAATAAGACTGTTGAGCTAACTGAATGCCAAGGAGCACCGTAATTGGATAAACAATGCAATAAAACAGGCAGTCCTGGGAACAGGCATTGTGATGCAGCCAATTAAGGATGCTCATATCCCATATTGAATATCTGGTGTCAGGTTCACTTCTGACCCAGCTTCCTGCTGACAGGAAATGTATCCTGAGTGACAGCAAATGATGGTTCAACAAGGTGGATCCCTGCCACTCTCATGGCAGACCCAGATTGAGTTCTGGGCTCCTGGCTTCCACCTTGTCCAGTTCTCACCCAGCACAACTGTTGTAGGCCTTTGGGGAGTGAACCAGCAAATCTATACAGTTCTTTGTGTCCCTGTGCTTTTCAAATTTAGATAAATATAACCTTTTTTGAGGAAAAAACTATTACTACAGGTTTTAGAAAAAAGTGGTCTATTATTATGGGAAAGTAAAGGAGATTGAGTGGAAAGAACATCTTGTAAAGAACGATGAGGAAGATGGAGGCAGATTTAGAGAGGAGGTATTAGAAACTGGAAATGGAAAGTATCCTCAATTGAATTAAGTTAGCCTATGAGCCTTCTTTGAGATATTGAGCATTTATTTTCCTGATTACTGGGTCTCTGTTAATTTTTGCTGTCTTTTCTTTTAGGGTTTCAATCCACCTGTTCTTGTTTTTGTTCAATCCATTGAAAGAGCTAAAGAACTTTTTCATGAACTCATATATGAAGGAATTAATGTGGATGTAATCCATGCAGAGAGAACCCAGCAACAGGTAAAGTCAAGCATATATGTTGACATTAAATTTATGAAGTACCCTTTTCCAGTCCCAGGACAGTACTAATGCATTGAACATGTATTGTGTTATCTAGAGAGACAACACAGTGCACAGCTTCAGAGCGGGGAAAATCTGGGTTCTCATCTGCACAGCCTTGCTGGCCAGAGGGATTGACTTTAAAGGCGTGAACTTGGTGATCAACTACGACTTCCCAACCAGCTCTGTGGAATATATCCACAGGATAGGTGAGTTACCTTTGTTTTTCTTCACCGCTGTCACGTACTCGTCTCTTTTAGCACCTCAACTATTCCTTCCAAGGTGGCTCATTTTTTAATGCTGTGAAAATCTAGTGACTTACTTATGGCTCTGAAGAGTCCCTTTTTAAACAAAACAAACAAAAAAAAATGCTTTTTAAAAAAATGGTTTGATCTTTCTTAGGTCGAACTGGAAGAGCAGGACATAAGGGGAAAGCTGTTACATTTTTCACAGAAGATGATAAACCGTTATTAAGAAGGTAAATTTTGGGGAAAAACCCTTCATATTAAGTAGACAAAATTATTTCTTAAGTATTTTTAGGTAACATAATTACAAGATGGCTGCATTTAAAAATCCGTAATGTTATTGTTAGCCAGTTTTTTTTTTTTTTTCTGAAGAAGTAAAAGGTTTTCATAACGAATTATCTAAAAAATTTCTCACTGGAATGAACTAAGATAGTACAGTAACATAAAATAGTTTAATAGCAGATACAGTAGCTTGGTTTACATAACTCTTATAAAAAATAAAAACAGATCCTTTGGGAACACTGAGTTTAGTGATAGTTAGCTCAACTTATGGAGCTGGGGTAGGCTGCCTTGAACTTGAGATGCATAAAGTAGCTGGGTGAGGAAGGCATGAAGAACATTGAAGTAGAGTGAACAGTGTGTCAGTGTTGTGCTCAAGTTCAAGTACTTAGAGCCTGTGAGGTTTGAATTCTCATTAATGAGTAATCCAGAAGAGGTACAGCCACTTCCATTCCAAAAGCCTCAACCGGGTAAGTCTGTCTTCACCTCTGTCTGGCTTGGTTCCCGAGAGGAAAAAGAAAAAAGGTGGAAGGAAATCCACTGAATTTTACCCACGAGGAAAGGGAAAATGAACAAAGGAACTTAGTTATGCCCTCATATAGTTGAAACTTGGAACTGTTCAAAAGTTTCAGGTTCATGAGACTTTTTTTTTAAGATTTGTTTATTTTTTAAAAAACAGAGTTACAAAGTGAAAAACAGAATGAGAGCTTGCATCTCCTGTTTACTCCCCATGGCTGCATTGGCTGAGACTGGGCCAGGCCAAAGCCAGGATCCTGGACCTCCTTCCTGGTCTCATGAGGATGGCTGAGATGCTTGGCCCGTCCTCTGCTGCTTTCCCCAGGCACATTCGCAGAAAGGTGCCTCGTAATTGGAGCAACCAGCACCCAAACTGGCACTCACCATGGCTTCACCAGCTGTGCCATAGCATTGGCCTTTTTAGTGACCCTGAGTAGATGTTGAATTAGTGAATAGTTTAAAATTAATCCCCAAGTCTGCCGTGCTCCATTAGTGTTCTGTCTTACAATGGTCTGCCCTTTCATTACCTTAGGAGCAGGTGAAGTTTTATATTTAGTTGAGGATCGCATGCCATATAGCAAAAAATATTTTCATATTATTCAACCCTAATATATTTAGTAATTGCTTTTTGCGGCCTGGATTACACATGATGACATTTAGATTCTTAATTTAGCCCATTGTCAGAAATTTAGAACAGAAGCCAAGGTTCCTGCATTTTGGATAATGACAGTTGATAGCATAATGTTTCACTTTTCTCACAAAAAATCACTTGTGGCCAAGGGCATTTGTGCATGTGTTTGTGTGTCAGTTCTGACAGAGGTTTCCGTTTGTACCTTCTGACCCTTGAGCAGCCTAGCGTGTGTACGTTTAATGTGGTGTGTTCCGACTGCCTCGGTCACTCACAGACCCAGCAACTGTGATGGCCACAAGATCGACCTAACTGCACATTAGTTTTCCATCTGTGAGATCACAGTAGCATTTATCAGCGCTGTTGTGAGAGTTAAAAAAAGTTGTTGCCTAGCATTACTGCAGGTTTGTCACCCCACAGTAAACAGTAAATTAAAGCTTGACTCTGGCTTCAGTCAGTGTTTCTTCCAGGATTGGATGTAGATAGCTTTTTAGGACTTGATAAATGCATCATTGCTACTTAAAGTTATTCATCAATGTATTAATTTCAATCTAATGGAATTTTCCCAATAATCCATTCCAAGCACCAATGGCATTGATTGCGTTAGCAGAACACTTCGCTCCATTGCTTTATATGTTTTTGATTTCTGATATGCTATGCTGATGTTTATATACTTAACATTGGGCTAACAAGATACCAGTTTATGTTTATGGTTCCTTTTTCAGTGTTGCCAATGTTATACAGCAGGCTGGATGTCCTGTGCCAGAATATATAAAAGGTTTCCAAAAATTATTAAGGTATGGTCTTGAATTTACCTGGAGATTCTCTCTTTCTGTGTGTTTGCATATACATTCTTGCTTTAGGGGTTTTTTTTGCTTGCTTTCTTGCCTTTATTTTATAGAATCTATGTATCCATCTATCTCCATCCATCCTTCCCTAAGCAGTAGTTTTTTTTGGCTGGTTTTTGATCTTTTATAAAGTAGTAGTATTCTTTACTTGCTTGCTATTTGTGCTCCACTTTTTTTTCAGTTTTCTTTTTGTTTAAATATCCTTTTAATTACAGCAAGATACATATAACATAAAATTGACCATGCTACCTTTTTTCTTTTTTTTAATTTGTAAAGAAAATAGATTGTTTTCTTAGAGTTGTAAAGGCTGGGAGAGCCTTCTTGCTGGCGGGGATCCCGTTGTGTGCAGAGACCCTGTGGCACACCACAGTGGAGAGCCTTCCTGACTGGGTCGCAGTGTGCAAGACAGTGGCTTCCGCCTGTTGGTAGTTCCATCTGCAGAACTTCCAGTCTTACAGATCTGTAACTCTATCCCTTCCTTCTGACCAGTCCCTCTCAGTCAAGCCAACTAACACTGTACTGTATGGTTTCCACTACTGCTGCTCCAGAGTGGAATCAGACAGTATTTTTCCTTCTGTGCCTGTGTTTCCTCTTGGAATTTTCTTTCTTGTTAAGGCTGAATAATGATCCATTTACTAATCCATTCATCTGTTGATGGACATTTGGGTGCTTTCCTATATTACCAGTTGAGAATATTGTTGCTGTAATATGAGTATACAAGTATGTGTTTGAGACTGCTTTCATATATTGTTTTAAACTCTCCTATAAATTGTAATTCCAAAAATAAGACCTTTACAGCAGTTTAGGACATACTTTTTTTTGTTTTTGTTTTTTTTTTATTGGAAAGTCAGATATACCGAGAGAAGGAGAGACAGAGAGGAAGATCTTCTGTCCGTTGATTGACTCCCATGCGGGTGCAGGGTCCCAAAGCTTTGGGCCATCCCTGACTGTGATCACAGGCCACAAGCAGGGAGTTGAATGGGAAATGGGGCTGCTGGGATTAGAACCAGCATCCATCTGGCATCCTGGTGCATGCAAGGCTAGGACTTTAGCCACTAGGCCACTGTGCCAGGCCCAATATGTACATTTTGCTTGAAAATGTTTGTAAATATTTGCCAGTTTTTTTGTTGAAATTTTAAGTTCAAATTTTAAAAAATTTGTTAGAATGAAATATACTTAGGATTATTTTAGTTTGTAAAACTGGAGAAAAACAGTTAGGTGATGAAAATCAAATTCTGAAGCTCCTTAAGTTAGGCTATAAGGTTGATGCAGGACATTTTAGTCAGTTTCTTGCGTTAAAACTGACTAGGTCAGGCCTGGCGCAATAGCGTAGTGGTTAAGGTCCTTGCCTTGAGCACTCCGGGATCCCATATGGGCGCCGGTTCTAATCCCTGCAGTTTCACTTCCCATCCAGCTCCCTGCCTGTGGCCTGGGAAAGCAGTGGAGGCTGGCCCATAGCTTTGGGACCCTGCACTCACATGGGAGACTCAGATAGAGGTTCCTAGCTCCTGGCTTCGGATCGGTGCAGTGCCAGCTATTGTAGCCACTTGGGGAGTGAATCATCGGACAGAAGATCCTCCTCTCTGTCTCTCCTCCTGTTTGTATATCCACCTTTCCACTAAAAATAAATAAATCTTAAAAATTATTCATTCATTTATTTATTTATTTAAATCTTAAAAAAACTGATTAGGTCAATCATCCCTCTGGCTCTCAGAGCTCTTAGGGAAAGACAATTTATTAAAGTAAATAAAACCCCACCTAAATTAGTAGGTGATTAAAACTTAATTTTATGATCTGAAAAGTCAAAATTAATTTTCGTTTTACCCCTTTTGAAAGAATTTGCACTTAATTTTTCTCCTGTCTTTCTCACTCAGCAAACAAAAGAAAAAGATGATTAAGAAGCCATTGGAAAGAGAAAGTATCAGTACAACTCCAAAATTTTTTTTAGAGCAAGCTAAGGCTAAACGGTAAGAAAAATTGCTGTTTGGCTCTTTCATCTATTTATGGTAGACATTAGCTTTCCTTAAAGTAAAATTGCTAGTCTAAGCATTATATAATGTGATAGAAGTGTGATGTATGATTTGGAGACTGGGATGATTTGATCTTAGAAAATTTCCATCTTTGTATGTTAGCAATCTAAGATTTTTCATCTTTGAAAATATAAATTCAGTTCACTCTGGTTTCTTTGTTTTTTGAAAATTTATCTTGTTTGAAAGGCAGAGTTATGGTGGGTAAGGGCAGGATCTTCCATCCATGGGTTTACTTCTCAAATGACCACAACAAAGCCAGGAGTCTGAAACTGCTTTTAGGTCCCCTGTGTGAGTGCAAGGGCCCAGATACCTGGGCCCTTTTCCCCTGCTTATCTAGGCACTGGATCAGAAGTGGAACAAGTAGAATTTGAGCCAGATCCTGAAGGGGAAGCGTGAACCACAGACAGTGACTTCATCTGCTCAACAGTGCTGGCACAGTTCACTCCTCCTGACTGTTGTGGTGCCCATCCTGCCCTCAGGACCTGCTGCTGAGCCTGACAGGATGACTGATTCTTGTTGCTCAGTGATGTTCCCTGTCCCTGGGATTCAGGATAATCCTGGGCTAAAGTGAATAGGCTCTGAGAAGTGGAGCATACATAGGGAGAAAGGGACATAGTGAGGTGAAGTGACATGCCCAAAGTCACATAGGAGAGTGGTGTTAAAACCAGTTCTTGGGGCCTACTGCAATGGTTTAAATATCTCATCCTCCCCTTGCAAGTGTCAGGACCCCATATGGGTGCCAGTTGTGTCCGTGTCACTCTACTTTGCATCCAGCTTCCTACTTGATGCCTGAGAAAGCAGTGAAGATGGCCCAAAGCCTTGAGACCTTGCACTCACATGAGAGACCCGAAAGAAACTGCTGGCTTCAGATTGGCTCAGCTCTGGCTGTTGCAGCTCTTTGGGGAGTGATCCAGTGGATGAAAAGTTTTTTTCTCTGCCTCTGTTTGTGTTTTTGGATCTGCCTTTCCAATGACAGTATATTAAGGAAAAAACGAAGAAAAAATTGAAGCATTTCTTCTGGTTCCAAATGCAGTTTTTCTCCTTTACACTGGGCTGTTTGTAGGGCCTGAAGTAAGGAGTATTAAATGAGTTAAATACACCTAAGAACTTTATCACTAAAATATAGAATGCAGACATTGATATTTTCTTGAAAACTTTACTTTTCCTTTGCTACCACCTTATGGGGGCATATACCATTCACCAGGCTCTAAAATCAGTCTGTCAGAGCTCTTAAAATTCGTGACTAATGTGTGATGACTGACAAGTATCAACTCTTTTCCTCATTTTCTTTGTAAAAGTGAGAATAGTATCTCACTCATTAGTCATTAAGATTACTTGAATTAGTACATGCAGAGTACTTATAATCATGTCCAGTGCTTAATAAGTACTGAACCCGTGTGCACCTCTTACTAGCTTAGGATTAGAATCTGTCACACAGCGTCGTATTGAGTGTGAGTGTATTGAGATGTCTGTCTTACGGTAATTATGGTTTTGTTAAAGGGAAGAGGTCATGTCTGATGTATCTGTGTTCCTAGTGCCTTGGCAATGTAACCAGGAGGTTTCAGTAAATGTTATTGAACTGATAGAATTACAGAATTATAGAAAGGAAATCTATCTAGAATTATTGAGACAACTTTCCTTTCTTTTACTTTTTTTTTTTTTCCTTTCTTTTTCACAGGAAAAAGTTTGCTGGTCAGAAAAGCAAGAAGAAAGTCGCTCCTGAAGATAAAAGTTAAAGACTTCAAATCCTCTTCCTAGAAAAATAATTTAATGATGCAGCACAAACGTAGCTGTCCTGGAGTACTTCAGCTCTGACGGTCACCAGTGCCAAAGGTCTGCAGTTGGCTGGTAGGCTGGTGAATCCTCACCCTGAACTGACGGGGTGGCACTTCAGCCTGCTGCTCATCCGTGACTTCAATGATGATACAAGGGCAGTGAGCACTCTCTGAACCTGGAGATAGACTTCTTATAGAAGAACAAAAGCATATGCTGAAAATGACACCCACGTGGGGTGGAATCTTGGGGATTGTTTCCTTTCTGCTGTGAAGGAAAGCAAGCTGTGTGTATGCTGCAGGCCCCTGGACCAGAGCTTCGGAATGGAGCCTTGAGGTTGCTGGCCCCATCACTTCTCCCATACTGACCCAGTTTGGATGGATATGAAGGAGGACAAGCCAGCTCCCGGGAAGAAGTTCTGCTCTTTATTTTAGTATTTCTTAATTTGTTGATGACCTTGCTGCTGTGACCTTACAACAAAAAGGACCCCACCCACTCGCCCCTGGGTTGCTGTTGTTCCCGTTCCCTAGGATTTTCAGTTTTTTGGCCCGTTCTTGGATCTCATTGGTGAGGTAGTTATCCTCAGCTCTGATAATGTTATAACTCTGAGATCATGATTGGCCTCTTCCTTTCTGACTTTGTTTTCCATCACTGACCCATGCTCTTTCCATTTAAGATGGCTTTACTTGAAAGCTGATAAACATTGTTATCTTGATAAGGAAGAATGTTCCTATTACTTGATCCACCACTAGCTTCATTCACTTACAGTTGATCTTTCCCAATGCTGGCTGGTCCTTCCCCTGCTTGATAAGCAGGTTTCTGCCTAAGGCAGAGAGTTAAGATCATGGGCCAGTGCCTTGGTTAGCAGCTTAAGCCTTGACCTGTGACACTGGCGTCCTCTAAGGCACTATCCTGCCCCGTTTCCAGTGCAGCTCCCAGCTAATGTACCTAGGGAAGCAGCAGAGGATGGCTCAAGTCCTTGGGTTCCTGCACCCATGTGGAATACCAAGAAGCTCCTGGCTTCGGATCAGCTCAGTGTGATCATTTGGGGAGTGAGCCGGTGGCTGAAAGTTCTCTCTGTAACTCTGCCTTGCAAATAAAAATAAATCTTTAAAAGATTAAGATTATAGGATAATGGGAACTTCTGTTATTGGATTCTTTTCAGTTGCTAGTTTCTACAATGCAATAAAAATTGGCTTCATACAAGCAGAGCCAGAGCCTTAGAGTAACATGATTGTGGTCAGAACTACTTGCTACACAAGTGTGATGCTCATGCACGTGGCTTGGTAGCATTGAATTAAATTTTCTTCCTTTATTCTTAGCCTTTTGTATCAGGACAGATAGGATATTTCAAATAGAACAAAAAATATTCATTTTCAGAATTTAAGTGGAAACTATTGGCTTCAGGTTTTAAAAACAAATACCTATGACTTCTTGTTTGTTCTCATAGGTTCTTAACTCCCGTGTATTCTAGAGGTAGGTTTACTGTTGCAACTCTTCAAAAGTCAGTTACTTAATTTTTTCAAGGCTTTGGCTTTTTCCATCTGTGAAATTGTGTATATCTGAAGATTGGAAGTACCTAGCACTTCACTACTAGTAAATTTCACAATAAATATTCGTTAAACAACCACAGATTTTACAAGGAATATAAGGATTGCTAATAGTTCTTAAGTCTAAAAGTGAAGGGACAAGTCCTGTGATAGAGTATTTGTTAAGAGGAAGGGCATGCTGCTGACCCAGACTGGACATGGTGGGGAAGGCTGATGTCCCTAATGGAGTTCTGTAGTCTCAGGAAGAACCAGCGGGGCTGGGCGCTATGGTTAACAGCAGCAGCGTGCCACACTAGCATCCCATACAAGCACTGGTTCTTGGCTGCTCCAATCCCATCCAGCTCCCTGCTAGTGGCTTGGAGAGTAGGGGAACCTGAATGGTGTTCCTGGTTCAGCCCTCAGTTGTGGCCATGTAGGGTGATAAGTCAGCAGAGGGACATCTCTGGGACTTTCCCTTAATTCACTTTCAAATCATTAAAATCTTTTTTTTAAAAAAAGGGCTGTTTTAGATACAAGAAATCTCATTTTCTGTGATCCTTCCTTAATAGACTCCCCTTTTTTAGTATTTTCTCATCCATTCATCCATCCATAATAAATATGGGGAATGTAGAATTTCACCTTCTCCCAAGGAAGGAGTTATAGTCAATTAGAGCAGAATACATAATTGGCACTAGTGATCTGGGTTTGAATGCTAATCCTGTGCTTACAGCTGTATGCTCTGGGCAAATTCAGCTTTGTAACATTGATTTCATCATTAAAATGTCAACTTCTACAAGACAACACTTTAAAAACACACAAAGATCCTGGCCATTTATTGTGCCTAGTAAATGATAATTTATTTTAAAAAAGAAACAGGCAAGAGTTGAAAGCTGGTAATTAGCCCATTTCTTGCTAGTAAAAGCAAACTCTCCTTAGGGCTTGGAGAAGGTTTATAATCCCTGTGTTGTATCTTGATTGGGAAAAACAAAGTGACAATGGCAAGAGTGCACCTGGAGGGTTTCTGCAGGTCTTCATACCCTGGGCTGCCTAAAGTAACTGTGAAAACCCCTCATCGTTCGAAGGGGATTCCCAGAGGAAACTCAGCAGAACTCTCGTTACATGTAATGAACAAGAGAACACTTGTGTATTCACTATCCACCACCACCTGGTTTTAAAAATAACCTACTCCTTCCTCTAAAGCGACCGTTAAGCCAACAACGCGTTGGCGCTCGGGCACTGGCTGATGTACAGCACCCTGCAGTTAGCCCCCTGCATTGACCCCATGCAGCGGTATCCTGCTGCAGCCAGCCCCCTGCCCCGGCCGACCCGCAGCCCCCTGCCCCGGCCGACCTGCAGCACCCTGCAGCCAACACCCTGCATTGACCCCATGCAGCGGTACCCTGCTGCAGCCAGCCTCCTGCCCCGGCCGACCTGCAGCACCCTGCAGCGGCACTGCCCGCCTCGCGCCCGCAGGTGCCCGAGGCCCGGGAGCGTCACGTGGGCGCGAGGCCCCGCCCCCTCGCCGGTCGGCGTCGAGGTGGGGCCTGGCGTTTGCCCCGGAAGTGGCTGTCTGCAGCTGACAGCTGCTGCTGAGGAGGCGGCGGGCCCGGAGCAAGATGGCGCTGCGGCCGGGCACGGGGGCTGGCGGCGGCGGGGCTGCGGGGGCTGGCGCGGGAGCCGCCGGGGCAGGCAGGTGGGTGTGAAGAGCCGGGTCGGAACCAGTGGGGTGCGGCTGACGGTGCCGCGGAGCGGAACCAGCCTCCGCCGCGGCTTTGAGGTGCTTGGCAGTTATGGCCGTTTTCGGCAGCTCCGGCTCTTTCCCTTAAGAGTTGAGCTGAGGGAGAAGGGTCGGCCTTGTGGGGGCTTAGGCGGAGAGGGGACGGCCGGGCTTCAGGCTCCGGGACGCCGGCTACCGGGGCTGGAGCGGCGAGCGCGCGCCGGTGCGGGCAGGGCAGCGGAGACGGGGAGGTCCCCTCGGCGGGGCTGGCCGGAGCCGGCACCCCGACGCCTCGGCGCGGGTCCTGCCGCCGGTCCTGCTGCCCGCGAGCCACCGGGGCTCCGCGGCCCTGCTTCGCCAGCCTGGCCGGGGGTGAGCAGGAAGGCTGTGCCCATCTGGTTCCCAAGCTGGAGGGGTGTCTGCGAAGTGTGAGTGTGAGTGTGTGTGTGCTGCTTCTGCCCCGCCCCACCCCCTCCTGAGAGTGTCCTGGCCCGTCCCCTTCTTTATCATCATTATTATTATTTTTCTTTGTTTAAACATACGACAGCAGGGAAACTTGGAGGCCTTTGAATTAATTGCCCAGCGCTAGGGCTGTTTCCTTAGAAGGCTTGCGGGTCTCCTTTCTAAAAAGGTGTTTAAGGGTGTTTAATGCCCCGTTGTTGCAGTTAGGAAGCGATGAGAACAAAGCCTCCGGAGTTGGACTTCTCAAACCTGACCCCTGTTACTTCAGCTAGAAACTGCCAGTGGTTCTTACACCCAGAGCCGTGAGCGAGAGGAAGTTTATCATCAGGTGAAGGAAATATTCTAGCAAGTTCTCACCTCGCTTCTATAGTGACACAGATGGAGTGTTCATTTAGAGCAAAGTCAGCTTTTTTTTTTTTTAATATTAAGTATCCTAAATTATCTTTGGAAAAGGAGGCTACTTATTTGACCACGGTTTGGTTTTGGAGTCAGGAGTGCTGAGAGGGTCAGGTCTTCAAGGTGGTCACCCTGGCAGCTGCCCTCGAATGCTAGGAGCATTCCCACCTGTGTGCCGCCCTGAGTTTCGTTGCCTCGTACGTGTTTGGCTTGAGATTTAAAAAACTTTGCTGTGTTGTGCTCTTTACTGTTTATTATAGTTTTTCGTGGGTGCTTGGAATCAGCTTCTAGCTGGAGGAAAGAAGCCTGGACTCTTTGTTTCTTGCCTGGGTATGCTGGCAATTTCTGAAGTGTTCCTGAATGGCATTAATTTGATCAATTTGATTAACTTGATGTAGTTCATAATAGCAGCAAGACCTGGAAAAATACAGCCGTAAACGAATTTGTTCATCTAAGCTCATATTTTCATTTATTAAAAATTACTGTTGTTGTCTTTTTTCCCTTGGCTAGGAGTACCTCAGTTGAGTGGATTATTCTTTTGGCTTTGTTTAATGTCACTGGTTCATGGACAGGTTTTCTGTAGAAACTGGAATGCTTGGTTTGAGATCTTTCCTTCTCTGAGTGTACCAGCATCTGCGTTCTAACGCACTGGAGAGTAAGTGGAAAACTGGTTGAACTGATCCTTGGTTTGAAAAAAAATAGAGTAAATATGTTAGATACATTTGACATTTTCAAAGCTAAGAAACTGTATGCTCAATAAAGATTATTGGGGATTTTAGGTAGCAGCGATTAAACAGTTAAAGGAATCCAAGATGGTAGCCTGTATGTATTTTAGGAAAAAGAAAAGCACCTGCTGAGTTTTTGATGAGGACAATGGATGCGCTGTAGCTAGCACATGACATCCTCAGCCTGAGTCTCCGCAAAAAGTAATGTCATTTTCAAACTTTGCTTCTATCTGATCAGTATCCTGGATGAATTGCTTTAGAATAAAAAGGAGACCTGCATAAGGGGCAAAATTTTCCTAAGCAATGAGCAGTTTAATTTCTTTTCAAATCCTGGAAGGCAGAAAAAAAGGGAGGTCTTAAGTGTGTGCTTGTGAAAGGCATCATTTTCTGGTGCTGTTGTGAATTCAGAAGCCACGCAGATGCGGCCCACCTCCTCGGAGAATATACAGAGCAGCTGTGGTGCGAAGGGAGCCGCATCCTTCTGGGTACTAAAGGGTGTGAGCTCATTGATTTTTTTTTTCCTCCTATTTCCCTAACACATTCTTGCACCAAGGAAACTTCCAGTAGATAGTTGTGGGTTCCAACTGAGTTGAAAAATAAAGGATTGGCATGTATGCTGGGCCTGTCAGAAAGAGGAAAGGGCCAAGAGATCGTGTCGGCCGGCCCAGTGAGCCCTCAGGGTCAGCACTCCTGTAGTGCCAGGTGCCCTGTGGCACTGAGTTGGGCCTGAACTGAATAGGGTCTTTAAGTTAAACTAAGGTAATTCATTGCACCGGGGGCGGGGGGGGGAGGGATCCTTAGGTGGTTTAACTGCAATTATGTGGAGTTACTGAATTAAGGTCATTTGGAAAGATGCAGCTCAGCTTGGCTGCATGCATTGGAGACCAGGGCTGGAGGTGGACAGGCCCAGGAGGCAAGGCTCATGGCAAAATTACAGCAAAGTGAAGAGGAAGGGTGAGTGAGATGGGCTATGACATGTGACTAACATACCAGCTGTCAAAATGTGACATTTGTCATACATGATGAGCAGTGACTTGAAATCAAACTATTGGTCCTCTGGCTGCCCAGTTTTTTTGTGAAACTTTTGCTGCTTTTCGAACCCATCTTAAGCATAGTTAAGGTGAGCTGTCTAATAAACATTTCAGAGAATCATACGAGTGCTGTCTGGGTCACAAAGCAGTTTTGAGTTGCTGAATGTTAAATAGGGTAACTCAGGCCAGTAGTGTTCTTTTTTTCCTTAAGATTTTATTTATTTTTATTGCAAAATCAGATATACAGAGAAAGAGAGACAAAGATTTTCCATCTGATGGTTCACTCCCCAAGTGACTGCAACAGCCAGTACTGTGCCAATCCAAAGCCAGGAGCCAGGAACTTCCTCCTGGTCTCCCATGCAGGTGACAGGGTCCCAAGGCTTTGGACCGTCCTCAACTGCTTTCCCAGGTCACACGCAGGGAAGCTGGATGGGAAATGGGGCTGCCAGGATTAGAACCGGCACCCATATGGGATCCTGGCATGTTTAAGGCGAGGACCTTAGCTGCTAGGCCACCACGCCGGGCCCCAGTAGTGTTCTTAATTTTTGCTTTCTTGGGTTTTCAGAGTATGTTTTAGACATCCACACATCTGTTCTTAGTTGGAACTCGACTCGTTTTCAGTTCTTTGTCCGTTTTGCAGGAGGTGAAACAAAAGGGAATTACATGGAGCTTCATGGCTAACCTTATGGCAAAGTAGGAATAAAGAAAAGGTAATTCAAGTTTCCAGGTTTTAGGGGGTTGTTTTGAGCTACTAAGCTAGACTGGTAAGCTTAGTCTTTGAGGTTGATTGTGACAAGTGTTAGCTCAAGCATTAAGCTTTTTCACTGTGAAGACTTCCCAAGGTGGTCCTTAGCAGTCTGCACGCCACCTCAAATGTTGCATCCTCTGTTGCTGCTGTCTTGCATTTACGTAAATGATCCTGGCTGCATTCATCCAGGTCTTGGTCCTGAGCTGGAGTTACTTTTCCACCTGCTGAAGACACGCGCCTCCTGTCTCTCTGGTGACTCTCTTGGTGCTGGGTTCCTGTTTGCCATGAACAGCGTTTCCATCCTTAGAGGTGCTCAGGCTCCAGGTCACGGCGTCCGCTCTTTGTGCTCTTTCATTTGATTACCCATCCTGGGCACTGCCACGTTCTATGAATTCCTCCCTCTTAAATATCTGTCCCGGCAGGCATTGGGTGCAGTAATGTAGACATTGCTTGGGATGCCTGCATTCTCAGAATGTCGGAGTTCAAGTTTCTGCTCTCCTCCTGCTTCCAGCTTCTAATGCATGTCCTCAGAGGCCAGGGTGATGGCTTAAGTGAATAGATTCCTATCACCCAGGAGGGAGACCTCAATAAAGTTCCTGGCTTGCTGGCTTTAGCCTGGCCCAGCCTCATCTGTTAAACACGTTGTGGGTTAAGCCGCCACCTTCTTTGCCAGAATCTCATAATGAGCACCAACTTGAGTCCCAATTACCCTGCTTCTGATCCAGCTCTCTGCTGAGTTGTCTGGGAAAGCAATGGAAAATGACCTGTGTGCTTGGGCCACTGCAGCTGTGTGGGAGATCCAGATGGGGTTCTAAACTTCTAGCTTCAGCAAGACCCAGCCCAGTTATTGCAGCCACTCAAGGAGTGGCTAGCAGGTGTATGTAAGATTCTCTGGGTCTCTGTCCCTCCCTCCTTTTCTGTATCCCTGTTTTTCCAATAAATAAATTTTTAAAAATCACTATACTTTATATGTATTACATATATATAAATCTGTCCTTCCCATTTCTTGTACATTCCAGTTATGACTCTTTTCATCTATTAGTAGAATTATTTTTTTTAAGATTTATTTATTTTATTGGAAAGGCAGATGTACAGAGAGGAGGAAGAGACAGAGAGGAAGATCTTCCATCCAATGATTCACTCTCCAAGTGAGCGCAATGGCCAGTGCTGTGCCAATCTGAAGCCAGGATTCAGGAATTTCTTTCCGGGTCTCCCATGCGGGTGCAGGGTCCCAAGGCTTTGAGTCATCCTTGACTGCTTTCCCAGGCCACAGGTAGGGAGATGGATGGGAAGTGGAGCTGTCGGGATTCAAATCAGCACCCATATGGGATCCCGGTGCGTTCAAGGCGAGGACCTTAACCATTACGCTATCGTGGCGGGCCCTGTTAGTAGAATTATTGTGTTTCTTAACTAGATATTTTGTCTTCATCTCTACTATATACCTCTACCAAATTAATACCCTAAAGCAAATTCAGGTCTTCTTCTTTTTTTTTTTTTTAAAGATTTATTTTTATTATTTTTTCATTGGAAAGGCGGATATACAGAGAGGAGAGACAGAGAGGAAGATCTTCCATCCGATGATTCACTCCCCAAGTGAGCGCAACGGGCCGATACTATGCCGATCCGAAGCCAGGAGCCTCTTCCAGGTCTCCCACGCGGGTGCAGGTTCCCAAAGCTTTGGGCTGTCCTCGACTGCTTTCCCAGGCCACAAGCAGGGAGCTGGAAGGGAAGCGGGGCTGCCGGGATTAGAACCGGCGCCCATATGGGATCCCGGGCGTGCAAGGCGAGGACCTTTAACCACTTGCGCCACCGCGCCGGGCCCAAATTCAGGTCTTCTTAAAAACCTCTGACTATGGAAGTGTGAATCTAAACTAAACAGATGCCACTTCATGCTCATTAGAGCGATTCATAACTGGTGAGCTGTTGAAACCACTTGAGCAAGTATCTCAGAGCATGCCCCACATCCGGAACCTGGGGTGGGTGGGAAATTGGGTGGGGCTTCTCTCTCAGTATCCCCCTTTACCTCAGATACATGAAGGAAACAATATGGAAATACTAGTCTTACCCACTTTCCTATAGCCCTTGAACCTTTTTACCCCAATTAACTATGTAAAGATTGTCAAAAATATAATTTTAAAAATGAAAAAATAAATAAAATAAAAAAGTAACATCGGGCCCAGCGCAGTAGCTTAGTGGCTAAAGTCCTCACCTTGAATGTGCTGTAATCCCATATGGGCACCGGTTCTAATTCCAGCGGCCCCACTTCCCATCCAGCTCCCCTGCGTGTGACCTGGGAAAGCAGTTGAGGACGGCCCAAAGGCTTGGGACCCTGCACCTGTGTGGGAGACTCGGAAGAGGCTCCTGGCTTCAGATTGGCTGCACTCCAGCCATTGCAGCCACCTGGGGAGTGAGTCAACGGATGGAAGATTTTGCTCTCTTTCCTCCTCTCTATATATCTGACTTTGCAATAAAAATATATATATTTTTAAAAAGTAACACCAAGTATTGGAGAGGGTGTGAAGAATTTAGAAACTTCATGGGCTGCTGGTGGGAGTGTAAAAACATTTTGGGCTTTTCTCTAAGTGAAGGTGGGCTACGTTGTGGTGCCACAGTAACAATGCCACTTTACAATATTGGAGGACTTGGGTTTGAGACCCTACTGTTTTCAAGCCAGCTTCCCGCTGATAGGCACTGCAGAAGTCAACGGATACCTGGGTCCCTGCCATCCACAGGGAGTGACCCAGAGAGAACCCTAGGCTCCTGGCTCCGGCCTTGTCAAGCCTAAGCCTTTGGGGAGGTGTGCTGTTTGTCCCCATGCTTCTCAAAGTTGCATCTTTTTTTTTTTGAGAACGGATGTTTTGCCTGGTGGTTAAGGTACTGCTTGAGATGCCCATGCATTGCATTAGAGTGCCTGGGTTGGAGTCCTAGTTCTGTGTCCAGTTCCAGCTTCCTGCCAGTTCACACCCTGGAGGAATGTAATGGCAGTAACAGCTGCCGTCAGTGGCTGGGTCCCTGCCACCTACCCACATGGGACACAGATTGAGTCCCCAGCTCATGGCCCTGGCCTTTGGGAAACAAATCAGCGGATGGGTGATCCCTCTGTCTGCCCCTCAAATAACAGAAGCAAAGAGAACCTGTGAGACAACCTGTGCCATGTACGTACAGTGGCTGATACTCAGACTTGAAAGAAAAGCAGGAAATTCTGACACAGGCTATAACATAGGTGGATCTTGAGAATGCTGCCCCCGAGGGAAGTAAGATAGGGGAGATGAGTACTGAATGAAGTTCATAGCACCGGCAGATTCACAGACGTGAAGCAGTGGCTTCCTGGAGCTGGGTGGAGGGGATCACGGGGCGCTGTTGTGTGACGGGTGCGGAGTTGGACTTGGGAAGATGAAAACTTCTGAAGATAGATAGTGGTGATTCTTACATAGAATTGTAAGTGCACGTAAATGATACACTTACACATGACAAGGGTAATAAAGTTTTATTTTTGCTGCCACTGCCACAAACCACAGTTTTAAAAAGCTGTGCCAACTTTACATAAACTTAAACATTTAAAGGCCCTCGAGATTCCGCTTGCTTTTCTTATCCCTTATATTCAACCTTGAGTAATTTTTCTGGACATGTATGCATCTCTCAGGGGCCTTTATCAAGGTTCAGCTCTCATTTGCCCCCACCAAACTTCCACAGATACAACAGCCCAAAACGTAATCGTTGTCTTCTCTATTAATATTTTGGACCTTGCTTATGATAATTTGCACATTTCTTCTGTAGTTACTTGCCTACATCTGTGTCTCCCAGGTTGCAAGCTGTTAGAATCCTTTTAACCCAGCTCTGATGTGATGGGTGGGGAAATGGGAATCCAGGGAGATAAGACAGAGCCAGAAATAATTTCAGAAATCCCCCTCTGCACTGACGTGCTGGCGGGCCTGCCCCCAGGAGTGCTCCCTCTGTGTTGGTGGTGGGCAGTTCATTGTTGCACTGCAGAACAAAACCAGGGCCCTGTCCATATGGTTCTTTCATTCTGTTAAAAAAGTGACGTTTGAAGTTTTTGTACATAAAAAGGTGGTCATAAATTTTTCTTCTGTTTTCAGCTTCATGTTTCCTGTTGCAAGTGGAATAAGACCCCCACAAGGTATGTGAAAAAGTGTAAGTTCTGGACTTAGGTTTTTCACTGTTTCTGAACTTGGGGGTGGGGGTAATTGGGTGAGCAGAAATTAAGTTCTATCGTTGCCAAATAGAGGAAATTGTCCTACAGTTTTAAACATATTTAACAAGTTACTACTTCCCATGATGTGACATTTGGAGGGTCAGGATTAGTCCTCATTTCTCCCACACTTACATAAACTCTGTTGACAGATTCTTATTTGTCCTCAAATGGAGACTTTAAAGCCAGTACTGTGAAATAAGATGACATGAGCTGGACTACTCGTGGTGACTTTTTTCTCCTCCTGTCTGTTCTGGTCCTAGATTGTCACTGCTAGAGGGCAGGGGTCTCCTCTGCTGCCGAGCAGTTGCTGGTGGACTCTAGGTTGAGTGATGGTTATTCTGCCTTGCCCTGTTTTCTGTGTATATAGTATGGCCTTTCTGCACGCACACACTCTGATTCCATTTTTTAAGCATTTCGCAGTTGTATTCCTGCAGGTTCTCGCTGGCATGCAGGGTTACCCCATCTCTCCTGGTTTTAGATGAAGATTCGCTAGCGTCCGTTCTGGCTTTGTCTTCAAGGAACCAGGAGGGAGGAGTGTTTTCTTGTCATGTGCTTTTGGGACACAAAGGTGAAAGATAAATGTAGCTTTTTCTTCTCATTTCTCCCTCACTGAGGTTCTCCATGCACGCACATTGCTTCCAAAAGCCGGCACTTCTCACCAAGTCAGCAGTGGGGGCTTATGGCAGCTTTTCTAGGGAGATGGAGACTCGGAGGTCAGTGGGAGAGATGAAGGGTAAGAGGCGCTCGGTAGCAGGTGCTTAGGTGCTCATTCTCACTTTGTCTGCTTTTACTCCATGGTGGAGTTGAATTTCAGGGTAACTTTTTCCAAGGATCGGTTGTATTCTTTTGTTGTGTTCACGTTTATGCATTATTGAAGCTACCTGTAATTAGATGTGTCCCAGATTTAGATCAAATGGTTTGGGATCTTTCTGTTCTTTAGAAAGTAATTCAACAAGATGCCAAAAACAAAACAAAAAAAAAAAAATGAAAGAAAGTAATTCAGAGTGTTGTGTTCATTATCATGGATAGTTTTATTGCATTTTTAAAAAGATTTATTTACTTTTATTACCAAGTCAGGTATACAGAAAGGAGGAGAGAGAGAGAGAGGAAGATCTTCAATCCACTGATTTACTCTCCAAGTGGCTGCAACAGTTGGAGCTGAGTTCATCCAAAGCCAGGAGCCAGAAGCTTCTTCCGGGTCTCACGCAGCCAGAATCCTAAGGCTTTGGGCCGTCCTTGACTGCTTTCCCAGGCCACAAGCGGGGAGCTGGATGGAAAGTGGGGCCACTGGGACAGACCCAGTGCCCATATGGGATCACGGCACATGCAAGGCAAGGAATTCAGCCACTAGGCCACTGTGCCAGACCCATTGTATTGCATTTGTATAAATTTTCATGTAAAAATTCATGTGTAGAGTCCAGAAACCAGGCAAGAGATCCCAAAAGTCTGTCGGAAGGTTTTTTTTTTTCAGCATTTGGAATTGTTTTGGAGATTTCATCTCTTCTGCTTCCTTTTTTTTTTTTTTTAACTGAGTATGCTAGAATAGTCTTGGATCTTTTTTGGTTACTTGAAACTTTTAAATTATGCCTGGTTTGTTGCCAAAAGCATATCAGCAGGGACAGCCCAACGATAATGGGAGGTAGGGAAGGAAGCAGACTTATTTTTCACTGTGTACCTCTGTATGTCTTTAAATCTTGTATCAAATACCTGTGTTATTCATTTCAAATTAATAATGGAAGAAAGCAAAACATTAGATGCAAAGAAAGAAGAGGAAACTTTACCACCACTGTGTTTAAGCCCATTCCTTCTCCAAGGCACCTCAGGCTCTTCACACTCAGTGTTTGTTCATCTGGAGTGTTCTTCACACACACCTGGCATGGCTTGCCTTCATTTCCTTGAGGTCGTCGCTCACATACTGTCCTGCTGGTGAACACTTTTCTGACTGTCCTCTATGTGACAGGATTCTCTGCTTCCCCACCTCTGCCTTTCCCTGTGTATTTTGGCCCCCCTCTCTTACCACCACCTGACATGTTCTTTTTAATTATCTTTCTCCTTCGATTACAAGTTCCGAGAGGGCAAAGATTGTGCTCACTGCTGACTACCTAAATTAGACCTGGCATGGAGAGGTCCTCAAAGCTCTTAAATAAATGAGGGAATGACTGACCATCAGGTACAAAGGTGAATGTCTGTATCTAAAGCTAAGCTGTATAGTAATGTAGAGAACGCAAAGCCACAAAGCATGGTATGTGAAACGTTGTTACAGTTTCTTGTAGTAGAAGCTGTAGGGAGGTAAGATGTGGTAAAGTGCAAAGGCAGGGTGAAATGTGTGCTTAGCCCATGCAAGTTTCTCTGGTAGCGTTTGCCCATTCTCTTGGTTTCAGATTTGTTTACCATTATTTACAAGTATATAGAACTGTGCCTAGCTTAGTAGGCCTTTAGTATTTACTGAATCTCCCAAGGGGCATATATTCATTATCTTCTGCTTTCGGAAGTGCTTCATTGGGGAAGTTTGGGAGATACTGTCCTGGGTCATACTTTGCACAATAGTTTGCTTGCACTGCATTACTGGATTTTGTTGTTTTGGTGATGGCTGTTTGTGATAAATGTTATATTAAACATTTATGTAAAGAAAGGGAAGGAGAGTGTTACTTCTTGAAGCATACAGTTTTATGGGGAAGAAACCCAGACACAGAGTACAGTTAAGCAAGAGGAGTCTGGGAGTAGTCTTGCATGGTCTGGCTCCAGCCCCTTCAGAAGAGTGCAGTAAAGGTGCCAGCCAGGGTGTCTGAAGGTTGGTGGAGCAGACAGATGTCTTTCCAAGATAACTCACTCACATGGAAAGAATGTCCATGCTGCTTTTGGCAGGTGCTTTGTTCCTTACCACGTTGCATTTTCCATGTGACCCCATGAGCTCTCTGATGGCATGCCATACCTTGACCTAGTCAGGTGCTTCAAGAAGGAATGAGGAAACTGCTGTGCCTCCCCCACCCCCCGTTTTAATTTAATTCTGTGAAAGTTAATTAAACAGGAGAGACAGGTAAGGAGGGAGAATGGAAGAGAAAACTTCTGTCTACTGGCTCACTCCCTGGACAGTCGCAAGGCCAGGAGCTTTATCTGGTTCTCCCATATGGGTACAAGAGCCCAAGCACTTGAGCCATCTTCCACTGCTTCTCTCAGGCACTTTAGTAGGGAACTGGGTTGGAAATGGAGCTGCTGGGACACAGACCAGTGCCTATATGAAACGCCAGTGTCACAGGTGACAGCTTTACCTACCACACCATAATGTGTGCCCCAATTTCCGTGTCTTATAAACCAGGGAATCAGAGACAGGCATTTGGTTAAGTATCTGTGCCCCAAATGAGAGTGCTTGGGTTTAATCTGCAGCTCTAGCTTCTGACTTCTTGCTAATGGGAATCAGCAGGGATAACTGAAAGAGTTGGATTCTTGTCGCCATAAGGGAGACTTAGATTGAGTTCCTGGCTTCAGCCCCCTGGCTCAACCTCAGCTGTGTGGGCATTTGGGGAGGAAACTAGCAGACAGAAGCATGTTCTATGTCTCTCTCCCTCTCGTTTTGCCCCTCAAAATGAAGCAGCATCAATAGTTTTGGACTGACATTTTCACAGTATCCTAACTTGGATCATGCTATGGGTCAAGCTGGTCAGTTGTGTTCATTATACAAGAGAATGACACAAATTTAGGAATACTAGAAGGCAAAGCTCGCAGGGGCCATCTTGAAGACCAGGTGCCACACTTAGGTTGTACTGTTTTTAAAATATGTGTTAAAATGTGTGTTGATGGGACCTACTTTGATTTTACAGAGTTTTGTAACTTGCCATGAAGCTGAGTAAAAAGTCGAGTTGGAATTCCTATTCAAGTCTGCCTCATTCTGAAACCTGTGCAGTGCCACCTCCCAAGTGTCAAGGGTTTTAAAATCAACCTGAATTCCTTTTTGTCTTCCAGCAGGCCTGATGCCAGTGCAGCAACAAGGATTTCCCATGGTGTCCGTCATGCAGTCCAACATGCAAGGCATGATGGGAATGAGCTACAGCTCGCAGATGTCCCAAGGCTCCATCGCCATGCAGGTACTTGTTTCTTCCATTGGTTGTTGACACTCCTGGCTTGTTGTGCTGTGTTACATACCAAGAGGATTGGGCGAAAAAAGAAAAACAGTTAGTAGTAAGTGTAGTCTGCCTCTTAATAGCTTCCGGTAAAACAATATATATGCGAGAGATAAGTAAGAGAAGTCAGTTATTAAAGAAAAGATGGTGAATTTTTTGACTCCTGGCTTGAAGAATTTTAGAGTGATACCCTGGGCCTGGTGCCATGACCTAGCATTGCTAGAAGCACTTTTGTTCTCACGAAAGAACAGTGGCATTGTTAGGAAGCTCCGTGAGTAGAAACAGTTGCCACCTGTACCTGTTCTGCTGGTCCGTCCATACGGTTGTTTAAAGAGCTGTTGTCTCTGTTCTGCTGGTGAGGAAATAAACTCTGTGAGGATGCTCACAGAGCGTTGCAAGTTAGGATTTGAACAAGGAGGTTTGCGTAAGTGGATTACATGTGCTGGACACTGATTTTTAAGTGCGTGAAGGAGCTATTGAACGGTTTGCAGCAGTGGGATGACGTGTACAGAACTGTATTTCACAGTGATCCTTTCTGACTGCTGATGGGAGAACAGTTGCAGATAGAGGAGAGAGCGAGCAAGCATGGATGTGGGTAGGATCATTAAGAGGGTTATGCAATAGAGTAAGTGACATGTTGGCTTCCATTAGGGTGCTAGCAGATGGATAGGGAGATGGAAGTTTCTGAGAACCAATTAGGAAATAAAATCAGTAGGACTGGCTTAGTGGTTAATAGTAGAAATTGGAGGACAAAGCAGTGTTAAGTTGACTTCCTATATTCTGTGCAAGCAACCAACTGACTGTGCCAGTTGGTCTTTACTTTCTAGATTTACTTGATTGTTTAAAAGGCAGAAAAATGGAGAGAGGAAAGGAGTAGAAAGATCTCCCATCTATTGATTCATTCCCCAAATGTACCAAACCAAAGCCAGGAACCAGAAACTCCTTTGTGGTCTCTCATGTGGGTGACAGGAACCCAAGTACTAGGTCGTCTTCCACTGCCATCCCAAGCACATTAGTAGAAAGCTGGAACAGAAGCAGAGCAAATGGGACTGAGACCAGGACTCTGATGCATGTTGCAGGCATCACAAGCAGCAGCTTGGCATGCTGTGCCACCATGCCAGCCAGAGTGGTGACATTTATTAATGAAACACTGGAAGAGATTGCTTGCTGATGTTGACCTTGAAGAAACCATGAGACATTATCAGTATCATGATTTAGTAATAAGTTCAGCTTTAAATTGACTGCTTTGAACTCCAGAATCCTGGTTTCAGCTTGGATCAGCCCTGGCCATTGAGGCCATTTAGGGATTCGCACTCTCTTTCTCTTTCTCTCTGTATAACTCTGACTTTCAGATAAATAAAATCTTTTTTAAAAAGATTTTAAAAAACCCTTCCATTCGGATTTCCATGTGTGTGTTATCTTTAGCAGTGGTGGGCACTCACCAAGTAACCTGAATCTAGGAGTCAGATCTTTGAGTGGCTGAATTCAAACTGTTACATTAACTTTCAAACAATTATATGTATTTCTTCACATTGATCTCAAATAATAAACAGCAGTATTTTTTCCTACCTATAAATATTCTAAATGTCACATATTTCATTTTTATTGAATAAATTTTCTATTTCTTTTGTGTTTTATCATTACACAGTAGTATAGTAGCATATTTATAAAATTTTTGAGTAAATGATATTGGGTTTTGCAATCAGAATTTTAAATTAAAAACGTTTTCAGGTGGAAGTCATTTCAATAAGTAAATCTGTGTTACATTGAGAGATGCAAGAAAGCTCTCAATGATTTTTTTCTTCCTTTGTAGTAGAAAGAGAAATGGGAATGAGTTGAGCTTCTGAAGGTTTTAAATCCATGTTAGTCAGCTTTATTAGGCTGTGGTGGAGAAATGTGACTTAGCAAACCATAGGTTACTGCTCTCTGAGGGACACACCCTTCGTGGCCTGGGTCTGAGTCTGCGTCAGGTTGCCTTTCCTTGGGACCCTTCCTGGGAACGTCTTACGCTCTTGGCAGTGGGGAGGGAGATAGTATAGTGTCTCTTAAGCTTCTGCTTAGAAATCACATTTACCAATCACTTCCATTCTCCAATGTTATGTCCAACTAAGGGCAGTGGGAGGAGGAGGCCAGCAGAGTACCACCATGTAGAGACAGGAGACTTTCAGAGCCAGGGCAGCTCAGGCTGGAGCCGTCCGCCACAGGAGGCACTGTGTTTACCATTCAGACTTGGTAAGCTTCCTGGCCTTTCTTAGTCAAAGCCATTTTTCAGTTTTCCTACTTTTAACATTGTTTTATGTCATGCGTAGTTGGTCTGAAAAATGTTTTCAGTGAGTTTGAAATAACCAAAAACCATCAGGAACTCTAAAATGCAGAGCATCAGAAGCCTGGGATTTGTTAGTGCCCAGGGATTTGGGCCATCTTCCACTGCTGCCCCAGGCACATATAGCAGAGAGCTAGCTAGATCAGCAACAGATCAGCTGAGACTCAAACCAGCACTTCAATACAGGATTGCAGGTAACAGCTTAACTCATTGCAGCAAGGCAAAACCAAAATACCATCTGGAGAATGTGCTGTCATGTTTGGCATCAAAATGTTCCTGCAGCTAACTTCACACACACAGTGTCAACACACAATTAACAGGGCACTGGAGGAAGCTTACACTAAGACAACAAATTCAAAGTTACCGAAGCAGGAGTTACAGAATTAGCAGGATAGACCATGAAGTTGCATTGTTAACAATTTAAAGAAGCCTGAAGTAGGGAATTTTGGTGCAGAACTTAAGATGGTTAAAACATGGCATAGCATATTTGAAAACAAAATTTTAGAATTGAAAAAAATACACTCACCAGAAGACCTCTACTAGCGAGTTAGTGAGCTAGGTCAGTGGAAACTGTTTGAAATGTAGACAAGAGGAAAAGTAGAAAACAAAAGATGTTCAAGATACAGTGTGATAGTCTAATAAGTGAGAGGGAGAGCCTCGATCTTAAATGATGACTGGGAAGTGGCCTGACCTGTAGCAGAGCATCAGCGCACAGGTCCAGAAGCCTGAAAAACCCAAGCAGCTGGTCACCTATTGTGGTGCAACAGATGAAACCTTTCCAGGTTGCTGGGGGCCGTATGTTGGGGAGTGGCTTGGAGTCTGTCGTGAGGGTGCATTCAGGGTGCTCTGTGCTTCCCAGATGGTGGATTCACCTGCTGCACCTGCTGCACCTGCCCTTAGTCCACGTTCTTCAGAGAATCCTGAGTTTCACATGAACTCTCTAGAGCAAGTGCTTCTAGAGAGGCAGAAAGAAGCTGCAGTATCCCGCCCCAGTCAGTCATTTTTATATGTGGAACTGTATGGAGACTACCACTCAATGATAAGTAAAAGGAAATTCTGACCTGCACACATACTGCAGAGAAATCAAGAGAGCGTACTGGGGAATTGACACATGAGGGAGTTATGAATGCTTATGATAAGTTGAGCTTTGATATCTAAGCTGAGCAAGAAGAGCAGTAGAGACATGATGAAGCTAGGTGGATAGTGGGAGAGGTAGAAGATTAATATATGGGGGGTATGAATGAAATAGTTACTGGTGAAGATGAACTGTAAGACTAGGGGATGGTGGTGGTCAGGTATTGGGATGATTAAAATATTTTTGTATTTGAGAGGTGAGATTTTAAGAGATGTGAGACAAAGATTGGTGATTCATGGAATGATCAAGAAGGGGAAGCTGGAATGGTATGGGCTTGACTGTGGTGGGCTTGACCTGGAAGGAGCCAGTTTTGGAGGAGCCATCCTCGTGGATTGTTGATGTCACCAAGAGCAGTGTAGTGATAGAGTGGACAAACTGAGGTCTTCATTTGAAGGGTGAGAAAGTTGGATATCTGTAAAGGTCATGAACAAGGTAGGAGGGCAGCATACGAAAAAGACTTAGAGCAAAAAATTAAACATGAGGATACTTACCAATAGTTTGTGGAAATCCAAAGTACATAAAGTGTGACACCTGGGTTTTTTTGCACCAAGATAAATTGTGTGTGTGTGTGTAAATTTTATTTTTGGTGATGTTTACAGAGTGGGAAGGATCAAAGGATATAGGAAAGTGGGTAAGACTATTGTCTCTGAATTTTCTTTTCCTTTCTCCTGTATCTGGGGAAATGGGAGAGACAAGTGGAGAAGCTGCACCCAGCCTCCCAACTGCCCCAACACCCAGTGGTGAGGAACGACCACCTGGTATCAACCCCGGGTCCCCAGTGTGGAGCATGCTCCAAGGGTTTTGCTTAAGTGGTTTTGATGGTTCTGAAATGCTGTTGATTTGTTGCTCCAAAAAATAAGGAAATCCTTCCAAGATCGATTGGCTGACATAGTTCACCTTATAGTCTCCGTTCGCCCAGATACTTGCTGTCATCATTTGGCTGGAATAGTTGTCCAATTTGTTCTGCCTTCCTTCCTCTGCTATGGTATCAGATGTCCTCTGTGGATGCCAGTGGTCTCCCATATCCTCCATGTGCATCTGGGTTTGCCATCCACTGCTGTCTTTTCCACTGAGGAGGCCCAGTTCTGACCCATGTGCTCTACTGTCAGTCCACCTATCCTGCAATTCTCACCGTGGTTGGAGTTTTGAGTCCAGCGTTTTCAGTTGGGGGATCCCCAAAGAGATCTCATCTGAGGTGATTTAAGACCTGACTCTTATGTGTGCTTGCCAGTACAGTGTCTGGCACAGTCTGTCAGCCACCTCAGCCTACACACACACTGTTTAGTTGCAATTGCTGGATCACTTCTGTCTCCAGCCCTATTCTTACACAAACCAATGGATGCTGTAGCCCAGACCAACCCAGCCCTCTACACACTCAGCCCTCATGTACACCGGTGGGAGCTGCAGCCCAGTCGGAGTGACTCCCAGTAATCCCCTCCAGACCCGCCCCCAGCCCTGGTTCCTGTGCTTGACAGTATGTGCAACAGACTGGTTCAGCCTGTCCCACACCCATTCAGTTCTCACACACATCAGTGGGCATTGAAGCCTAGCTCAACACAACCAACCCCACTTTCCAGCCCACACTGATGCCAACAGGTGCCACATCTTTCTAGCCAAGCCCTCCCCCAGCCTTAGTTCTCATGTTCACCAGTGCGAGCTGCAGCGCATCAGAGAGGTGCCCACAGTTTGCTATTGGGCCCACTTCCCTTCCTGGATCTTGCACTCTCCAGGTGGTTCTGCAGCCTAACTTGACAGAATCTGCCCCCTGTCCCAGCTCTTGCCAGCCAATGCTGTGGCAATGACCATCCAGCCTGCACTTACTCTGGCTCATGTCTGCACCAGTGAGCACACTTAGTTAGCCCAGCCTGGCTCTCTCCCTAACCCACAGGTGTTGTAGCCCTGCCCAACCTGATCTGCTCCCAGTCCCACTTCTCATGCTTGCCAGTTCTATCTTTTTTGTGGACTTTCTGAAGTCCCTTTAACTCAGAGTTTTTAAAGAAGAAAAGGTTTAGAAGCAGCAAGAAGGGGTATTCTCCAGTTACGTACAGGAGATGAAAAGCAGCAGCTGTCTGCGAAGACAGGGTCTCCAAGAATGGCTAGGTTTTAGTGAGGGACAGACAGGGAACTTTTCAGGGAAGGGGATGAGCAGTGAAACAGCTTTTCCTTTGAAAATTAACCATTTTTTCATAAGTTTGGATATCAAACCTCTGATAATGAACATCAAAACAACTACTGTCTTACACATATTGGAAAATGAGGTTCATCTGTGTTGAATGATTACTGCATGCTGTCCTATTGCTGACAGTACAGAGGTACAGTACCCCTTAAGGAGTGTGTAGACTGGTGAACTCTGCGGAAGTTGTGCGCATGTTTGTCCATACGTATATAGCCTGAAAGAGTTGGTGGACACACTCGCATCCCTACTTTTTCTGGTTAACAGTGGTCACCCTAAGAGCCTGAAGGGCTTGAAGAGGCAATATATTAAGGGTTTTTTGTTTTGTTTTGTTCTTTTTTTTTTTTTTTTTTTTACCATTTTTTATCCTCTGTTCTTTAAGTCTCTTATGAGAATGCGGTTATGTTGTTTATTAATAAGCTAAGAAATATATTAGAAATTCATGTTTTGCTTTGTGATAATACAAGAAAACACTGTGGGTTTTTTTTTTTTTTTAAGCCTTTGTCTATTTCCTCTAGGCAGGAATACCCATGGGACCAATGCCAGCAGCGGGAATGCCTTACCTGGGCCAAGCGCCATTCCTGGGCATGCGTCCTCCAGGCCCGCAGTACACTCCGGACATGCAGAAGCAGTTTGCTGAAGAGCAGCAGTAAGACTTCCAGGATCTATCTAGTCATGACTGTTTATCAAGATACTGTCAAATGTTCTGTGCAGATTTGAAATCAACACAGTCAAGTTGCCTTTTAAAATCTTTAAAACAACTCTTATCATTAGAAATTTCAAGCCAGAAAGGGTTTTAGAAATCCTGTAGTTCAGTTTTTACATCTGGAGAAAGTCTGGTTATACAGAGGTCAGAGACTTATCAGTGTAGGTTCCACAGATACAGACTTCCTGGCTCCCAGGGCATTGCTCTCCTCCTGTGTGATAGTCCGCAGCGAAGTTTTTTATATGCAGTGCAAAGAGTGTTTATAGATAGACTTCATCTGTCTCTGGTTTTTGTAATTATTGTGATATGCTAAAGTTGTTTCCTAGGGTGGGCATTATCCTAGGATGCTACTTGGGACACCCACACCGTGTGTCAGAGTGTGAGAGTTGGAGTTCAGACTCGATTTCCTATCCACCCTCCTGCTAATACAGCTGGGAGGCAGCAGGTGATGGCTCCAGTAACTAGATCCCTGCCACCCGAGTGAGATACCTGCTGGGGTTGATCTGGCCCCACACCATCCACTGTGTGCATCTGGGGAGTGAATCGGTGGGTGGAACATGTCTCTCTCCTTCCCTTTTTATCTAGCTGTTACACTGACTTCCAAATAAATTTTTAAAAATTTTAAGATTTTGAGGGGCTTGTCCAATGCAATAACCTAGGAGTTAAAGTCCTCACCTTACCCTCCTGGGATTCCTTCCATATGGGCACTGGTTCATGTCCCAGCTGCTCCATTTCCCATTCAGCTCCCTGCTTGTGGCCTGGGAGAGCATTTGAACAGGGCCCAAAGCCTTGGGACCCTGCACCCACATGGGAGACCCAGAAGAGACTCCTTGCTCCAGATTGGCTCAGCTCTGGCCATTGCAGCCACTTGCGGAGTAAACCAGCAGATGGACATGAGATCTTTCTGTCTGTCCTACTCTCTGTGTCTGCTTTTTCAAGAAAAATAAATAAATCTTTAAAAAAAGATTCTTTTTTTTTTTGCAAATTCAAGACAGATTCACCTATCTAAGTTAATAGTTTATTTTTAAGATCATTTTAAATATTTTGGAGTTACTATGGCAAGGAGGAAACTGGTCGAACAACGTTAGATGGAGTTTATACTTTGAGAAAGACAAAATGATGTTGACGAAACTGTTATTAGAGATCAAAATGTAGCACAGTTGATAATTCCTGAAGCTAGTTCTTCATTAACTCATTTTTCCTTCAGAAAGCGATTTGAACAGCAGCAAAAACTCTTAGAAGAAGAACGAAAAAGACGCCAGTTTGAAGAACAGAAGCAAAAGCTCAGACTGCTGAGTAGTGTGAAGCCCAAGGTAATGTGCTTCCTGCCACCTCGCCCCGACCCAAAACCAGCACCCTGGGTTTCCCTCTGGTCCCTCACTGTGGGTGTTGCCCCTGAGCCTCCAGGCTGAGTTGAGGTTGTGATCAGTTAGTTTCATGTTGCCTTACCTAGATGCTAAAATGGGGATTTGTTATTTACTGTAAAGGTGCTCTGTTGCTGATGGGAATAAGACATCAGTTGTCATTCTCTTGGCACCCGCTTTTTTTGTTTGTTTCCACGCAATATCTGTTGTTCTTTTCTTGGGAAGCAGTAATCCTAAAGGTGATGATAGGAAATGGGCTTCTCAGGACCCTCTCAGGACACCTGTCACCTAACAACTTTGTATTAAAGTTTTTATAAATGGGCCTTTTAAGATTTGTATATTCTGTTGGGTATCGTTTTATGCTGGCTTCATACACTTACGGAAGAATTGGAGAATTCACATTCAAAAGGATGTGGTAAAAATATTGGAAGTAGAATAATATGTGTGCTTTCAAGTTGGGTGGGTAGAACAAACTGATAGGTGAGTGAGAACTATAAATATATTTGTTATCTCTTAGACAGGAGAGAAGAGTAGAGATGATGCGTTGGAAGCCATAAAAGGGAATTTAGATGGGTTTTCCAGAGATGCTAAGATGCATCCTACTCCAGCGTCGCACCCCAAGAAACCAGGTAGTTTTCATGTTACAGGCACTGCAGTTTTCATTCTTGGCAGGTGATTTATACTGCCTGTATTGAAGTGACCATTACATGTGTGCTAATCTTTTCCTCCAAACTAAGTAGAGATTTGCATATTTTAAGATACACAGTGACTTAAGACTAGGGTGTGAAAATGATTCCGGAGGAGAAAACCTCCCTGTTGGCTATCTACAGTCTGTCTGACAACTCGTGGACCTTTTGTATATCGAAGTGCGTGTTAACGTTAGTAAAATCTGTTCACTCAGCAGATGTAATAAGAGTCATTACATTCTTGTTGCTTTAAAATTTTACCTTTTTGAGCTGGCACAGATCTTATTCTTAAGTGTGATTAAACTTAAAATTTTAAATGCCCCATTTAATAATTCATGATTTCAATAATACTTCTCATGAAATTTTAATTTTTAAAATATATTATCAGGTAAGCCAAATGTGCCTTCTAAGAACAGGATAGAGTTGGTTATGTTTTGTTCTTTTGAACATTTGGTAGCTAAAATGAGTCTTGTTTATACAGTTCTTACTACATCCCTTTTAAATTTTTGATATCCTCATCTTTTAATGCCTGACTTTAAAAACAAAAGACTACTAACAAGTGAATAGTTGTCACAAATTATTTGACCAACCAAGAAAGTGCTGTCTTCTGCTTGGAAATGTTCTGTTGTTCAATTTTATCCTGAATGTTTGTATCACAGTGCCTTTCTGTTGTTGTGTTTGGTTCCTTTACCTGCGAAGCAGAGAAACACACAGATGTGGACAGTAAGACAACACAGACAATTTTCATCTGTTGGTTCACTTTGTGGGCCTGTGCCCACAGTGGCCACGACTGGAAAGCCAAAGCTCAATGTAGGGTTCACATTCGCAGCAAGTTGAGTGTCAAATCCATGGACCCCGGTATGTGACACGGGCCTCTAAATGGCTAGGATGCACTCCCACTTCTCTAGTGTCTCTCAGGGTGCTGTCAGGAGAGAATTAAATGTCACAGTAGGACCGGGCACAGTGGCCTAGTGGCTAAAGTCCTCACCTGACACACACCAGGATCCCATATGGGTGCCAGTTCTAATCCCGGCAGCCCCACTTCCCACCCAGCTCCCTGCTTGTGGCCTGGGAAAGCAGTTGAGGACAGCCCAAAAGCTTTGGAACCCCTGCACCCATGTGGGAGACCTGGAGGAAGTTCCTGGCTCCTGACTTCAGATCAGCTCAGCTCTGGCTATTGTGATTACTTTGGAAGTGAATCATCAGATGGAAGATCTTTCTCTGTCTCTCCTCCTCTCTGTATAGCTGACTTTGCAATAAAAATAAGTCTTTTTTTTTTTAAAAAAAAGGAATTAAGGAATAGATACTTGCAGTTAATACTCAGCTGGGCCCAGTACAGAGCTCAGGAAAGGAGAAGGCAGAGAGGAGTGGTCATTAAATTTATTTATTTATTTTATTGCTAAGTCAGATTTGCAGAGAGGATAATCTTCCATCTACTGGTTCACTCTCCAAGTTGCCACAATGATTACGCCGAGCTGATCCAAAGCCAGGAAGTAGTAGCTTCCTCCAGGTCACCCACACGGATGTAGGTTCCCAAGGCTTTGGGCTGTCCCAGACTGCTTTCCCGGGCCACAAGCAGGGAACTGGAAGGGAGGTAGAGCAACCAGGATACAAACCAGTACCCATATGGGATCCCAGCTCATGCAGACAAGGACTTTAGCCACTAGGTTGCAGTGTTAGGCCCAATAAAAATCTTCTAAAACCTTTTCTAGTCTTTTCACCTTTTACCCCATAGATTGTCTTAATATATTTTTCACAAAGATTAATTTTATTGGAAAAGCAGATTTACAGAGAGGAGAAGCTGAAAACTCTTCCATTTGCTAGTTCACCCCTCAAATGGCCACAATGGCCATTAATGAGCAGATCTGAAGCCATTGGTTTCTTCTCTGCACAACTACATGGGTGCAGGGTTCCCCGGAGTTGGGCCAGCCTCTGTGGCTTTCCCAGGTGTGTTAGCAGAAATTGGATCAGATGTAGAACCGCCACAACCTAACTCTTCCTGACCCCTTACGGGATATCTGAGTAGCAGATAATGACTTCACCTGCTATGCCACAGTGCTGGCCCCACTGAATTTCTTAATAATTAAATTTAAACATCAAAATGTGTGTTAAGGACAATAAAAGGCAAAAACAGACTGCTAGAGCCTTCTGAGGGTGAAGTAGTGAATTTGGGTAAACAAGGGGACTTCAGGCTGTGGAAAAAATAAACAGTACATTTATTTTGGTGTAGAAAAGTCTTGAAGTACCTGTGTGTTTTTTCTAATGATACATCTCTCAGAAATTTCTGAAGATCACTGATAAGTAGGTTTTATGTTTTGATAGAATATCCATTTGGATTTAAAAATAATACTTTGATATGGGCCCGGCGCAGTGGCGCAGGTGGTTGGGGTCCTCGCCTTGCACGCCCGGGATCCCATATGGGCGCCGGTTCTAATCCCGGCAGCCCCGCTTCCCTTCCAGCTCCCTGCCTGTGGCCCGGGAAGGCAGTCGAGGACGGCCCGGGGCTTTGGGACCCTGCGCCCGCGTGGGGGACCCGGAGGAGGCTCCTGGCTTCGGATTGGCATAGTGCCGGCCATTGCGCTCACTTGGGGGGTGGGTCATCGGACGGAGGATCTTCCTCTCTGTATATCCGCCTTTCCAATGAAAAAATAATAAAAATAAATCTTTTAAAAAAATAATAATAATACTTTGATAGAAATTATGAGTGGTATTAGTTAAGAAAAATTAATGTCAACTTTATAAAAGGAAACTGTTTTTATTTTGTTTTGTTTTTGAAGCAAATACAAAGTAGCTTTAGAACCTCTTTCAAAAGACACAAAATTGTTTGTGGACATCCGAGGTTTTTGCAGGTGTTGTCTAGTTCCACTTGTTCACCTCCACTATTCACATTATAGTATTTTCTTTTGGAATTCTTTTGGAATTGTGCTGCATCTCAGTTTCTCTGTTCTCTGTTGGTTTTCATTTCTGTGTGTTTCATTGCCATTTTCCATTTTGCAGATTATCCCACATCATCTCATTCTACTAAAACTGTCTCCCCATCACCTGCCTTTCTTGATGAAGAAGAATTCAGTGACTTTATGCAGGGGCCTGTTGAGGTCCCCAGCCATGGGCCTTGTCCCACGGCCCAGCCCTTTCAGTCTTTCCACCCTACTACCCCACTTGGCCAGTTGCATGCCCAGAAGGCTGGCACACAGCCTCTCCCTGCCGGTCAGATGCCAGTGTCATTTGCCTTACATGGTGTCCCTGGGCAAATGCCTTACTCCTCCACTGCTTCAGCCTCACACAGTGTACAGAGAGCAGGTAACTCTTAGCATTGTTAATGAAAATATTCATGAAATAGTCTAGGGAAATTTCTCTGTTATATAAGTCGAATGAATAATGTAATAATGTTGGTAAAGAAACTTTTGCACAAATCTAACAGTATTGTTGAAATTCACCAGAGTCTATACATGCCAGAAACTTTGCTCCTAAATTGGGAGCAATTTAAACATCTTATTATTTGGAAAACACACTGGTTTCTAAAAAAAAGATGACTCTCCTGCTTAGAAATAATCACGAATATGGTTTTTTAAAGTCTGAAATGCTGAAGTGGTCTTTCAGGTTTGGCCACATAGTACTTGGGGCCAGAGTCCAGGCTGTTCATTTAGCACCAGTTTTTGTTTGTTTGTTTGTTTTTGCTTGTTTGATAAGTCTTTAAACAGTTCTGTTAGCTCAACCCTGTATGTCAAGACACACTTGAGCAATGCTGTGTGGGCGTTGGCAGATGTGCAGAGTTGACACTGATTTGGCAGACATGGAGAGCGCCCTGAGGTGGTGCTGCTGACAGCGGTCTGCTGAATAGCCACAGTGTTTGTACCTTCAAGTAGGGTACCTGCCTGCAAGGTGGTGCTCCTTCCACTAGTCTACCTGCCATTTCAGAGGATGCTTGAGAACCACCAGGGATTTTCAAGTTTTTAAACTTCTCAAGTGTGGAGTGACTGGATTATTTCAAATGATGGCAGAGCCTTCCCTCTAGAATATGGGATTGGAAATGAATGATTTACAAGATGAGAAATATGCAATTCTATACAAATAACCCTTCATGCTGTTTGTTTAGGGCCTTCTTTGGAGGAGAAGCTCCTAGTGTCTTGTGATATAAGTACATCTGGGCAGAAACAAATTAACTTAAATACTTCTGAAGTGGGGCACCAAGCCCTAGTCCAGGGTTCCAGTAAGAACCATCCCAGTTTAACGGCCAGTAACGGGGTTGCCATAGATGGATGTTTAAGTGGTACCACCACTGCAGAGGCAGAAAAGTCTTCAGACCAAAACCTGTCCATTGAAGAGAGTGGTGAGCTCATGAAACATTCAACAAAAAAAAATTTGTTTAACCGAATGTTGCTCGAATGCTAACACCTTAAGCATTAATCTTGCGAATGCTGCTTGATTTTGCTAATTGAAACTATGCTTAAAATATATTTAATGCATTCCTTTTTCCAGTTAACCCCCTGCAATTTTGCTCTGAATTCTCTCAAGACACTACTTCCTTTTCAAAAAAGATTTTGATGACCAGTTTCTTAATAAGAATTATTCCTAATTACAGATTTCTTTTCCTTTTGTCTTACAAAAGCACTCCCTTCTCTCTCTAACTTTCTATTCTTCCATAAAGGTTGAAAAGTTAAATGGTAAATGGAAAAGTCACCAATGAAAGTAGAGGTTTGCTATTTCTAAAATAAACCATAAGTACTGCTGCCTGAAAAATCCAAATTTTATTAACACACCCTGCAGAGTTGAGTTAGAGTGTGGCACTTTTAGAAGATACCTTACTATATTTGAAAACTTCAATTCCTTTGCATCTAAGGCAGCAGTGTATACTTGACTCAGTAAAGAAATAGTGTCAGACTTGCAAAGAAGCATTATTTTAAACTGTCAGCAAAGTTGAGGCAATTAAACTTTTTATATGGGATGGCTTTTGTAAAGCCATTTTGGTTTTTCCTTCAATTCCTAAGTTAAATGATGCAAGTCTTGTGTGATTCAGACTATTGATACATATTTGGATTTCCTTTAATTTATTCTTCGTGATATAATGTACAGGAGTTGTTAAGAAATGGAATGTTGTGGTTGTGTTGGTGACTTTTTTAAGCATCTCCAGCCAAAGCTCTTCTGTGTAAGTGAAAGTGAGGCAGTGCTTGCACATCTTCTCCGTGTGTTCAGTGATGCTCCCTGTTTTGCAGGTGTGGGAGTCTTCCCCTCGCAGGACCCTGTTCAGCCCCGAATGCCTCCATGGATTTACAATGAGAGTTTGGTTCCAGGTAAAACAAAACACAAAAGCTTGGTGCAGTTTTCATGTTGCATTGTTTACTTTTAATATTGTGGATTTAGTTGTAAATATTATTGTCATGGTTATAAAACACGTAAAAGGGATTGTTACCTTTCCCACTTTTTTCTGAGAGTGTAAAAGATAAATCTGATTTGTAAGACTGCCTGCTATATGGAATAGCTATGTCAACAAAGAACTGTTTTGCCTTGAGGCTTTGAATATTTTATTGACCACGATATATTTTATTTCTACATGCATTCTTTATTATGCCTTTGAAGATAGTATCGAATGTTTGTACAATTGTATTAATTATTGGATGCAGCTTTATCAGTTCTCAGTAATTGATTGATTTTTGTTAGTGTTTGTTTTTGACTTGTCATCGGACATGCAAAGTAGAGGACCAGGTGGTGTCCTTTCTTCACATTTAAAGTTGGTTTTTACCTTTCCTTAATGTGTTGTTATTGCTGAGCCAAAAAGATCCAGCAAAGTGCATTTTGTAGCAGTGCTCAGTTAATGTAAGGAAATAGATTGTTTCAGCCATAATTAGTATACATAGAAAGGACTATCACAGCAGTAGTTATTACTCTTCTAAAAAGTTTTGGAAGGGTTTTTAGTTGCTGGAGGAGGCAGCTGGCCTAGAGATTAGGATGCTCTCATCCTGCATCAGGAGCGCGTGAGCTCAGCTGCTGCTTCTCACTGCTCACTCCAACTCCCTGCCAGTGCACAGCCTCGGAGGTTTGTATTTTCCTGAGGATTTGGGATGTTGAGCTGATTTTCTTTTTTTTTTTTTTTTTTTTTTTTTTTACATATTCTTGCTCACCATTTGTACTATCTTCCTTTTGCAAAAACCTATGGCATTTTTCCCAATTGAGTTTTTGAAGTAACGTGCATGAATCTCCTGTCAGATGCATAATTTGCAGATATTCTGTTCCATTCTGCAGGTTGTTTCTTTGCCATGCAAAAGCTTCTAAGTTTGAAGTAACTGTATTTTTGATTTTCTGTATTTTGGGGATTTTATTTTAAAGAATCATTGCCTATACTGACATCTTGAAGTGTTGTTTCCCTTATGTTTTCTTGTAGTTTTCTAATTTTGGCTTTTATGTTTAGTTCTTTGATCCATTCTGAGTTGTTTTATAGATGGTGAAAGAATATGTTAGTATTTTATCACTTATTTACTGTACTTACATAACACCTTGAAAACTAAAAGTAATTTCTTTTAGATCTCCAGTTTCCTAGATTGGTCATGGATTACAGTTGTTTTGCACTTGGTTAGATAAAACTTATGAACTGATAATATCTATATTACAATCTTCAGTTTAGACTTCAGTTGTACATAGAACTTCCAGCTGCCCATCTTCTCTCTTACCTGTGTCCTCAAGCAAATAAGGTTTATTATTTTTTTGAGTTTTATCCATTTTATGCCAGTTTGTATTTAAAAGAAACTGAATATTTAAGAGGCAAAATACATGTTCTGATATCCAGCCTAATAACCTGAAATGTGTATTTTTAATCCTAGATGTAAAATTCTGTTGTAAGCATTTTTCCTCTATCTCCCTCTGATTTCCAACACTCCTAACTCAACTTGCCAGGTCTAGCATGTGAGCATCCAGACAAACAGCAAATACGATGAGCTTATCCCAGCCTTTATTTTATGTGGCAGCACTGTCTCTTAACAGCCTTCCATTCCAGCCCTTTGGATAAACTCGTCGCCGTGAGAGGAGCCAAGTCTTTCCCTTGAAGGCTCAGATTTCCAAAGTTCCTTTTCTCGGCACTTTTCCTCACAGCCGCTCTTGCTCCCCATTTCTGCTTTCAAACTGTTCCCAGCATCTTTACTCTCCACCTTTCTTCTCTTTTAAAGCACAGAGCATCTGCTTATACTGCCTTTCCTTTACTGAAGTTAAAATCTTCGGAACTAGAAAAGTTCATGTAACCTTCAAGTCGTCTTTAGGACCAACTTCTCCTAAGATCCAAGCCTTAATTGTCTGCTGATTATTTCTTAATTTTTTAAGTTATTTTTATTTAAAAGCCAAAATGACAGACACACATGCAGACAGAGACATACACATATACAAAGAAAGAGATCTTTTGTCTGCTGGTTCACTTCCCAAATGCCTGCAACAGTTGCAGCCAGGCTGGGCCTAAGCTAAGACTCTACCTGGGTCCCCTACATGGGTAGCAGGAACCCAAGCATTCAGCTGCCTCCTGTAGTGTGTATCAGCATGAAGCTGGACCCAAGCAGTGAAGCCTGAACTTGAACCTGGGTTCTCCAATATTGTCAGCATCCCAAGCAGCATCATAATGGCTGCATCCAGCACTGGTACCCCACTGCACACTTGAACATCTTCTTTACATCAGTTCCAACTTGATGTGCCTTTGGTTCTGTTAAATAGTGTGATTCAAAATTATTTTTGTATACCAACAATAACAACAAAAAGATCAATTGTTTGTAATGTTTACATTTGTAATTTGGATTTTTCTTTAATAGATGCCTATAAGAAAATTCTGGAAACCACAATGACTCCAACTGGAATAGATACTGCTAAGCTTTATCCTATTCTGATGTCGTCTGGACTTCCCAGGGAAACTCTTGGACAAATATGGGCCTTAGCGAATCGAACAACCCCTGGCAAGCTTACTAAGGAAGAACTTTATACGGTCCTTGCCATGATAGCGGTAACACAGGTACACAGCGTTTTCTATGTGGGAGCAAGTAACTGTGATGTAAATTGGAACAAACGTGAATATTTTCCTCCTGCAACATCATATACTCTTTATATATCAAGGTTTGGATTGTTTTCATGATACAGGACTTTAAAAAATATACAGGTTAAATAATATTCATCCTGGCACATTACTATTTAAAGACTGGCCTGATAGTATTGAAAAGTTATACCAAGTGAAATTGCTTTCAATCATTTAATGTCCTTTTAAAATTCCAGAGATATATTTTCAAACCGGTAGCAGTTTTTCTTGATTCAAGATCAGTTTAAATTACTTGGTTATTGAAAGTTGTGTTACTAGAGGGAGAGCATGTCGTAACTGATATGTGTTGGGCATTTTTAAGTATTAAGTTTATATCAACCTTGTGACTTTCTTCTTAAATTTGAGTGAAAATACAAAGTGCACAAATTGGAGTCTTCAAAGTTTCTCTCAGTGGTGTGTGTTTTGCAGTCCCCTGAAATGTTTCTGTTTCCTTCCTGTTCTGTATAGAGGGGTGTACCTGCCATGAGTCCGGATGCTTTAACCCAGTTCCCGACGGCACCTGTTCCGACGTTAAGTGGTTTTCCTATGACTTTGCCTACCCCGGTGAGTCAGCCAACCGTGATACCCTCCGGCCCGGCGGGCTCCATGCCCCTCAACCTTGCACAGCCCGTCTTGGGCATTAACCTTGTTGGACCAGTGGGTGGAGCTGCAGCCCAGGCTTCCAGTGGCTTCATGCCAACTTATCCTGCAAATCAGGTAAATGGAGAGGCAGCATATTGTAAATAATCCCACACAACTCTTTCAGATATACAAAGTGAAAATTACTAGATTTTGATGGACAATTGAGGTTAATATTGAACAGTGTTAAGACAAATCAGATTTTTCTTTTTCTTATTTTTTAAAATAGTTACATTTTATTTGAAAGGCAGTTTTGTTTTTAATTGGAAAGGCAGATTTAAAGAGAAAAGGAGATTCAGAGAGGTCTTCCATCCACTGGTTCACTCCCCAAGTGGCCGCAATGGATGGAGCTGAGCCATTCTGGAGCCAAGACCTTCCTCCAGATCTCCCACGCAGGTGACAGGGTCCCGAGGCTTTGGGCCGTCCTCCACTGCTTTCCCAGGCCACAAGCAGAGAATTAGATGGGAGGTGGAGCAACCAGGGCACAAACTGGCACCCACATAAGAACCTGGCTCGTGCAAGGCAAAGATTTAGCCATCAGTCCAGTGTACTGGGCCTAAATAAGATTTTTCATTATCTAAAAGACGTGAAGAAATTTCTCAATTGTTAAGATACATTGAACTCAGGATCCCTTGTTACCTCACTGAGTCACGCACCCCAGAGTTGCTTTTTCCCTTCAAAACAAATATTCCTGAGCATGTAAACAGGTAGTTAAAAATGTAAGGGCTGAAGTTTTACATACATATTTTAAACATCAGCTACAATAAGATTATTTCAATTTTTAGGTTATATATATTTTTAATATTTTTTTTATTTCTTTTGGAAAGTCAAATACACAGAGAGGAAGAGACAGGAAGATCTTCCATCTGATGATTCAGTTCCAAAATGATGACAATAGCTGGAGCTGAGCTGATCTGAAGCCAGGAGCCAGGAGCTTCTTCTGAGTCTCCCACATGGGTGCAGGGTCCCAAGGCTTTTGGGCTATCCTCAACTGCTTTCCCAGGCCACAGGCAAGGAGCTGGATGGGAAACAGGGCCACCGGGGTCAGAACTGGCACCCATATGGGATCCCGGCACGTGCAAGGCTAGGACTTTCGCCACTAGGCTGCCATGCCAGGCCCAGGTTATTTCTTTTGAACAAATCCTGTGAAACATGAAATTTAAAATAGTTCATTTTCATTAATATTAACAAAAAAATTTTTTTTTAAGATGTATTTTTATTTGAAAAGCAAAGTTACAGAGAGAAGGAAAGACGGATCTGCCATCTGCTGTTTCACTTCCCAAATAACTGCAGCAGCAGGATCTAGTCATTCTGGGTCTCCCGCATGGGTCCACAGGGGCCCACAGGGGTCCACAGGGGCCCAAGGACTCAGGCCATCCTCTGCTGTTCTCCCAGGTCATAGCAGGAAGCTGGATCAGAAGTCAAACAGCTGGGACACAAACCATGTGGCACCACAGGCCAAAGCTTAGTCTACTACACCACAGCACTTACTCCATAGGAATCTTTTGTTAAATGCATAATGTTCAGTGTCTGTGAGGATGTATCTACAGGAAAAGTGACTGTAGATTCCCTGGTGTACCTTATTTAAGATGATAAGTGACAGAAAGTATCAAAATTGATTTGTACCTTCTGAACTAGCAGTTGCACCATTAGAAATGTATCCCACTTGGGACCAATAGGATTATGTAGCGCACTGATCCTCCACGTACAGTGCCAATTTCCCATATGTGGGCTGGTTCTAGTCCTGGCTGCTCTACTTATAATGTAGCTCCGTGCTTATGGTGTGGGTAAGCACAGGGGGATGGTCCAAGGCCCTGCATCCACGTGGGAGACTGAGAACAAGATCCTGGCTCCCAGCTTTGGACCAGCCCATCTCTGGCTGTTGTGGCCATTTGGGGAGTGAACCAGAAAATGGGAGGGCTCTCCCTGTCTTTTTCTTTTTCAAGTAAACATAAATAAATCTTTAAAAAAAAATAGGAATGTATCCCACAGAAATAGTGACAAATTTGTAAAGGTATGCAAAGGTGTTTGTTGTAAATTTCAGAATAAGAAATTTGAAATAGCTATACAGCTATCAGAAGGAAGATGTTCAATAACTTTCATTTCATCTATGGCAATGGTAAACTAATCATTAAAATTCATGCACTAGTCGGCATGCACTACACGGAGAGATGTCCCTTAAGCACAGGACAGTATGTGGTGAGCTCGTTTTTCTAAAGTCACTGAGCCATTACCGGTTCTCACTTCCTGGGGTAGGATTAGGAATCGTTGATTACTGTCTGTGATTGGCTCTGTAGGCTTGTGTCACTTTGATAACTTACATATTTGTTGTAAAATAGTTTTGAATGATAGCAGACCCTTGGTTATGCAACAACTATGATTCAACTCTTTTTAAAATGTACAGATGCATTTTTTAACCCCATCTCTTATCATTTGTGCCAGGAAGCATCTAGGAATATAAGGTTCCTTTAGTTGATGTTATGTCCAACGAGTATTCTAAAGTTACCTGGTTGTACCTACAACTGAGAAATGGCAAGGCAGCCTTGGAGGTTGTCAGTTGATGTTCTCCTCCTGCTGTCCATTTGATGGGTTCTCCGAACATTCCCTCTGAACCTAGGTGGCAAAGCCAGAAGACGACGACTTCCAGGACTTTCAAGATGCTTCTAAGTCGGGATCCCTGGATGACTCGTTCAGTGATTTCCAGGAGCTGCCTGCTGCTTCAAAACCAGCTAATGCTCAGCATGGAAACAGGTAGAAGGTGTTCAGTGTTTTTAGCATTGCATTTCATGATTAAGAAAGAGAGACAATAAAAGTCTAAGCATAAGCAAGAGAAATTAAGGTTGCATGCTCGCAGTACGTGATTATTCCTTTGTTATTCATATTTCTACTCTTTGAACTTCTTTTTTGTCCATCATAAACTTGAACTCCTACCATTCTTTCCAGCTACGCATTTGCTTGTCATTATTTCTTTGCTTGTTACTGATTCTGTGGCACACCAGGTTAAGCTGCTGCAAGCAGTGCTTGCTTCCCATATCTGAGAGCTGCTTTGAGTTTGGGGTGCTGTGCTTCTGCTGCAGCTCCTCGCTAATTACCTGAAAAAGGAGCAGAGGGTGGTCCAGGTGCTAGGCCCTTGCATGAGCATAGGACACCTAGGCGGCTTCCAGCTTCTGCATTGGCCTGGCCCAGCTCAGGCTGTTGCAGCAATTTGAGGAATGAAACAGAGGGTGGAAGACCCCTCCCTGTCTATTACTCTGCCTTTTAAATAAATAAAACAAATCTTAGGGGAAAAAAAAACAGAGGAAAGAAATTGAAGACAATGACAGTGCTTAAGATGTTTTTACAATATATAATTTGCATAGTTTGTTTTTCTGTAATACTGTTGTTGATTTCCACAAAATTCATAATTCAGAACTCTGATTATTCATATCTTAGAACTTTAGATTCCTATTTGGTTTTCTATGTTTTTCTTAAATTACATAAACATTTCTGTAATCTTTGGGTACAGTGAAAGATTCAGTCAGTATGTTGTCAGTTAATTACTATCTAACTTATTTTTTAAGTTGTTTGAGTATAAGAAAGAGCAAGAGCAGGAGCGTGAGCTGGCTGGGCTGACTCGCCCCTGCTTGCCGGCAGCCAGGGGCAGGGCGGGTCTGCCCTGTGGGCGCCAAGAACCCTGCAGTCAGAGCAGGAGCTCAATGCCAAGTACTTAGTCCCCTAGGGCTGCAGGGGTCTTAACCAGCAGGCTGAATACCAGCTTCCTGTTTAATTATGCAGATTCTTGTATAGATTGGGCCACACTTTAAGCCATATGAATTTTTCCCGCTTTGGTTTACTCTTAGAACTTGTTTTTATTAGTCTGCATAACCCATTTCTCTGTTCCTGCTTGTGTTATCGTCTTAATCTCTTTTGAGTTTGAGCAGTTGATCTTTCACTCGGTACCTCCATGCATACATACGGTAATAGGAGTTGAGCGATGGAAATTTTTGAGAATTACAAATTAAAGAAAGAGATTATTCTTCTGATTGGAAGAACACATTGAACACATGTTTGTACACTGAGGAAATATGTGGAGGTCATGTGTCCTGGGTCTCGCAGACCACTGGGTTGGAGGCGCTGTTGACCTTACAGATATGTGACCGTGTTTCTGCCCCAGATCTCTTCCTTTGAACAAAATGCAGGTGCATTGCTACTGCCCGAGCGTCTCTGTCAGAATGGTATGAAAGAGAGAGATAGGGAGAAACAGCAAAGATCTTCATCTACTGGCTCACTTGCCAGATGACTGCAATGATCAGAGCTGTTCTGGCCCAAAGCCAGGAGCCAGGAGCTTCCTCTGTGTCCATCCATGTGGGTGCAGGGTCCCAAGGTCTTGGGCCATCTTGTGCGACTCTCCCAGGCATGTTAGCAAAGAGCTGGGTTATAACTGGAGCAGCCAGCACTCTAATCAGCACCCATATGGGAGGCAGGCATGCAGGCAGAGGCTTAACTTGCTATACCACAGCACCAGCCCTGACCCAGAATATCTTGACTTCACTGCATGAACTTGAATTTCTTATTTTCCTACTGAAATTCATTTTAAAAAAATAATAAATAAATCGCCATTTCCTTCCCCACCCACATCTAGTCACCTTATTAGAAGCATACTGGAGGAAGCTCCTGGCTCCTGGCTGTGGATCAGCACAGCACCGGTCATTGCGCTCACTTGGGGAGTGAATCATCAGACGGAAGATCTTCCTCTCTGTATATCTGACTTTGTAATAAAAATAAATCTTTAAAAAAAAAACTGTGAGGAAAGAGAGCAGCGTCTGTGCCCCATGTGTGTGAACCTTTTCCTCTCTCGTCCTCTCTCCTTAGCAATGAAGCACCTGTTTCCACAGCATTTATACTGTGTGTGTTTTTTCATTGCAAGTCGCATTTACTTGTATGTGGCATTGAATGACTCAGACTCCTAGTGGAATGTAGTCATTCATATGTAAAGGTTGTTCTGCAGGGAGCTGCCTGATAAGAGGAGGGGAGAAGAAAAGAACAGTGCTTTTCTATTGTGTGTGCAAGCTTTCCAAGGATTACCCACCCTGACTACGCACTGACTACTCTTCCAGGCAGCTGGAAATATGTAAGCAAGAGTATCTTCATTTATTTCAAAGTGATTGTTGTTTTGCTACAAAGATAACTTCTGGAACAGCCGATGTGATCCTTGTAACACTGCAAATTGTTGGGTTTTTTTTAAAGATTTATTTATTTATTATTGGAAAGGCAGATATACATAGAGGAGAGACAGAGGAAAGATCTTCCATCCAGTGGTTCACTCCCCAAGTGGCCGCAACGGCTGGAGCTGAGCCAATCTGAAGCCAGGAGCCTCTTCTGGGTCGGCCATATGGGTACAAGGTCCCAAGACTTAGGGCCGTCCTCAACTGCTTTCCCAGGCCACAAGCAGGGAGCTGGATGGAAAGTGGAGCTGCCAGGATTAGAACCGGCGCCCAAAGCTTTGGGACCTTGCACCTGCATGGGAGACTCGGAAGAGGTTCCTGGTTCCCGGCTTCTGATCAGCACAGCACCAGCCATTGTGGTCACTTGGGGAATGAATCATCGATCAGAGGATCTTCCTCTTCTGTCTCTTCTCCTTTCTGTACATCTGACTTTGTAATGAAAATAAAATAAATCTTAAAAAAAGAGAAATAGGTTATTGTTTTTACCCTATGCGTTGTGTGTACATATAATTTCTAAGATTCATTTTATTTTACTTGAAAGTCAGACTTACAGAGAAATGAGAGACAGGGGAATCTTTCATCCACTGAGTCACTCTCCAGAAGGCTGCCATGGCCAGAGCTGGGCTGGTCCAAAGTTAGGAGCCCACTTCTTCCTGTATCCTCCATGGGTTCAGGGGCCCGAGGATTTGGACCATCCTCCATTGCCTTCTCAGGCCATCAGCAGGGAGCTAGATGCCAAATGGAGCAAGCAGGACTTGAGCTGACACCCGTGTAGATGCTGGTGCTGCAGGTGGAAGAGTAGTCTCCTAGTTTTAACCTTTAAAGCATCATTTTAGTTCTTTGCTCTTATTGGATGAGAACAGAATTAGATTTTCTAGGCCATAAGAACATGTTTCTTTTTCCCTTTCAGTGCTCTTTCTTTGTTGATGCCACTCCCTGGGACTAAAGCAGCGACTTCAGTGGATAAATATGCTGTGTTTAAAGGAATTGCAGCTGACAAAGCCTTTGAAGCTACTGTTCCATTGGGAGGTAAACAGTTTGTAAATTCATAAACCTGTGAAAGTACATTTAATTAGATCGTACGGGTCCTTATTTCAAGTGGTGACATTTGAGCATGTTGGCTTAAGTTGATCTGCTTCCTCCCTGGATCCATGTGAGCACAGGGTCCCCTGCCTGTAACTAAGCTTCTGTGTTTCTATCCCAGAACCTGGTGACAAATACAGTGCTTTCAGAGAACTCGAGCAGACAGCCGAAAATAAGTCCCTAGGTAAGTCTGAATGTTTGTAGGAGAAAAACTGAATGAGTAAAACAATATAATATCAGAATGATTGCTACAGTATTCAAACTGCGAATGTTTTAATTCAGGAAACCTCAACGGGGACCATTGAGTGTACTAATTATTACGACAAATAAGCCGTGGAGATTATCTTGTGGAAGAAAGATACAACTTTTTTGTGGCTTTGGAATTTTTGAAAGGCAAATCTAGATCAGTTAATGAGAAGTATTTTCTAAAGTTTAGGGCAAATCCAGAATTAAGGCAATTTCCTCTGAAAAATATTACACTCCCTTCCTTTGAAAGTCCACAAGCCACGTTAGACTCCTGTCTCAAATGAAGACCTATGACTACTTTTAAGACATCAGCTGCTTTCCGTCCCTCAGTTCACAGATGGGGGTAGCATTGCAGCACAGCGAGAGCAGCCTTGCCTGCAGCACCACCATCCCATATGGGCTCCAGTTTGACTTCCAGCTCCTCCGCTCCCAGCAACTCCCTCCTAATGGCCTAGGAAAAGCAGCAGAGGGTAGCTCAGCTGCATGGGCCCCTGCTACCCACCTGGGAGACCTGCAAGAAACTCTTGGCTCCTAGCTTCTGCCTGGCCTTTGCAGCCATCTGGAGAGTGAGGCAACAAATAAAAATCTCTTTCTCCCTGCCTTTTTCTGCAAAAACTCTTTCAAACAAATGAAAGAAATCTTAAAAACAAAACAAAAAAAAAAACAAAAAGAAAAAAGATTATTTTTTTTGTATAAAAGGCATTCCCCAGTCATTCACATTTTCACATAAGATTTGGTGTTTTGGGCTTTTTTTCTACCCCCCTTTTACTGTTTGGTACCTGGCACCATTGTGTTTGCTTTTTGTTTTTTGTGGTTTTGGGTTTGCTTCCTTGCTTTTACAATTGCAATCATCATCTGAAAAGAAAAGGCAATAGAGTGACATTATTAAAAACAGCTCTTAGGGGTGGGCATGCATCTTAGCAAATAAGGCAATGTGTAACACAACCTCATCCCACATTGGAGTGCCTGGGTTCGAGTCCCAGCTCTGGTTCCTGATTCCAGCTTCTTGCTGGTGTAGACCCTGACAGACAGATAATGGCTCAATTAGGTGGGCACTTGCTGCACATGTAGGAGACTTGGGTTGCACATCCGTCTCCAGCCATTGACACAGGGGCATCTGAGGAGTAAACTATAATACAGAGCTTTTCTGTGTTTGTTTCTGAAATAAGTATATAAAAGTTTAAAACAGAGTCCGGTGTTGTGACATAGCACGTAAAGTCACTGCACCACATGTGGACACTAGTTCGCATCCTGACTGCTCCACTTGTGACCCAGCTCCCTTCAAATGTGCCTGGAAAAGCAGAAGATGCCCCCAAATGATTGGATCCCTGCACCCACATGGGAGACCCTGATGAAGCTTTAGGCTCCTGGCTTCAGTCTGGTCCTGTCTTCACTATTGGGACAGTTTTGGAGAGTGAACCAGTGGACAGATCTCTTCCCTCTCCCCTCCTCTGACTCCCTCTCTGTAGTGCTGCCTTAGTCATCTCCAGCAGAGGAGCCTAGAGGAGGGTGTAGCACCACTCTGAGACGGAAGGGAGCTACTCAGGCAGAAGTTCCTGCAGTCTCAGGGGCTTTATGCTCTTGACAAACACCAGCCACAAATGATTTGTAGGATAAAGTAGTAAGCTTGCACAAAGATGACTGCCTGGAGGCCAACAGTACTCATCCTGACTGTGTTTGACCAAATCTGTCGGTTTTGAATGCTGAGAGCTTCATGGGGATAAAAGATAGGTACTGGGGAGGGGGAGTGGTGCCGAGTAACGCCTCAGGGACCGGCCAGAACACAGCATCATTGCAGTGGGAGTGCGAACCACACGGTGCCCTCCTGGGTGTGTTCCTGATGCTGACGTCAGCAGCTGTTGTCCACTCGCTCAGGCAGGTGGAAGGAGAGGCGGGTACTGCACTATGGTTACTTGCAGCTCAGTGACCACCTCAGTGATGGCCAGGCTTGGCTAAGGTTAGTGAAAAGGACAATGCAGGGGCGTTGTGTGCGTGTCTGAGTGAAGGGCTTGTGCAGCAGAAGGGGAGTTAGCGCTGGAGAGCCATATATTTAACAATGCAAAGTTTGTCTTTCAGTTCTGTCAGCATGAGTTGTGGAGTTTAGATAATCCAGAGATCATATTATGTCCCATGAAAGTTTTGCCACGGTTTACACAGTGTATATGAGGATTTCCCTCTGAGAACAGAACCACCTTCTAGGTGTATGCTGATTACTTAAGCCACGGAACATTCTACACTTGATCTTAGCCAAAAGCAAGAAGTGATAAGCCACAGAACATTCTTTTTTTTTTTAATTTATTTTTATTGATTACATTGCATTATGTGACACAGTTCTATAGGCTCTGGAATTCCCCCCCTTCCCTCCCCAAAACCCCTCCTCCCCCATGGTGGATTCTTGTTGCATTACTACAGTTCAGATTCAGTTGAGATTCTTTCCTTGCAAGCATCTACAAAGCATGGAGTCCAGCATCTTATTGTCTAGATAAGTTCAGCAGTTTCTTGGGGAGACCATCTCTGGTCTGAAGGTAGAGCCAACAGAGTATCATCCCAATCAATTAAAAACCCCGACATTACATCAGTAACAATTTATAACATAATGGAATTAGTTGACATGGTGTTGCCACAGAACATTCTTACACAATTGTTTATTCCCACCATTCTACACAGAGTGGGGAATGTGTAAAAATATTCTTTTTTTAAAAGAGCTGATCTATAAGTACTTGCTTGTGTTTCATCCTGTGTCAGATATAATAGTTATATCTTCTCAGAGCTTCCAGCAGGCACTGGAAATACAGGGGTAAACGCTGGAGGAATTTATGTCTTGACAAGTTTTCATTTACTTCTGGCAGAGCTTTTATCAACTCTGTGCCAAGGCTAATTAGGGATAAAGAACATAGTCTAATATTAGGTTTCTTTGTGTAATTAATGATCATATGATGCATGTTATTTGTAAAATTCACAAAGGGGAAAGATAGCCATACCACTAAACCATTAGTCTTTAGCTTTAGTTCCTTAGTTGTCTTAGTATTTTTGTTCAGGTTTTTTGTTTGAAAAGTGGACAGAGGGAGAGAGAAGAGGGAGATTTTCCGTCTGCTGGTTTGTTCCTCTGATTGCCACAGTGACCTGGGCTGGACCAAACCAAAGCCAGGAGCTTGGAATTCCATCTGGGTCTCCACCATGGCTGCACAGGTCTCAACATGTGAGTCGTCTTCAGCTGCCTTCTCAAAAACATTGTCAGGGAGCTGGATTTGAACCTCAGATACAGGATTCCTGGTCACAAGTAGCAGCTTAATTCAAATGGGCAGCACTGGGAGAACAGGTGCTGTTCTCCTAAATGATGTGATAGATATTTTGTACTGTCACTATAATAATTACATTGGCTTGCCTTCATCCAAGAGTCCTGGAATTTATGAAGAATCTTGTGTTTAGACTTGAGTGTGTCTTAGATGCCTGAGTTTAATGCTTCCTGTTTCTATCTCTGCAGTTTAAAGCATAACTTAAAGTTGATGGAGAGAGCATTCTTTATGAAAAAGAAAAAGGAGTCTCTCAAGATTTTAGAGCCCAAAAAAATGACAGAGAAGGAAAGTTAGATGTGCTTACCTCACACTGCCATGAATGTGCCTAGTGTGCCCAGTAATATTGCAGAGCTACCCATTTTGACCTGCTTTTAACCCTTTCACCCAGCTTACCTTTCTGATGGGAGAATGTACAGTTCATCAGTAAGTTTAGTTTGCTGTGGTTATTTCTTTTGAAGTTACAAAGCAAAATGTGTCAATTTCACAGCTATTTTAAAGTTGCACATCAAAAATTCAGGCTGTGATAAAATTGGCTACTTAACTGCCTATTCATTTACAGGATTAATACAAATATAATTCGTGATTATGCTTGTCTAAGTCTGGGGGTGATTTTTTAAAAAGATTATCATCTGCTTCCATCAGTTTGTGAAATTGACTTTAATTTCTCTTATTGGCGTTATGTTTACAATCTGAATGTGTTCTCTGACATTTCCATAAAAGATAGATTTCTGTCTGAAGTTTTGCTGGTGTATTGGTTAAAATATCAGATTAGTATGAAAAATCAGCTTTTGTTTTCATTGCTCTTTTTCATCTGACATATTAAATATTATGTTACAGGGGCAACATGAAGTCTGCAGCCTTTCATATGCTGATTTTAAGAATTTAGAGTTCTGTTTTAAATGTATTTTATGATTTATTTGCTTATATCTCATTTTTAGGAGAAAACTGAATTTAGAAAGTAGATAAGGAAGTTGACTTGCAAACTTTCAAATGGTAATCAATTATTTTAACCAATTGGTATAGTTAATTTATATTTATTTTTGGTCTATTTCTGGCTTTCATTACCAAATAGGTATTTTTTTATTTTAAGATTTTTTTTTTGAAAGGCAGATTTAGGGAGAAAGGAGAGAGAGAGAAGTTCTTCCATCTGCTAGTTCACGTCCCAGATGGCCATAAAAGCCAAAAAGGAACTAATCTACAGCCAGGAGCCAATAGCTTCTTCTTGGTCTTCCATGTGGGTGCAAGAACCCGAGAAATTGAGCCATCCTTCACTGTTTTCCCAGGCCATAAGCAAAGAGGCTTGTTTCAAAGTGGAGAAGCCAGGACATGAATGGTACCCAAATGGGTTTCTGGTGCCACTGGGTGGAGGATTAGCTTGCTGTGCCACTGTCCTGGCCCCAGGCTTAGTGGGGTTTATGTTTACATTGTTTACATTGTAGCATCATGCCTAAGAATGGTAATATCGCTATGATAATAAAGAGTTAGAACCCTGTTAACAGTCATGGACCCAGATTTGTATCTGTGTCTTAAATGAGTTTGACTATCTTTGAGAAGTACATTAATCCCTATTTTCTCCAGCCAAAAATGAATGATTAATAAAAACCAAAGTTTGTGGCAGTAACTGCCTCCCCAGAAGGACACCATGTGAGTCCGAGTCTGCAGCATGGGCTCTGAAGCTGTGGGGACGGGTGGGCATTTCTTCCGATCCCTTTGCTCAGCAGCACAGTGAGGTGGCTGATTCTGAGAAAAGCTCCAGTGCTTCCAGGACTTCCTCTTCGAGCCAGCTTGTTTGGCAGAAAGAAGCTGCATCCTTCGCCAGAATGCTTTGTGAACAAGTGGATAGTTTTCCAGAAATGTTTCATCACAGTTGCATTCCAATGAAGGCCTCCCTATATACTTCAGGGACACCACACAGTGTCGAATGACATTAAAATGAGTGGTTGAGCACATTGTTGCAAATCTGAATCTTAGATGTAGGAGTTTCTAATAGTTCACTGGAGTCTCTGATATACGTTTTTAATCAAGTAGCATGTTTCATTTTTAAAGGGCTGCTGTTGTAATGGGCCTCTGTGATGAAGCTTCCAGCACCTCCTTGTGTCTCTTGCTAGGTTTGGCTAGCCGCCAGTCTTGACAGAGTGGCTGCTAGCCCACTGAAGGATGTGGCCCTGGTGGGGAGCTCGAGCTCTGGCAGCATGAGAGAAGGAAAATGATAGCTTGACAGGGTTCAAATCAATTAAGGAGTGCCAAGCCAGTTGTAAAAGTCTGTGAAAGAATTGTAATTGTGCTGTTAGTTGGTTTTCTGGTGGCCAGTCCTATTTACTCAGCTGGGTTTTTCTGTTTCAGGAGAAAGCTTTGCAGAATTCAAATCCTCAGGAACAGATGATGGGTTCACTGATTTCAAAACAGCCGACAACGTATCCCCACTAGAGCCGCCGACGAAAGACAAAGCTTTCCCAGCCTCCTTTCCCATGGGAAGTATGCAACAGAAGCAGCAAACACATGTGAAAACTCCTCTGAACTTAGCCGATCTTGATATGTTTTCCTCAGTTAATTGCAGTAGTGAGAAACCATTGTCTTTTTCAGCCACGTTTAGTGCATCAAAACCTGTTTCCACACGGCCACAGCCGACAGGTTCCACCACAACTACAACAGCACCAGCATCAACTAAGACTTCTAGCTTGGCTGATGACTTTGGAGAATTCAACCTTTTCGGAGAGTATTCTGGTCCGGCGTCTGGTGGGGAGCAGGATGACTTCGCAGACTTTATGGCTTTCGGCAACAGCTCTATTTCATCAGAGCCAAAGGCAGAGGACAGATACGATGCCCTGAAAGGGGAAACCAGTCCCATCCCTGCCTCCAGCAGCTCGGGCAGCACTGTCCAGGGCGCACAGAGCAACGCTGCTGCCCCCAGCAAGTACGACGTCTTCAGACAGCTTTCCCTGGAAGGGTCTGGGCTAGGTGTTGATGAACTGAAAGATAGCACTCCTTCAGGAAAAAGCGATGACGATTTTGCTGACTTCCACTCCAACAAGTTTTCTTCCCTGAACTCAGACAAGTCCCTGGGAGAGAAGGCAGTGGCTTTCAGGTACACCAAGGAGGACTCTGCTTCCGTGAAATCCTTGGATCTGCCCTCCATCGGCGGCAGCAGTGTTGGCAAGGAGGACTCGGAAGACGCGCTCTCTGTCCAGTTTGACATGAAACTGGCTGATGTAGGAGGAGATCTTAAGCATGTCATGTCTGATAGCTCTTTGGATTTGCCAACAGTTAGTGGCCAGCACCTTCCTGCTGCAGGTGAGGAACTGGTGAGATTGCTCTGGTGACGCTGGTGTAGATTTCAAAGGTGGTTCGGTGGGTGTTGCTGTGCAGAAGAGTGAGTCCCTGGCCTGTGGCCGTTGGGGATTTCTCATAATTGAGTAGTCTCTTTAGGCAATGGGAAATTAGATTTTGCAGTTGCTCCGATGTGGAGACACCTTGGCTGCTGTGAAATTTAGGTTGGATTTTCATTTTGAAAATCTCATACCAACTTGGTATTCAAGGCACGTGGGGACCCGCTGCCGAGTGCACCTCCCTTGCTGGACGCTGACAGGCTTTGCCGTGGTAGTGGCAGCGCTGCTGCATTCCTGTGAGTGAAGTCTGTTCCCCTCTCCTTTTCTCTTCTCACGGGGATATGCAGCACCCGCCAACAGGGCATTCTGTTTCAGAAACCAAGTCTGGTTATGCCAAGAAAGTGGAAAAGTATGACCCGTTGCCCCGCAGTTTGCCAATAGCTTCAAGAGCAGAAGCAGTTAAAAGCTGGTGTGTGGTGTGGCATGTGTCAGGACCTGGCAGGACCGAGCCCCAGGGCTGGCAGCAGAGCACAGGCATGTTCTCAGTGTTAACTCTTGCCAGAAGGATGAAGCTCTGTTGAAGCATCAAGTGTAGCCACAGCTGAGCTCTGCAGCTGCTAGGCCTGGGTGGCTCCTGACTTGCTGAGATGTTCGCCAGCCTCTTGGGACCCCCTCTTTAGATTCTGTGTGGTTTACATGTAGCGGTTTGTTCTCTAGTCTAGCTTCCTGCCCTAAAAAGTAGATTCCCAAGTGTCCTAGTTTTTGTTTTGTTTTTTGATACATATATAGAAAGATAACCTATTTTGTGGCCTTTCGTAATGGAGACTATCAGTATTACTGTATTCTGGAAAATGTATCATGCATATGAAGTTTTTGTTTTGTTTTTGTTTTTTAGCTGGAAAGGGACATATAAGACACTTTGAAGTTTACAGGTTCAGGCAGAAATTACAAAGTACTTTTGCATATTTCAGATTGATAAATCATAGGACAATTTCATGCATCCTTTATTTACTTGTTTAAGAGTTATTTGTTTAACAGGTGGTGGGGGCGGGCAGAGAGAAAGATACCTTCCATCTCCTCCCCAGACGCTTCATCCAGGGCTGGGCCAGGCCGAAGGCAAGAGCCTGAAACTACATCTGTGTCACCCACATAGGTTCAGGGGCCCAAGCGCTCATGCCATCTTCTGCTGCTTTTCCTAGATCGGAAGTGGAGTATCTGGGATCCAAACCAACATTCTTGTCTCAGGTGGCAGCTTAGTCTACTACGTCACAGCTCTAGGGAGCGTGCAGCCTATAGTGATTAGTAGGATTGTTAAACGGGCCACCGAGTCAGGAGCAGGGTGGCAGAGACGTCACGTGTTTGGGGCTGCTGCTTGCTAAGAGATTTTGTAAGTGCCAAGGGCTCTGTGAACCCTTATGTGCTTAGTATCTACTTTTTTATATTATTATTATTATTATGGCACTTTTCTTCAGAAACATTGCTATTTTAGGGATTGCTATTTATTCAATAGAGCAGTTTCATGTTTGTTCTGTACGGATTGCTTAAGCCTCCTCAGTTGGTTGCAGAGTACTCTGATTTTTGAACAACAGTATTCAGTTTTTATTTAAAAATCTCATGATGTGTATACTAGCCTTTTAGACTCTGAAGTTATTAGAAGCTATTTTTCTGAAAATGAATCTATATTCTTTCACAGTGCCAACCCAGGTGTCTTTATGAGATGAGTCTGGGGTGGGGAGGGGTGTCTTTTTGTTTTCCACTCTGTTTGGGGAGGGGAGGTTGGCTCTCTGACGGGTCTTGTTCCCATTGACTTGTTGAACAATCTCTGCTTGTGTTCTCTGCTGTATGTTTGCCGCACTCCCAGCTTGAAATCTGTAAGGTCTCAGCCAGCCCTCTTCAGCAGGAGGCTGTTGCTGGCAGCAGACCGTTGGCTCCTGGTGATCTGTAACCCTCCCGTCGGAAAGGGGCAGTATCCCCTTAGAGCGGTTGGTAAAGGGGTTGGCCTCGGACCTGTGAGCCCAACAGCCGTGTCTCAGACCCTGATGGTGTTAGAGATACCAGGTGGCCAGGACTTGTTCAACACTGCCTGGTTTTATTTTAGCCTCATGTTCCCCACAGTATTTCTTGCTCTCCTAGATTGAGGGTTAATATACTTCTCGTTGGAGAAATCAGAAATGGGCTGACGAAAAAAGAAGCCTGGCAGGTGGCTGGCCATCGACCTGAATCTACTTAGAAATCCTAACTTAACTCTAAAGGGGATACTGTCTCTTTTAACTCTTGCTGTAACGCTCTGTATGAAAGATAGATGATACTGGTTACATTGCCGGATTTCTCTGCATATTACATTTAACCCTTTGAGCTCTTGCTGCATATACTTTCTACCAGGCTGCTTTCCTCCCACCTCCTAAATTTTGTCTCCCCCTGGCACTGAGGTTTCTCCACGTGCAGTCATTGAAATCAACAGGTTTTGTTAGCAGCAAGAGCTCTCTCTGGCTTGTGACATCCATAAAGAGGTAGCGAGACTGCTGTAGCTTCCTCCTTACCTGTAAAGTAGCCCTTCTTTGACATTGGGAATATTTGTATTTGAATCAGCGCCTTTTGGGGGCTGCTTTTCTGATGTCTTTTTTTCAACTTGAACCTTTTCTGTGTGAGTGTGCCCTCTCAAACTGGCTCTCGTATATCCCTCTGCCAATACTGATCTGCATGCTCGCCTGATAACTCCCTTTCCACCTCTTCTGTACCACTCTTTTGTGATCTGTAAGTCCTGTGTTAATAAATAATTCCTTGGCATATTTTGAAAGTGTGGGGATGTGTGTACTTTGTGCTTTTTCAAGGTTAGACCAAAAGCCCAAAGAAATAACCTGGTTTCTCCCCGCTGGGCTTGTCTCCTTAAGCTCTTGTCTCCTAAGGATGTTTTGATGCAGTTTATTCTTTTCCCTTTGTAATGAATCCATCACTATGGTTTTAGTGTGGCATGGGATTAAAATATAACTAGATTTTACTTTGTTCATTTGAGAGGCAGAGAGCTCCCATCTGCCGATTCACGCCCCAGATGCCTCCGACAGCTGAGGCTGGGGCCAGGCTGAAACAGGGAACCAACAGCTTAAACCCCAGTCCCCGCTGGGTGACAGGGACTCAAGCCGTCATGCTGTCTCCCAAAGGGCACATTAGCAGGAAGCTAAACTCTGGTGCCAGGCCAGGACTCAGACCCCGATGCCCTGATAAGAGAGAGACAAGCACTGTCTTAACCAGCAAGCCAGATACTTGCCCTTAACCTTAAATGAATTTTTTCTTACATGTAAACCTTAATATGACCTTCCATAGCAAGATGACAGCGTAGAGGGTGGGTTTTATTACAGAGCTGTCTATACTAGGAGTTAAACTCTTCAGAAAAGGAGCGAAGTCAGAAAGAAGAGTGGGATGGAGAGAAATGAGGGACAGAGATACTTGGTAACCAGATAATTGCAAACTTGAAACCATCTGATGTGCTGAGATGGATTTGTGAGCCCAGGGAATGTGCAGTCATCTGTAATGGGAAGTGCTCAGTCTGTATGCCTGGATTGGACTGAGTTTGCCGTTAGAGGCTGATGCTTGAACTGCAGAGCATGCCACCCTGCCAGTGTCAGCTTATGTTAGGACGTGGCCTGTCATCCTTGTTCATTTGGGGGATGGAAAGTAAGGTTTTTTTCTTTTTTTAAAGATTTATTTATTTATTGGAAAGGCAGATTTACAAAGTAAAAGATCTTCCAGCCTCTGGTTCACCCCCCAAGTGGTCACGACAGCTGGAGCTGAGCCGATCCGAAACCAGGAGCCTCTTCCAGGTCTCCCAAGCAGGCAAAGGGTCCCTAGGCTTTGGGCTGCCCTCCACTGCCTTCCCAGGCCACAAGCAGGGAGCAGAGTGGAAAGTGCAGCAACCAGGAGGGGGGTTAGCCATTGTGCCATCACACTGGGTTCTTGTCTTGTTTGTATAAATTTACTGATTGAAAAGCAAAATTTAGAGGGAGAGGGAGATTGGGTTCAGTCTTCCACTGGTTCTCTCTCCACATGACTAAGATGGCCGTGATGGGGTCAAGGCTGAAGCCAGGAGCCTGGAACCCTATGCAGATCTGCCATGAAGGTGCCGGGGCCACTGCCTTGGGCCATCTTCTGCTGCTTTCTGCTTTTTCCAGGCCATTAACAGGAGATGGATGGGAAATGAATAATAGGGATTTGAACTGGCACCCATATCAGATGCTCATGTTACTGGCAGCAGTTTAACCCACTGTTCCACATTACCAGCCCCTGGATTCATTGTCTTAAGAAAATTTTAGGAGGGCTCAAAGAAGGTTAGTGGTAAGAATAAGCTAAACTTGGAAAATCCTTTCTTCATTTTAGAATATAGCAATAATGAAAGGCAGAGCAGGTGAGGCTGCCCTTGAAGCAGCCGCGTCCCTTCTCAGAGTGCCCGGCTTGGTCCTGGCTACCTGTCAGCTCAGGAGCCTGGAGGCAGCAAGTGGGGCTCCGCTGCTTAAGATCCTGCCGCCTGTAGGGGAGACCTGGCTGTTGCCAGACATTTAGAGAGTGAATCAGTAGGTAGCAGATGATTCATATTCCCTTTCTCTCTCCATCTCTCTCCATCTCTCTCCATCTCTCTCCATCTCTCTCTCTCTCTCTCTCTCTCTCTCTCTCCCCCTCTCCCTCCCTCCCCCCATCTCTCTCTCTCTCTCACTGTATGTATCAAACAAATACATGTTTTTCTTTGAGAACAGTACCAGTATAACCAAGCTTCATGGATAAGTCCAGGACAGAATCACAGGGCCTGGGTCAAAGAGAGACTGTAGTGTGCAAATAGTCCAAGTTTTTAGACATTAAAAGGTACTACGTGCCTAGTCCCATGAGCATTTGGATTGCTCTCTAAAACACTTGGGAATGGTAACATTTGCACACCTGTCTCCCCCCTCAACTGCAAACTCCTTCCTCAAAAAACGCCAGGAACCCCTCATCACCTGGACACACGCTCACAGCCTCAGAGCCATCGGTGGGAGCAGGTCTGGCTTTCTGGGTTTCTATGTGCCAAATCCATTCAAAAGGGAATTAAATAGAGGTTATGGAAGAGGCTGATAGAGTTACTTGCCAGCAAAAGCAAGGAATCTACCATGATGGAAAACAGACTGGATAGTTCATTCCTCTGGCCTTGGTAATAGGACATTCCTGGTTGCAAAAAAATATGTGTATTAAAGCTCACAGTTTGGCACATTATCTGTGTACAATTTCAGCTCTACCTGGCATAGCACACAGGTTCTCCAATAGAATTGGAAATAGGAGTGATTCTCCAGTCATTTTATTGCACTGATTTTTCATTCCTTTTTCCTTTACAATTTTCAGAATGCAGCTGACAAATTGAAAACCCATCTATAACAACTTCAGAGATTACAAAGTGAAATCTAGGTTATTCCACATCTTTTTTCAAGATAGAGCTTCTACCATTTATATTGTTCTTACGCAATCTGTAAGGTATTTAAGACTGCCACACAGTAAGACCCGAAACTGGGCTGCTTAGAAAAGCAGAGCTCCGACATAGGAGTGGAGTTTCTTGCTCTGATTTGCATTCAGTGAACCTCATATACTGCATTTTTCTTAGAAAGTGGTTTACAAATCAATGATGATTATGCCAGAAAATACCGTTCTACATTCATATTCTTTTTAAATGCTAAGCTTAGAGCCAAGTGTTAGGTAAAGAGTTGTAACTTACAGTCTGTCTGTAATAGCAATTTTTAAGTAGTTAGATGTTCAAGTGAATTATTTCTGTAGGCTACAGGAGCCAGTAAATAAGCAGGAATCAATTTAAAATGCAGTTTTGAGGCCTGGTTATATGAAATCTTCAGTGTTTACTGGGATTTTTTTTTTGGAAGTATAAAATATTTTAGCTTGTTAGTTTTTCACTTGGTCATTTCTGTGGATTGTTCCAAAAGGCAAAATATTTGATGCAAGAAAAAATGACATTTAATAAAGGCCTGCATAGTCAGAAAAATGCTTGGAACCTCCTCTGCCAAACTCATCCCTTGTTGCTCACAATGCGTTACACACGATGAGATTAGTTGGTTGTAGTTGCACGTGTCTTTCCAGTTACACAAGTGCACAAAAGGTCTATTATTACTATAGCAACTTGGTTCCCATGTTTAGACTGCAATTCTTTTCATTAAGTTTATCTTTGGTTTATGGAAAATTGCTACTTGTTACTAGATGAGATTCTGTAATTTCTCCAGGAGCCTTCTGGGAGAGTAACAGTATCTGTATTGTGAAACAGCCCTCTGCGTGCACTTTTTAACGGCAGGCCAGGTCTCCTGACTGTCGCCCCCTGCTCCCTAGAACCAGAGGGAGGAAAAAGACAGCAAGACGCTAGAGGAGCATCTCATCCAGAGGCTCAACTCCATGCGTCTAAACTGTACATTCTTCACTTGAATCTTTCCCCCACTACAGATTTTGAAATACACTATTATTCTGTCCAAGACACTTGTTTTTCACTGATTGACTTATTGTCCATCTAGTGTTTTCCACCCTTATTAATTTATAGTGCCCTTTTGCTAGTCAGTGTTAGAGAGAGACTTAGAGTTTTCTGTTACAAGAGCCATGGAAAGACTGACGGTGTGGCATAGTGCATTAAGCTGCCATCTGTGGCACCGGTATCCTGTGTATAGGTGCTGTTCCTAGACCCGGCTCCTCCACTTCCAATCAGGCTCCCTGCTTAATGATGGCCTGGGAAAGCCGCAGGGGATTGCCGAAGTCTGTTGAACCCGGTGTCCACATGGGAGCTGAATGAAGCTCCTGGCTTTGGCCTGGACCAGTTCTGGCCACTGTGGTCATTTGGAGGGTGAACCAGTAGCTGGAAGATATTTCTCTTTCACTGTAACGGTGCTTTTGAATAAATAAGTAAATCTGTACTTAAAAGGGGATGTGAAAGTACGTGAGCCTCTTATAAACCATGCAGTGTTGCTGCAATAACAAGGTGAAGACCCAGGGTGCTCCTTACCGACTTCATGTGGCAAACATAGGCCCCAGAAGCTGGGAGCATTTTCCTCCTAGCACATGTCTACAGTGTCTGAGGGAAGGGCTGCCACTGAGCCTTCTCGGCCCTCAGTCTGCCAGCCTCATGAAGCCTCAGTAGACTGCATTTTTTTAAAACAAGTAAGAAGCACTTTGCTGAGCAACATCACTGAGGAGTGTATTTTTTTTTTTTAAGATTTATTTTACCGTTATTGCAAAGTCAGATATACAGAGAGGAAGATCTTCTGTCTATTGATTGACTCCCCAAGCAGCCACAATGGCCGGAGCTGAGCCAATCCAGAGCCTTTTCCAGATCTCCCACACAGGTGCAGGGTCCCAAGGCTTTGGGCCGTCCTTAACTGCTTTTTCAAGCAGGGAGCTGAGAAGCGAGGCCGCCGGAATTAGAACCAGCTCCCATATGGGATCCTGGCACATGCAAGGCAAGGACCTTAGCCACTAGGCCACCACGCCGGGCCCAGAAGTGTGCTTTTGGTTTTCACCTTGAAGGAATCCCACCTCAGGGTCTGTGTCCAGTGAAGGTAGAGGCCGCCGCGCCATGCCAAGCCCCCACCAGCAGCTCCGGGTAGCTCGCCACCTTGGGTGCACCCATCACTATTGGCTGCGGGCGCATGGCCCCTCCAGTGCACAGTGTTTGCATTGCCCAGCTCAAGGTCAAGCCAGGTTCAGTCATGTGATGTTGAGAAGGTCACACAGACGGCGTGTGGCGGGAACGAGCTCGAGCGGGTCCATCCAAGTGAAGGAACCTGTGTGCACCTCTGAAATGACACCTGCAGGAAGGAGACACGTGAGGTGACTTTGCCCCGGCACTTGGTGTTCCCTAGTTGCTGCACCCCCTTTGAAAGCATGGGGTCGGGCACAGGGTGGCAGAGAAATGGGAGCCGTGCAAGTCACAGACCTCTGATGCTTTTTTTTTCTTTTGAGATTTATTTTATATTCATTACAAAGTCAGATACACAGAGAGGAGGAGAGACAGAGAGAAAGATCTTCCGTCCCATGATTCACTCCCCAAGTGAGCACAACGGCTGGTAGTGCGCCAATCCGAAGCCGGGAACCAGGAGCCTCTTCCAGGTCTCCCGCACGGGTGCAGGGTCCCAAAGCATTGGGCCGTCCTCGACTGCTTTCCCAGGCCACAGGCAGGGAGCTGGATGGGAAGTGGAGCTGCTGGGATTAGAACCAGCGCCCGGGGCGTGCAAGGCGAGGACTTTAGCCACTAGGCCATGGCCGCTGGGCCCCCTCTGGTGCTTTTTTAAGGCCCAAGGTAGAATAGATTTTTGTCTTTGCCCATATGCCATCACAGCAATGTGACATCCAAACTGACCGAAAAAAAAAAAAAAAAACTGGTAAGTATCTGCTTGATTCAAATCTCTTATTTCTCAGACAGAATTTTCTATTTTTGTACATGTGCTGCTGAAGCAAACACAAAAAAATTCCTAATAATTGGTGAAAACTTAGGAGACAGTACCACTTTAGTTTTGAGGGAACGTCACCCCTTATTTACGTTGTCGCACGTGTCTCGTTTGGCCAGGTGTTTGATGTAGAGAGGACAGATTTCACTGCCCCATGCGTAGCGGTCAGCCCGTAGTGACACTTCCTGGCCGCCCCCTCCTCTTGTTTCTTTTTTTCCCCTTTTAATTTTTGTGATAACATGCCTACCATCCACTTTATAGGCTTAATCCTCCACCAAAGGGTTTAAAAAGAAACATTTTCTAGTGAAATCAAAATGAAGACAGACACTTTTAGACAGGGATGTGCAAGCACATTTTGAATGATAAGAGAACAATTTATGAAATGACTCATAAAAAAGTGTGTATATATATTAGTAGAGAAATCACTCACTTTTTTGGGGGGGTATTATTTTCACATCCAAGGAAATTAATGCTTTGTGACTATATCCAAATGCCAACTCGAGGCTAATGCAAGTTGTTTTAAGATCAGATTTTTGCAGTCCAGCTCCCTTCATTGTTAGTGCAATGTTCTAAATGTAACTAACTCCACCATAGCCCTAGTCTAAATCAGATCTAAATCTAGATCTGCCAGGCATGTCGCTAGTGCGGAGTTTAGGGCACTGGGTCATGAGCCTGCCTCTAACTGCGGGGTCTTATTTCCCTTTCAGATATAGAGGACTTAAAATATGCTGCTTTTGGAAGCTACAGTAGCAATTTTGCAGTGAGCTCACTCACAAGCTGTGACTGGTCAGACAGGGAGGATGCATCCCAGGGCAGAAAACCCTCTCCATTTGTCCTCTCAGCAGGCAGCGGGTCCTCCTCGTCCCCCTCCGTCCTGCAAAAGCAAGAGACTTCCTTTGGCAGCTCTGAGAGTGTCGCCATGGCCTCGCTCTCCAAAGCCTCCACCTTTTCCAGTGAAGATGCGCTGCCCGACGGTGCCTTCCCCGCCTTCGCCAGTTTCCAAGACGCGATCCCGCCGGCCAGCGAGCCAAAGGAATATGAGAGCAGGGACTACAAAGAGTTCACGAGGCAGGACCTGCCCGCCGCCGAGCAAGGCCCGGAGAGCACGTGTCTCAGCCCAGCTTCCAGCAGTGCCTCCTATGAGACCCCCAAGGAATGCTCCGACGACTTCGGGGAGTTCCAAAGCGAAAAACCCAAAATCAGCAAATTCGACTTTCTGGTAGCCACATCACAAAGTAAGATGAAATCCAGTGAAGAGATGATCAAGAGCGAGCTGGCGACCTTTGACCTGTCTGTTCAAGGTGAGTCTCCCCGTGTTGGTGTTTCCCACTGGGGTGTCAGGCGTTCTCTCTGGAGAATAAAGCATTGTGCCCTAGCCAAATAGGCAGTGAAGTGTTCAGCCCCACAGATAGGCTGTACCGAAGTTTTCCTTAAGATTGAGCTGAGTTCAACCACTTGGAGGCTAATCACAGGCATGGAGTATGGCTCACTGGCTTGCTCACTTAGACGGGCACTCTTTCCAAAGCTCCCCGGGGGAACAGAAGTGATCCACTTGGGAACAGGTCCGCTGGGCTGCTGCTGGCTAGCCACAGCCAGAGTTGCTCAGCCCCAGGCCATGCTGTGGTGGCTGGCTATTGTTAGATTTGCCACTGGCTAAATGTTAGATTCGCAGACCACCAGGAAAAGAATAACTCAGCCAAATATATGAAAAGAGTTTAGATGGCCTTTATTACAGGAACCACAGTCACGGGCTGCCCTTCCCCGTGCAGCAGACAGACAGACACACGAAGGAGTGGGCTGCAGAGGAGGAAGAGTGCGGAAGAGATGGGGAAGGGGCTTTTTAAGCTCTGCTTGACACAGAAGATGAAACGGGGTTGCCTCGGCCCTTATGGGTGGGGGGATATGGATCTGTGCCTCATTGGTGCAGCGGTGGTCTCCCAGCCTGAGGGGCCTGCCACAATTCCACCATCCGTTCTGGGTTTGGTTGGAGGCAAACTCCACCCTTCCCCGGCCACCGTGGTGGCCATCAGCTGCACATCTGCCCTGCAGGACTGCTGGAATTGATGTACTTGCAAGTTTGGTTTTGTTTTGTCTTTTTGGGGTTTTTTTGTTTTTAAATGTGAAATAAAACTTGGATTCCATGGTCAGGTTTCTAGTTGATTTTGAAAAGCTGTAGTGCCCAGCAGCAGTAGACCTGCATTCCCACTTCTGGATGGTCAGAGGGAGTGGAGTAAGAACTGCCCAATAGCTAGACTGTCTTACAGAGGACCACGCTTCCTGTCTCCAGCTGACCTGCCTTAGTCACTGGCATTCAGTCACGGAAGTGTTTGAGTCCATCTTGTGTCAGTGGGGAGGGTTCATTTCAACAGGCCCGTTGAGGGGCCCAGCTGGACAGCCGTAGCTGAGGACTGGCTGGCACCATGGCGCCCACACCCTCCAGACGACTGTGCCAGGGTGGCGACAGCCCGGAGTCAAGTGGCTGAGGACACTGGGCAGGGAAGCCAGGCGAGAGAGGATGGCCAGGAGGACTCCAGCAGGAGCTTCCCCAGCTGCTACTGGAAGAAGGGGCTGTGCTGGCCCAGGGTGCTTGTGCTTGCCCCACGCCCAAATGGCAGTTCTGAGCTGTGCGTCCGTCCTCCTCCTCCAGGATCACATAAGAGGAGTCTGAGCCTCGGCGATAAGGAGCTCAGCCGCTCCTCCCCGGCCCCGGCCCTGGAACAGCCCTTCCGAGACCGCTCCAACACCCTGAGTGAGAAGCCTGCGCTGCCCGTCATCCGGGACAAGTACAAAGACCTCACAGGCGAGGTGGAGGTGAGCAGGCCGACCCGGAAAGGGGTGGGGGTATGGGGACTCCAAGGCAGGGGAAGCCTGGCCAGCGCTGGGAGCCCCAACAGGAAATACTGTGAGCTTCTCCACGGGCGAACAAGGGGCAGAAAGACACCAGGCAGTGGACAAGAGCGAGGTCTCTGGGATGGTAGCAGGGAGCCTTGGGGCAGAAGCACCCCAAGTGTGGTGTCAGCCTGGAGAAGGCAGTGGCCCCAAGTCTGCACTTGTGTTGGGGTTGAGAGAAGGGAGGTGCTGGGGGCTGCTCAGTGAACACCAGGACTTCTTGGTTTGGGGCATCGTTGGGCCCCTTGAAGGACAGGAGAGGGCAGCGTCATACAGTCTGGGCCCAGCACACATGCACACACATTGACAGACTGGAGGCGAGGCCGGGGGCCTCACAAGGCAGGCTTACACTGCTGCTGACACGGTGGGGGCAGCGACATGAGCAGGAAGAAGCTCCTGGCAGTCATCTCCCTCAGATACACAGGCCATGTGCTCAGGTGTTAGGGTTATTAATAACCAGAAGTAATTACTAGTGGGTTCAAACAGGCAAGCTGCTTGACCTCAGTGACCTGAATGGAAAGGAAAGTCTACCAAGCTCTGAATGGCCCAGTCTCCTAGAGAGGATTTCCAGGCTTGCCCGTTTAACCCAGATGTCTTTATGAACTCCACAGGAGAGTGAGAGATACGCATATGAGTGGCAGCGGTGCCTGGGCAGTGCCCTGGAGGTGAGTATGTCACTTCTCTGTGGGCCCTGCTGAGGTGTTCCGCTCTTGTTGAGTCGGAGTGGACAGCAGGTGCGCTTGCCTTGGGTGGCCTTGGGCCAAGTGCACCTCGGGGCAGTCATGCCCCTCAAGTGAGGCCGCCCACACTGCAAGCCATGGTGGTTTGCGTGTCAGCATCCCCTCCTCTCGCCATGCTGACAGTAGCACGTTGCTTGGAGGGCTCTGACTCGCCTGGAGAAGTGGAATGTTGCTTCTCTGAGGTTAGGCTGAATCCTCCGGGCTGTCTGAGCGGTTGCACAGGCAGGCCGGTCGGTCGGTCTTGCTCCCCACATGTCCCCACTCTGGCTGGGGTTCTGGGTCAGAGATAGATTGCAGGACTTTGCTCGGTTACCTAAGGTGATGTGATTTCTTGCAGGTCATCAAGAAGGCAAATGACACCTTGAACGGGATCAGTAGTAGTTCCGTGTGCGCAGAGGTCATTCAGTCAGCTCAAGGCATGGAGTATTTATTAGGTACGCTCTTTCGTTCTGAAACCTCGTACTGTGTGTGTGATTTTCCTTTTCTCTGTACATTAAAAAGGCAAAGCTCCATCTCACACACTACATAGGACTGAAGCACGTAGCACGTGCGTTTGTAGGTCAGACCCCATTTGTCTTGAGGTCTGTGGCGGTTTCATAGCCCAAGTTCTGTACATAACAGTAGCAATGCAGAATTACGCCTGTGTTCCTGGCTCAGGAAACACTGTCACTAGTAAGAGGGATATGAAATGGTTTCGTCTGCACCGGTGCCCCCCATGCCTGGGGTTGTTCCCCTCCACCCTCCGTGATTGCTTCCCTTCTTGGCTGCTCTCAGCTATAGCCCGTCCAGTCCAGCTGTGTCCTCTCCAGCTAAACTCGGGCCTCATCCAATGCAGAGCTACATTCTGCTCTCTAATCACGTCCGCATCCTCACTCTGACGTCACCTTCTGAATGAAGTCTGCCCTGAAACTCTTGCTCCAGTCATATCCCCTCTCGGTCCCCATCTCCTGAGTCCTGTCACGTCTAATGTCTTAGATATCTTACTTATTCTTGCGTTTACTACAAGAGTCAGGAGGCATGGTTTGGGGTCCGGCATGTTCACTGCTGTGCCCCCAACACCTGACCCAGGGCTTGGCACATTAGCAGGTGCTAAAAAAAATTAGGCCAGGAGAGTGGCTGGTGAGGGCCAGTTCTCTGCTCTCCACCTGCCATCTTGCGAAAGCTTTTGTTGCCCTGGCCGGATACAGTTCTACACAGGCAGGTGCTTTTCCCTGCCACCTACAGAAGACTCTTAGACAGCCCCTCGTTTGTCCTAGGAGACGTACCTCCCCAGGGAAGGAAGGGAAAGCCATCGTGCTGTGTCAGAGGCTGCAGGGGCCCTGCAGGAGTGAGAGGCCGGAGGTGCCCGTCTCTGGCTTGCGCATTACTCAGTTGGGGCTGCCCTTAGAATGTGAGGGCACCCGCTTGAAGGAGCCAGCCACCAGGACGGAGAGCCCTGCTGTGCTGTGTTCAGCATGGAGAGGGAGGGAGACGGCCCTGGGATGCAGAGCAGGGCAGGTGTTACTTTGTGATGCTGTTAACATTTGAGTATCTTGAACTTGTGCTGTTCCCATTTTCAGCCAGTTTATTGAGGTTTCCAGATTCAGATATAGGGACTTATAAAGAGAACTGAAAACAAAATTTTAAAAAGCTAATAAACTGTTTTGTGTCTTTTTAAATATTCAGCCATTTACTCTTCGCAGCCGTTGTTTGAAGTAGGCATTACTGTTATTGTCCCATTTTGCAGAAGAGGTATAAAGAGGTTCGATGATTTGCCATGGCTAGGAAGGAGCAGAGCTGATGGTGTGGCCCATTCAGCACGGCCCTGGGCTCTGAGCCCTGGCCAGTGAACACTGGTCCCAGGCGACAGCTCGTGGCCCTCCGTCCATGGATGCCAATCCAGCTGCATCTCCCTCACCCCTTCCTGCCCTCTCCCCCACCAGGTGTGGTTGAGGTGTACAGGGTCACCAAGCGCGTGGAGCTGGGAATCAAGGCCACCGCCGTGTGCAGTGAGAAGCTGCAGCAGCTGTTGAAGGACATCGACAGAGTGTGGAACAACCTCATCGGCTTCATGTCCCTCGCCACGCTCACGGTGAGCCCTTCCGGAAACTCAAGCTGTAAGGCAGGGTGTGTGTGGGAGGACGGGGCCAACCGCTGGGGCACAGGGTGGTGACAAGGGTGGCTAGTTGGACACTGGCCCACTGGCTTCTGGATCATTCTGGGGCCCATTTTACTCACGTAGGAGCACAGGAAAACAACTCAATGCAGCTGCTTCTTTCTTCACTGAGAAACGCAGATCAAAGCTGGGCACTGTTGTGCTTGTTGGAACTCTTGCACTTCCAGTAAAGTCCGTGAAGTCCTCACGTGCGTTATTTGAAAGTTACACACTAGGTCACGTTGGAAGCACATTGCTCATTTAACCTTTCTGATGGTTTTGGGTTATTTTTGTTTTTTCCCTCCTGTGAGCAGTTCTAATCTGAGTAAGGAAGGGACTGCTCTCCCCCTTTTGGGATACAGTGTCTTGGAGTGCACCTGCAAGGACGTGTAAGCCACCGTTGTCACCTTTGTTCCATAGCTGTTCTGGTGGCATGCGGCTGCCGACAGTGCTGCCAGCAGTGTGTGAATCCGCGTTTCTCTGCCTTGTGTTCTAGCTCTCCTCTCAGTTTCTTAGCACGTGTGCAGCGATTGCCTGGGGTTGCTCTTTGCACGTCTCTCATTACCTGGGAGGCTTTGCCGTGAGCCAGGTGCCGGTCTGCTCTGGGGTCTGTGTGTGAAGTGATCACCTCTTGGCTGTTCCAACATTGGAGCCAACAGAGCACGGTTGTACACCTGTAGTGCTTCATGTGTGCAATACATTTTATATATACCACCACCTAAAAATAGATTAGTAAAATCTTTTATTACCATCTCTTTTATATGTTACTGGGTAAACCTTTACTTTTAAATATTCACAGCTGTTGAGTTTGATGATGCCCTTGCTTTGGCGGTAGTTAGAAACCCAGTGATTCAGTATATCTTTTTTTTTTTTTTTTCCCATTTTGCTCTGAGCCCCGTCCACACGGCTTGTAGCTGGGTGACAGGTCTGATTGTTAAGGTTGTGTTCTTAGGGTTTAATTCCAAAATCTCTGTTCTGGCGCCTTAAGCTATTTTACAATAACCTAAAACTATACTGTTCAGGTTTTATCTTTTTACAAAAAAAATGCGCTTCTGGCCAATATACTAAAGAAATATAAATGTTTGAGAAGAAGAGATGAAAGTATATTTATCTTTTCCTGTGGTGATAAATTTTTGTAGAAAACTGGATTTAAGTGGTCTTCTTTTTTTTTTTAATCGGGAAGTCAGATTTACAGAGAAAAGGAGAGACAAAGATCTTCCATCTACTGGTTCACTCCCCAAGTGGCCACAACAGGCAGAGCTGAGCTGATCCACAGCCAGGAGCTTCTTCTGGATCTTCCATGCGGGTGCAGGGTCCCAAGGCTTTGGGCCGTCCTCAACTGCTTTCCCAGGTCACAAGCAGGGAGCTGGATGGAAAGAGGGGCCACTGGGATTAGAACCAACATCCATACAGAATGCCAGCACCATAGACAGAGGATGAACCTTGTTAGGCCCCCATGCTGCTCTGACCCTTCCAATTTTTAAAAAAACTAGACACCAGGGCCCAGTGCCGTAGCCTAGCAGCTGAAGTCCTTGCTTTGCATATGCCGGAATTTCATATAGGATCTCAGCAGTTCTAATCCCGGCAGCATCACGGGCAGCAGCTTTGTCCGCTCTGCCACAGCTCCAGCCCCTGGATTAAATTTTTTTAAACAGGGAAATGTATGAAAGAAGAGAAATAACAGGAAACGCAAAGTGAAGAAGGAAAGACCAAGTGAGGAATGAGGTTTTGTGTACGGGCAGTGTGTCCGTCCAGTGCTCGCGTTTGCCGGTGAGGCTCTTCAGCTGGCTGCACGCTTTCTCGGAGCTGCTGCAAGGCAGGCGCAGGCAGCCCCCTGCTCCGTGTGTCCGTGTGGCACCGTGTGGCACTGTGTGGCAGTGAGCTCAGCCTCAGGAGCCGCCAGCGTTCTGGTGTAGGGTCGTGGGGTCTCCCACCGAGAAAACCCACAGAGAACAACCTTGTCTTCAGCGGTGAGCCTTTCGACACAGTAACCAGCAAGCCAAGTAACCAGCAAGCCGTCCCATCTCTCCTCCCATCTCTCAGGCCGAAGGGCAGGGCTGCAGAGGAGGAGTTGGTGAGCCTCCCCCCCCCCCCCCCCGTGTGGGAAAAACGTGTGGCAGGGAGGGAGAGCCAGTGCCGCGGTGCCTGCAGGGCAGTGACAGCTCAGGCCCGTGTGTGTGAGCATCCTGGCGGCAGGACAGTGCCCGGCTAGAGGGCTGCCTCCCAGCGGTGAGCCCGAGCTCAGGGGCACAGGGACAGTTTCTGTGATTGTGTAAGAAAAGAAGCATCTTCGGTGGCCTTTGGCTTTTCGGCAGCAGCAGGTGCCCTTGTTTGGCAGGGTCAGGGTCCTCTCTTCTGCACCCTACCCCGCTCCAAGTCTGTGAGTTCCAGGGGGGTCCCCGCAAGCAACCATCTTGGGGGTGGGAGTTGGCAGCATGCATTGGCCTGGCAGGGGACACGGTATTACCCTCACAAGTAGCCGGTACCAGGGCCAAGGCCAAGTCCAGCCCCTGCAGCTGTAGGCCTGAGTCCAGGTGCAGGAGGCAGCAGGAATGGTCCTTGAGGATGGGTGGTCCCCAGTCGCCCAGAGCAGGCTGCCGCACCCCACCCCACCCCCGCCACCTCCCACAGCACATGCTCAGGCCTGCAGGTCTCTGAGCAACAGAACATCCTGTCACTGTAAGAGATGCCACGGTGACCCAGCAATGCAAGATCAGAGGCTGCCGAGGTCTGGGCCTTTGCCTGGAGAGCCTGACCCCCGCCCCCGCCCCCCAGCAGCTACGCTGACTGCAGCACAGACATATGCAGGCTGTCTGCGGTGAGGGGCCACCTGCCCAGGGCTTAGCGGGGAAGTGACCGTCTGGCCCCACAGATCGGGGGAGCAACAGCAAAGCTCAGGATCCAAGTTCACATCCTCCCAGCCCACCTTGTCCTCACTTCTGGCACAGAGAGCCAGGGCTGAGGCCAGCAGGAGGGCAGGGCAGCCTCCCAGGGCTGTGTTGAAGAGGTGCCCAGTCCCAGTGACCACGGCTGGACCTTATTCTCCCTGTGGCCACTCTACCCTCCCTAGCGAGGCCAGGCCTCCAGGGACCCCAGGAGATGAGAGGACTCGGTTCCGACTTTCTTTGCTGGACGGGGCTGCCCTGGGGCTGCTGGGCTCTCTGGTTACAGGCAGATCTGCAGGGCCTGGGCCTTATGCATGCACGCTTCTCTGCCTGGCCAGCATCACCCGGAGGCACTGGTTGCAGTCTCATAGTTGGGATGGTGAACCACACAGCCAGGTCCCTCCAGGCGGTTGAGGACCTGCCACCTGGGGAAGTCAGGAGTTCCTTTGCTTGTTGCTGACAGAACAGCCCTGGTCACTCCTGAAACCCCAGCAGAGGCTGACCTGCACTTTACTTAGTGGATGGTGGCTACTGCGTGGGAGGGTGGCAGGTACTGGTCAGCAGCTGCTGCTTAGCCTCCTGGAGACAGCAGCAGGTGTTGGTGGAAGAGCTAGAGGTCATAGGAGACTTCAACTTCACCAAGCCACCCTCTGGCCTCCCCCTCAGCATCCACTGGGCTGCCCAGGCACTCGGCAGCCGAGTGGTCAGGAGGAAGTCCTCAGGCCCATGCAGCTCTAAGTAAGCAGCTGCGAGTCCCCTGGGCACTGAGCTCCCATCCGGCAGGCGTCTCCACAGCATCTGGCTGGCTTGAGTAAGGGATCCCCTCCTTAATGGGTTGGCATTACACTGGCAAGTCAGCACTTCCCGTTGCTGGCAGTACTCTCTATCCATGGTCTTGGGCGCCCTCTGGTGGCAGAAGCATGTGTTCCTGAGGCATCCCTCTCCCACTAGTGAAGTGTGATGTGCTGGGATGATGGCTCCCGCGTGAATCGTTAGCTGTGATTTTCTTCTGTGGATGTGGGTTGAAGTTCAGTGGATTTGGAACAAAGGAAGCATTCAGATCTGGGAAACAAGACAGCAGTTTTGCCTTATAAAACTTTGGTTAAGAGAAAGGACAGTGTGGAAGCCTCACAGGCTATCGGCGTCATCCTCGGCGTAGTGCGCGCTTGTCCATAGCCTCCTGTGGGAAACGAGCAGTGGGCCTCGGGATGCTTAGCTCCTGTCGCTGTGAGATAACAGAATCGCTTATTCTTTTTTTTTTTTAAGACTTATTTATTTTTCATGCAAAGTCAGATATACAAAGAGGAGAGAGAGGAAGATCTGTCTATTGATTGACTCCCCAAGTGGCCACAACAGCCAGAGCTGAGCCAATCCAAAGCCAAGAGCCAGGAGCCTCTTTCAGGTCTCCCATGCGGCTGCAGAGTACCAAGGCTTTGGTTCTGTCCTTGACTGCTTTCCCAGGCCACAAGCAGGGAGCTGGATGGGAAGCAGAGTGGCCGGGATTAGAACCAGTGTCCATATGGGATCGCAGTGCATGTAAGGCGAGGACTTTAGCTACTAGGCTATCACATCAGGCTCCAGAATCATTTATTATGAATGATAGCTATTTTTAAAAATTTTATGTATTTGTCTGTTGGTCATTGGTACAACATTTTGGAGACAGAATAATGACCTTAAACACAGCCATCTCTGCGGGCTCTGGTGGTGCTGTCTACAAGCCAAGGCAGGTGGGTGCCCTGCTATTGCTAGGACTGCACGTGGCGACTCCAGACCTGCCACGGAAGGAGAATTCACCAGTGTTAGAACGTGGAGCTTGGTGGTGGGTTGCTTCATTATTTAGACTTGGGAACGTGACAGAGAAAACATGGATATGCAGATTTGAACTTAGAAGTGTGTAATGTCTGAAGCTTTAGTGTGTACTTGGTACAAAAGCGGGAGAGATGGTGCAGTTTTCAAGATCTGTGATCTGACTCCGCAGCGAAGGCACCAAAGCATGGGGCACACAGGCTAAGCTGTTCTAATCTTTACCATGGAAACAGCCAGCATTTATGCCAGAAGCAGACTCATGGTGAAAGCAACCATGGAATGACACCCCAGCAGGTCTTCTGAGAACTGGTTCCTGCTGGTTTAATCTGTGGCCCTTAGGAAAAGTCAGTTCTCAGTGGGAGAAGGCGTGACTTTGCCCTGGAGGAAGCGTGGACTCATGCTAACCATCTCGCAGTGCGGAAGCTGCTTCTGCGCAGAATCCCCAGCTGGAATGTCAGCGGTGCCCAAGTGGAGAGGTTTTGCTCTAGGACATATGTCCTCTAAGCCAAATAAACTGATCTAGCTATTTTTTTTTCTATTTTCAAGAAAAAAAAAATTTTTCTACTTCCATGTTTTTTTTTTTTAAATTATTGATTACATTGTATTATGAGACACAGTTCCATAGGTACTGGGATTTCCCCCAACCCTCCCCCCATGGTGGGCTCCTCCACCTTGTTGTGAGACCACAGTCCAAGTTCAGTTGAGACACCTTCATTGTAAGCATATACCAAGCATAGAGTCCAGCATCTTATTATCCAGATAAGTTCATCTGCTTCTTGGGGGAGACCTTCTCCGGTCTGAAGGTAGGGCCAAGAGAGCAAGATCCCAATCAATTAAAAGCCCCAGCAGCAACTATATATATCGTTATGGAATTAATTGACATAGTGTTGATCTAGCTATTTTAAAAAATTAAAAATTCAAATCTTGAGACCAGCACTGTGGTTCTGTGTGTTAAGCGACCAGCTGAGATGCCAGCATCCCAGTATGGGCACCAGTTCAAGTCTGGCTGCTCCACTTCCAGTTCTCCCTAGGTGAGCTGGGTAAGCAGCAGAGAGGCCTAGTCCATGTGCCTGTGCCCTGTCCCCCCCAGGCGGGAGGCCTGGGTGACACTCCTGACTGTGATCTGGCCCGGCCACGGCCATCGCAGCCATGTGGGCAGTGAACCAACCAAAAGCATGTCAGTTGATAGCTGTCTGCCTGTCTCTGCAACTCTGCCTTTCAAACAAATATTTAAAGAAAAAACAAAAAAACACACCCTTGGGATCTTTTCCTTTTTCTTACTTATATATTCTTTTATTATTTTTATTGGAAAGTCAGATTTACACACAAAGATCTTCCATCCACTACTTCAGCCACCAAGTGGTTGCAACAGCCAGTGCTGCACCAATCCAAAGCCAAGAGCGAGGATCTCTTCCGGGTCTCCCAGGCAGGTGCAGGGTCCCAAGGCTTTGAGCCGACCTTAACTGCTTTCCCAGGCCATAGACAGGGAGCTGGATGGGAAGTGGAGCAGCTAGAACACTAGCTCGCATCCATGTGGGATCCTAGTGCATGTAAAGTGAGGACTTTAGCCACTAGACTTCTGTGCTGGGCCCTACTCGGATTTTTCTTTTAAGATTTATTTATTTTTATTGCAAAGTCAGAGATATACAGAGAGGAGGAGAGACAGAAATATCTTCCGTCCAATGATTCACTCCTCAAGTGACTGCAACGGCCAAGATCCTCTTCTGGGTCTCCCACATGGATGGCCCAAAGCCTTGGGACCCTGCAGCCTCAACTGCTTTCCCAGGCCACAAGCAGGGAAAGTGGGAATTGCATGGGAAGTGGAGCTACCAGGATTACAACTGGGACCCATATGGAATCCCAGCACATTCAAGGTGAAGACTTTAACCACTAGGCTATCGCGCCATGCCCCCTGCTCAGATATTTTAAACTGAAGAGCAGCTTAGAGTGGGCTGCACAGACGCAAAGTGCTTTGATCAGCTCTGACAGATGCCACTCCATGCACGTGCCAGTCAGGGCCTGGGCTGCTTGTGTCGCTCCTCCGAGTCCCCCTGTGTCTCCCTCGTGAGTCCCAGGTTGATTTCAGGTGCCCACTCCCCTGCCTTCTCACCCCAGTTGCCTCTTTGTGCACTGTGTGTAACTGGGTTCTCGGTTATGGCCTCTCAGCATGAAGTCTCGAGAATTCCGTTGGAGTCCTTAGATTGCTACCTGATCTTCCATTGCATAAACTTACCACTATTTGCTCATCCATTTTCTTGCTGACAGGAACTTGTTCTGCTTCCGGGTTAGGCTTGGATGAATAATCCTAATATGAACGTTTTGTGTATGAGACCTTATTAACATGTCATTTCTCGAATGCTCTGGATTCTTCCCATGCCCCGTCTTGACTCAGAAGCCTATGCCTTGCTTCTCATTCTACATAGAATATCCCTCCCTCGAGAGAGAGGGGGCATCCTTCTGGTGTTAAAGTTTGTAGACTGTATTGAATCTGTTAGAAACTAATTAAAAATTAAAATGAAAAAACCAGGACAGGGACCTGCACTGCAGCGTAGCACAGCAGGATAAGCCTGTGCCTGCGATGCTGGCTGTGTGGATGCTCTAGCCCTAATCCAGCTCCCTGCTGATGTGCCTAGGAGAGTGGTGGAACTGGCCAGAGAGCTTGGGCCCCTGCACCCATGTAGAAAACTCAGATAAAGCGCCTGGCCTCGGCCTGGCCCAGCCCTGGCTGCTGCAGCCACTGGGAGATGAAGCAGTAGGGGGCATCCCTCTCTTTACATCTACCCCTGTCTGCCTCTTTCAAATAAAAAGAAATCTTTTAAAAAGTTTTTCTTGGGCCCAGCATGATAGCCTAGTGGCTGAAGTCCTACCCTTGTATACGCCAGGATCCCATATGGGCTCTGGTTCCCATCCAGCTCCCTGCTTGTGGCCTGGGAGAGTGGTGGGGGACAGCCCAAGGCCTTGGGATCCTGCACCCCTGTGGGAGACCCAGAGGTTCCTGGCTCCTGGCTTCAGGTCAGCTCAGCTCTGGCCATTGTAGTCACTTTGGGAGTGTATCAGCAGACTTTCCTCTCTCTCTCCTCTTTGTATATCTGAGTTGGCAATAAAAATAAATCAGAAAGAAGGAGAGGGAGGAAGGAAGGAAGGAAACAAGGAAGCCAACTCAATTTGGTTTTTAAAAAAGTTTTTCTTACAAATTCTCCCCTGCCCACCTTGCCAAGCCCAGCTGGAAGTGAGGGATGCCTTGTGAGGACTCCCCCTGAGAACTCAGCAGTGCCCCTTGGGTTGGCTCCCCCGCTTCCCCAAGGCCCACCCCTGGTTGCCCGGCTCCTGCCCTGGGCTCTGAGTTTTCCAAGGACAGGAGACAGTTTTGACTCGGGCTGGCATTCCTGGCACCTAGCACATAGCACGTGCTTGGAAAGCAGCTGAGAAATGAAGTTCTCTCTTACAGGGTGAGAGGCCCCGAGTTTGCTGCTGGGCTCCTGCCGACAGGGTCGGGGCGGGAAAGCACGGCATGCAGCCGGCTGGCCGCTGACTGTGTGTCTTACCTCCACAGCCGGATGAAAACTCACTGGATTTTTCCTCCTGCATGCTGCGGCCTGGGATCAAAAACGCCCAGGAGCTTGCCTGTGGGCTGTGCCTCCTGAACGTGGACTCCCGAAGCAAGGTGAGTCACACAGCCTCCTCCCAGGACCTGGGCCACAACCTTATCTTGCTGGAAAGATGACAGACCGGCCCACTGCTCCCCTGGGCAGCTGGGGGCGCTCCCTGCCGGCAGAGGCGGCCTGTAGGGGTCGGTGTGGGGCCAGAGGCCCGCTTCTGCCAATCCTGATGACCTTGTGGTTTCAACATTATTTCAGAGAGAAGAGAAGCCTGCAGAGGAACATCCTAAAAAAGTATGACCCACTTCCACGTTACCTTAGCGTCTCCATCTTAATTTTGAGTGTGGAAGGCGAGTCGGATGATTCCGTTGCCATCCTACACCGTTCCAATCACAAATTTGTCACTGAGTCATGTGTGTTTCCATAATGTCTGATTCAATCAACTAACACGGCTGTGTGGGTCTGCTTCTGTCTCACGTGCGTGCTTGTGTCTCCTTGGTGGCTTGTGGCGTTGCAGGCATTTTTTCCTGCAGTGAACAAGGTAGCAGAAAGAGCACTTTCTGCAAGAGCAGATGGCATCCTCACACAGAGCAGCAGCTGAGCAGTCAGCCGCGGGCAGCAGGGCTCCTGTGTGGCGTGCTGAGTCCTGTTTGCATGCAGGTAGTGCCTGGAGGACAGCCTCCAGGAAGGGGTCCAGGTTTGGGCCCCTCTGCCCTGGTGACTGTCGTTCACTTGCCGCTCACCTGGGAGTCATCCCCATGTGCCTGAAGTCCACTGAGTTTTCCCAAACTCCAACCTCTGGACTCGGTGAGCGATATGGGTTCAGGCCCCATGGCTGCGGCATCTAGCCCGGCCCTGTTACCTGCTCTTTCCCGAGCTCAGCATTGCGCTCACCACGGAGATGGAAGGAAGTGCTTGCTCCAGTCGGAACCCAGCCCCGGGACGAGGGCTTCCCTCAGCACAGGGAGAGGAGAGTCCCCTGTCCCCCACCGACACACACACACTGCCCCTGGCTGTCCCCGCGTCGGGCGCTCCCCTGTCCTCACAGGGAGAGAAGCCCCCACTTCCCCCACCAACTCACACACACTCTCCCTCTCCCCTTGGCTGTTCCCATGTTAGGGGCGCTCCTGTCCCCCTAGACCCTTCACAGCAGTGGAGGCTGATGGCAAGGCTGTTCCGGTAGCTCCCGCTCGGGCTGAATCCCGCAGCTGCCTGCCTGGCTTCTGTCCGTGTCGTTCTGGGCCCGCGCCTCTGACCTGGGGAGACGCCTGTGTCAGCGACGAGCAGCTCGGGGTGCAGGAGAGCCTGACGTGCCCCATGTTTCTCTCTCTGGCAGGCATTCAACTCGGAGACTGACAGCTTCAAGCTGGCATATGGAGGGCACCAGTATCACGCCAGCTGTGCCAACTTCTGGATCAATTGTGTTGAACCTAAACCTCCTGGCCTCATCCTGCCTGATTTGCTCTGAAGGACTCCTTTGTGGTGCACCAGCTGCGTGTGTGTGCGCGTGCGCACATGTGCATGTGCACCCATGGGATGCCCAGGAACCAATAAAATGTGAGTTCAGCAAAGTTCATCTCCACAAAGCCTTGACAGATCCCCCCAAGAGGTAAGCGGGGTGATGGCAGCACTCGCGGCCACCCCTCGGGGACTCCCTGGCCCCCGCTGGCCCGGCCCAGGCGTCGGGACTGCCGCACCCAGGCTGCACGTGGCACTGCCTGCTCAGCTCTAGTTCTCCTAAGTTATTTTAAAATGTGGACCACCGTTTTCTTTGAGGAACACTTTGAAACTGTGAAGAATGAACTCTTGAAGACAAACACGTTAGCATGGCAGGACTGGGACGAGCCAGACTGTTCCCAGCCCGTGCCGGAGTCTATGCGGAGCACGCCCGTGCAGTCAGAACGCACGCGTCGCTGCGGCTCGTTGGGAGCTGAGGGGAAGGAACGGGGCAGGTGCAGTTACCCCCGTGTGCTGTCCCCCTGCACTGAGCGGGGCCACTCTGCAGAGATCCCGCCCTGCCCACACCTGAGCTGGGTGCCCACACTCCGTGCCTCTCCTGCGCTCTCCCTGCTGTGCCTGCGCCGGGCCTGGAGCCACGTTCAAGGAAGGAGAAACAGCGTTTTGCCCACAGACTCCAAACATGGTGTTTTTTCAGGGAAGGTGTGGAAAGGCAGTGTGTGCAATCCCTTCACGGGGTTCTAAGGACCAGCGCAGGCCCACCCGGGTGGCCACTGGGAGGCCCAGGAAGTCACTGGCCTGGTCAGAAGGGAATGGGATGTGGTTGTGACCTAGAAGCCCCGGAGGGAAGCCGGTAAGACAGAGCGCCAAGGAATCGCTCGTGCTGATGTCAAGATCGTCTCTGCCACTGAAACCAAGTGCATTAAATCAGGAGTGAAAGCCAGCGGTCAAGGGCCATGTTGTTCCCAGGAAGAACAAGCTAGAACATAAGCTTCTCTGAATTTGGGTTGCATGTTTCATGAAGAGGTGTTGGGGCACACATGCTCCTCTGTGTGTCATAGTGTCTGACCCAGGTAACCTGCAAACTGCAGGCAGCCTTTGACTTCTGCTGACAGTTACCTGTGGGTTTTTCGCATCTCAGGACCAACACTGAGGGAGCCGTCCTGTCCCCATCTTATATCTTTCACACCTTCTCCCACGAGGGGCAGTGTTTATTGCGGGCACCTGCGGAGACTTCAGCTGGCCTGGCTGTGACCGGGAGGATGCAGGGAAGTGCTCACCGGCTTGGCTCACCTGCAGCAGCTGATGCTGCGTGTCTTGATAGGAGGGACCCAGGGGAGCCGTGGGCCAGGGACGATGCCCTGGTAGTGACTCCACTGGCAGCCAGCTGGGCACAGGCTGTGCCGGAGGCCCATGCACCCACCTTGGCAGTGCCCGAGTAGTCACAGCTGTCCTTCCTGGGGGTGGCACGGTTAGTACAGCCACAGGAGGGACAAAGGAAAGCTCTCAGATGGCAACAAAAGCCTCTGCTGCGAACAGGCCCCAAGGCTTTTCCTCTTTCAGGACCTGGGAGTGTGGCACCCCCCTGTGCTGGCTTTCTGAACCCACATTCATTCAAGTGAATCCCTGGCTGCTTTTGACTTCACCTAAGCTCTTCCCTTGTTAGCTGAGGGTGTCCTTGGAAACGGTAACCAAGGTTACGTATTTTCCACACTGTGTATCATGTCAGGCGGCCTCATTTCTGGACTTGAATGGTGATTAATAAGCACTTTTCTATGTTTGGTCTTTAAAACATTTTATGGGTTGATGTGTAACTTTTGTTTGGACATGCTTGAGATGAACAAGGTACAGATAGATCGGCATGGTGGTCACGTGACATTTTGGAGTTAGCATTTCCTATGGTTTGCATATTTTAAGGTATTTGAATATTTTGTGGAAGGTATGCTCCGAGCTGTGGAAGGATGTTCCTGCGTGCCCGTTTTCTTAGTGCTTTTCTAGCTTTGGAAAGCTGTGCCCCGCAGACACGTGAAGCGCCCACTCTGCTCGGGGCCTGCCGTCGGGGGGCCTCCGCCCTGCTAAGTCGGACAGCTGCCTTGCAGAGTACAGCAGTCAGGGTGCAGGGCGACTGGCGTGGAGCCTGTATGTGTACCAAGTAACAGCACTGGAAAGTTCTCCTGCAAACCTAAGGTGAGGAGATGAAGCTTAAGCCACGATGAAAGCAAAGCCCAGAGATGAAAAACACGCCTTTCTGAATGACAAACTTTGACTTGCCCGATTTCCCTTCTGTGTTGTCAGTTCATGCGCAGCAGCTCCGTGTTTAGTCATGGCCGCATGAACCAGTGGATGCGGGGGCCTTGTGTGCGGCTGTGCAACTTGGTCCAGTATTATAAGGCGGTGTGGCTTCTGACCTTTGCACGTAAATTTAGACCTTATAAAGCTTGCCCTGTAAAATATGTTCAGGGCCTTTCCTGAGGTAACCACTTGTTGAACTCTATTAGAAGTAAAAACAAATCGCACAAAAACGTCACGTGCACTTTCTCTTGTCCTAGCTGGTTCAGACTCGAGATGGACGTGAGTCACTAGGAGGAAGAGTGAGAGCGCTCGGACTGGGAAGGCGGGGACGCCAGGGCCAGGTTTCCTACAGGACGTCATGACGTCATCTTTCAGAACCAACAGCCTGAGGTTATCTTGTGTTTTTAAGCTTGGCTTCATAGGAAAGAAGTCCTCGGCTCTCCGGATCGTTCTGCTCATGTGTTGATGTCGCATTTGTTGGTCCCTCTGCTCTCTCATTTTATTGTTCCTACTTAGGCACTAGTGATGCATACTTCGAAAAGAGTGGGTACATGTTAGAGCCCTGGTGGGGAAACCCCTGCCACAGCCCAGGTAAGAGCTGGAAGATGCCAGCCTGTGTTAGTGTGGAGCTACTGGTGAGATCTGACTTTGTCCCAAAATAGACCAGGGAGCTGGACAATGAAGCCACAGATAGGCAATCTGGAACCATCTGACAGTGTTTGACACTGGCCTTGATTATCTGGACAGACTTCAGGAGACTGTCATACCCAAGGGAAAGGAGCAACCTGGTGCCCCCCTGAGGCTGCCCAGCAGCCTGGCAGGTCAAGTGTGGGCTTGGGCATTTGGGATGTGTTAATAGAGCACATCTTATATCAAAAACATTTCCTTAATGGAGGACTCACTACTTCAGTGCATCCCTTTGAGTGAGGGAGGAGTGAAGTTAGACCGTTGTTTCAGAGCGCATGCTCTGCCCCGTTACCCCACAATTGTAAATGCTTTTCAAGGATGTGGAGTGTTGGGGTATCTACTTGAAATTAGCGTTAATACTTGTCCCAAGAGCTATAACAGACTTGGCAGTTTTTGTTTCTTGAATACACATCAGTAAAACTAGTAAAAAAACAAAAAAAAAGTCTTATGCAGATATTTATTAAAAAATAATGCTAATGCCCTGGGGAACAAATTCAAAGGGTCTTTGTAACAGATTTCATTGTAATTACCTAATAGTAAAGGCTTATTTTAACTTACAGAGTCACTAAGTAGAGGTGAAGGTGTAGAAAACCACCCCCGTAGAGACTGCGGCTGGAACTCCTCTTCCCCAGGCACGTCTGGTCAGCAGCCCGGGGCGAAGCTGGTCTCCCCGGGCTTGATCAGGCCCGGCGGGCTTTCTGCACGGAGCGCCTCCGCACCTGCCATGGTGCTGAAAGGTGCCGCACGCAGAGCAAAACTGGGTGGTTAAACTGTTACAAATGAGCAAAAGCCCGTTGAAGTTTTTTTTTTTTTTTTTTTTGTAAATGCTATTCCAAAATGCTAGTTTTAAAAATGTCACTAGCAGCAAATGCATTCCCCTTAGTCCCGCCCCTCCCTGTTTCTTAAAGTAAACTTGAACACCTGCAGTGTAGAAAGACGTGAGGGTGAATCAAAAGTCAGCCATGGGACAGCTGCTCGCCCAGGCTGCGGGAGCGTTAGAGCCCCCAGTAAGGCATCAGGTGGCGGGACTCTTTCTCGTAAACATCTGGGACAATGCCGTAAGGGGTCTGCACCATCTTAACCGTGGACTTCCCGAAGAGCTGGCGCTCGTAGTCTATCAGCTGCCCCCAGAAGCCCACGTTGGGCCTGATGACGGGTCTCCGGGCCTTCACCCAGCGGTAGGCCTCCAGCAGGCACACGTGGTGGAATTTCATCAGGTAAGCAATGCACAGAGTGGCCGAGCGGCTCACCCCCGCAGCGCAGTGCACGAAGGTAGCCCCATGCTTCCTGCTCACGCTGTGGATCTTGTTGGCCACGGAGTCAAAGTACAGCCCAATGGGGGCGTGGGGCGTGTCAGCCAGAGGCACTTTAACGTACTCGAACTGAGGCCAGTTGAAATTGGGGATCTCGATGGTCGCATTCACGATGCACGTAATGCCCCGAGACTGCAGGAAGTCCCGGTTGGAGGCCACACTGCCCCTGCCCAGGAAGAGCGAGGAGGTGATCTGCGCGACGCCTCCCACGTCTCCCTCGGCAATCATCCGAGGAGCCGTGAGAGTCCGCGGGAGCGTGCTGTGACCTCGGGAGCCCATGAAGAAGCCAGCGGTCACACGCGCATGGTCGGCGGGCAAGACTGAGTGGTCCGCTCTCCTCCGCGCAGGACTCGGAACGGCAGCCTCCTTCCTGCAAAACCAGGTATCTGTCAGCACCCACTCGTCCCAGCCTGCTGCAGTGTGGGTCTGTAACAGTGTTCTAACAAGAAAAGCAGCCTAGGAAGCTAAGGCAAAATTTGGCTCTGGTGACTGGTGAAAACACAAGAGGAAGTTGTTGAAAAGTTCAGGCAAAAACTTGTCTACGGGGTCCTGCTCTTTCTCAAGGGGTGCTGGGCTTTAGTTAGAAGGAAATTTATTTGGGCTGGTGCTGTGGCAGAGTAAAATCCCATTTGGGTGTTAGTTGGATTCCCTGCTGCTCCACTTCCTATCCAGCTCCCTGCTAATGGAAAGCAGCAGGAGACGGCCCAAGTACTTGGGCCCCCACAGCCACACAGGAGACCCAGAAGCAGCTCCTGGCTTCAGATTGGGCCAGCATTGACTGTTAAAACCATTTGGGAAGTAAACCAGCAGATGGATGAGCTCTATTTTTCAATCAAAATCTTTAAATAGAAAAATCTGATACCCCTTAGAACTCTTTAAGTAAGCTCTCTGTGATCGTGTCACATTTGAGATGTGGAAAGAGATGACCTGTGCTGTGGCATTTCCAAAGTCTGGAAGCCAAAGGTTTTACCATTTCAGGCCTGGGTGTGTGCCTAAATGAGAACTCTGCCTTCTTCAGCTAATTCTGAATTCCTTACTGGCTCTAGGTGAGTGTCAGAATGTGTAGGTAGTTTATGAGCGGATGTAGATCTTTAGCTATGAATGTTAATTCTAACAATACTGGGCTCTGATATCTTGAGGCCTGTCTTCCCTCAGTACAGAATCCCAGTGGTCTGCACCGTGCCCACCTGGGGACCCCAGGGAAGCCAGGCCTCAGGGCCCCCGGATGCCCCTGACTGGTGGTACGGGTCGTACTCACTCGCTGAGGGCTCCGGGGCACACGTTAGGTAGCCCTTGGTCCGGGTGGAGAAGGTCCCGAGTGGGCTGCTTCCCGTGGACTCAGCCAGTGAGACCTGCAGAAGATGAGAAAGCACAGATGCAGCCGGTCAGGAAGTACGAGAGAAAGGATCCCTAAATCAGGCTGGCTGCAGCAAGTTCAGCAAACAGAAGATCAGCTAAATAGCTCTGATGTGCATCTAGACAACGAGCCAGCAAGAAATGTCACCTAAGCCTTAGCTTTTCATGAATGACATAAACCATGACATGACCAATGTTAAGCACAGTTTTGGCAATAACAAATTTTTTACAGGTGATAAATCAGAGCATAACATCACGATGAAAACCTAAGGCACTTCAAAATGCTCCCAATACCTGTAAGAGATGCAGCAGTGAGCTGGGGTCTCCCCCGTACCCACAGGTACCAGGCTGCGCTGCAGGGGGAGAGGAGGCCAGCAAATGCCACCAAGGCCTCAAGGCAGGCCTGCAGGAGACGGCGGGGGCGGGGAGGGCCTAGGAGGGTGACCAGGACAGCCCCGAGCACCACCCACAGGGGGCATCAGCGCCCAGAACCAGCTCACGTCTCCTGTCTTCCTGTTGGCCCCCTAACTCCTCAATGCAGGAGCACAAGCACCCTCTCCCAGCAAGTGCCCATCACACTTAGCAGTGCTGGAGGAAAGTAAAAGCCTGAGCTGAAAATGATGGATACAGGGCCCGGCGGCATGGCCTAGCGGCTAAAGTCCTCGCCTTCAACGCCCTGGGATCCCATATGGGCGCCGGTTCTAATCGCGGCAGCCCCGCTTCCCTTCCAGCTCCCTGCCTGTGGCCTGGGGAAGCAGTCGTGGACGGCCCTGGGCCCTGCACCTGTGTGGGAGACCTGGAAGGGGGTTCCTGGTTCCCGGCTTCGGATCAGCACAGCACCGGCCGTTGCGCTCACTTGGGGAGTCAATCATCGGACGGAAGATCTTTCTCACTGTCTCTCCTCCTCTATGTATATCTGGCTTTCCAATAAAAATAAATCTTAAAAATAAAAGAAAATGATGGATACAGAGCTTGGCCAAGTGTACAGCTTGACAAGTTCTGACATCTATAGTAGCCATCTTCAAAAAGCCCATGGGAGGGCCCAGCGCGATGGCGCAGTGGTTAAGGTCCTCGCCTTGCACACCCGGGATCCCATATGGGCGCCGGTTCTAATCCCGGCAGCCCTGCTTCCCATAGAGGATGGCCTGACACCTGGAAGAGGCTCCTGGCTTCGAACTGGCTCAGCTCCAGCCGTTGCGGCCACCTGCGGAGAAAATCATCAGACGGAAGATCTTCCTCTCTGTCTCTCCTCTCTGTATATCCGCCTTTCCAATGAAAAAATGTTTTAAAAAACAAGCCCGTGGGAATGCCTATCATGAAAAGTAAGGTTTTCAGAAGTTTGTTTTGCACCATCTTCCCATGAATTTCTGAGATAATCCCATCACTTTAAGAATTCTTAAATGTTCCTTAAAACCCACCCCTCTCAGGCCCGGCACTGTGGCCTAGTGGTTAAAGTGCTTGCCTTGAACGCGCTGGGCGCCGGTTCTAATCCCGGCAGCCCCACTTCCCATCCAGCTCCCTGCTTGTGGCCTGTGTGAAAGCAGTAGAGGACGGCCCAAAGCCTTGGGATGCTGCAACCATATGGGAAATGGGAAACCCAGGTTCCTGGCTTTGCAATAAATCCTTAAAAAACACTCCCTCTCACTGCTGCCCCCCGCCCATCTCCCCACCCCTTCCCCCCTCCCCCCCCCCCGCCCACTCCTTCCCCCCCTCGCCCCCCAAACCTCCCCTGCCCCTCCCCAGGGCAGCCCATACTCCATGACTGAGTAATACTGAGGGCTGAAGTCATAGCCAATCACCTACCAACACCTTTGACAAAAGCTGCATGTGAGCATTCTTTCTAGGTCTAACACCATTGAAACCCCTGAAACCTGTGCACCTCGTGACTCACAAGGGGACTTAGGAAGTAGTTACATAAAGAAGTGTGTGTGGATGTCAGACATTTTTTCAGATGTGTTAATAATAAACACTGGGGGCTTGCAAACTGTGTGGCTCTCCCATACAGAAAAAAAATTCTCCCATACAGAATTCTAAGTAGATTATTTTTGTTTAATGAACAGGCCTGAGCTGACCGGCAGTGGGGTCTTCAGGCCCGAGGCCGAGACACCAGCACGCCTGTGCTGAGCGTGCTGTCTGCTCCGTGGAGCCGGGGGAGTGGGTACTGGGTACACCATGCTGCTGGAGAGACAGATGGCAAGGCCTCAGGGCAGAAGCCAAGGGAGACAGGATGCTCCAGCCCGGCTGCCGCCTCGGCCTTGTGCCAACAAAGCTGCTTCAGCTGTCAGAGCTGGGCCAACATTTTATAAACACCTCCTGCCCTAACACCCACCCCTCATGACAGACACATACAGGCCCGGGAAGGGGCAGATTCCAGCTAAGTCAGAGAGGGATCCAAGGAGTTTTTGCTCAGGACCTCACTGCTGCTGTGAACGTGCAGAGCTGCCGCCTTCTGCCGCCCTGCCCCAACGGCACAGGGACGCCAACCACCCCACGATGTGCTTTAGACGCTACTTACAGACTCCCGGGTGTTCTCAGCCGCAGGTGCACCTGGTGCCACAGCCAAGGGGCTGCAGCAGACAGCCGTCCTGGAAGGGCGGTTGTAAATGTGGCCTAGGAAACGGTTACAGGCCAGCTGGGAACGTGTCTGAAGCATCAGAAAGCCTGGCACCGTGTGCAGACGAGACCAGCCAGGCAGCAGGTGGAGCAGGCCCCTGTCGCTGTCCATGGTATGCCACCCTCCTCCCAGGGAAAGCTGCTTGCCAGCCAGGGAGCAGGGACGAGGAGAGGGGATGGCAGGAAAAGACACTGCCCTAGACACGTCCCAGATTGGCAGTAGCTATCACCTGTGACAGCCCTGCGGTCAACGCCATGTCCAACGTCCTGAGACTGGACTCAGCCTGCCCCCCGCCCCGCTCTGTCGGTACACTGGGACACGCCACACCCGCAGACCCCGTCCATTTATTCTCAACATTTATTCTCATGTTGAACAAGCAGAAAACAGCTCAAAGGCGCTAGAGAGGACTCTGTAAGAGTATTTTTAGCATTAGGAATTTCAGGGGGTCAGAGTATACACTGCAGGCCTACAGTGTTGCTTTTTATACTAGGGAAGCTTATGTAATCACACTTTCTGCGTCTACTGAAGTAAATATCTTGAGGGGGAAAAAAGGACACCATAACGTCACTATTTGAATGAGAAGCTTGGGGCCAGTGCAGTAGCCTAGCAGCTAAATCCTTGCAATACAAGCACCAGATCCCATGAGTGCTGCTTCATGTTCCAGCTGCTCCACTTCCCATCCAGCTCCCTGCCTGTGGCCCGGGAAAGCAGTCGAGGACGGCCCAAAGCCTTGGGACCCTGCACCCATGTGGGAGACCCAGAAGATTGGCACAGCTTTGGCCATTGTGGCCACGTGGGGAGTGAGCCAGCAAATGAAGACATTTCCCTATGTCTGTGTATCTGCCTTTCCAAGAAAGATGAATAAATCTTTAAAACAAAGAGAAGCATTTTAGCCTACATTCATTCATTTTCATCATGAAGTCAGAAAAGTTCAAATAGTCACTCTTGCAAATAAAATCACAATATGGCAATGTTCCATTTAGGAGAAGTCACTGATATAACATCAATACAATCGGAACAAGCATTAACTTATATCACAGTAAAACAAAACTCACAAACTGTTCTCAGACATCTGCACAGCTTAGCGTCTGGCTGCCACGCTCACACCTTTCCCCCTGCACTCGGAGGTCAGGTCGCCTTTCCCGCTATGGCAGTTTGCCGACCGTGACGGCTTCTGGGAGCTGTGGGCAGGTGGACATAGAGCTCAAGGCCAAGGCCAGACACGCCCCCACCTGACACAGCTGTGGTGCAGCTGCCTCCCAGGTCTGAGCAGACAGATCACACTGGGACCACCAGCCACTGACAAGCACG